CCGAGTGTCCCCATCCATGGCCATGGAGCCTGCGGGATGGAATGACAGCCGAGTGTCCCCATCCATGGCCATGGAGCCTGCTGGATAGAGTGACAGCCGAGTGTCCCCATCCATGGCCATGGAGCCTGCTGGATAGAGTGACAGCCGAGTGTCCCCATCCATGGCCATGGAGCCTGCTGGATGGAGTGACAGCAGAGCATTCCTGCTGCGCTCCGGCTGTGCCCCGGACCCCTGCCCAGCAGTTGCTGTAACTCAGTCCACGGGATCTTGCAGGACAATGGAATGAATCCAGGTCTCTGGAATGCACTAGGAAATCTCTGTAAAAGATGAACTTCTTGATTTTATTTGCTGGTGGTTTTCCCCAGCATTGCTGGAGCTGTTGACTGGAAGTGCCACAAACCTTCTTGATGTTTGGTGAGCTGGCACAGTCTGTGCAAGAGCCTGTGCTATAACCATGTTTAAACCTTATGGCAGCTTCCTTTAGGAACAAGCACATGCATAGCAAGGTTTATTTGCAGACACTTTCAGATTCTTATCTTTGCAGCTGATGCTTACAGGATCATTTCCCTCCAGCATTACTTGCTTGGGAGTCAGGTGAGCTTACCTATCTGAAAAAGTGCTCTTGAGAGGCCAAGATTAATATCAGGCATGTGCATAGTGTTCCTGTTATCGAGTGCTTTCCTGAACTGGGACCTGCAATTTAAAACATTCTAAGTATTCTAAGTATTCCCTATTTCAACTATAAGAAGTGAATCAGAAGGAGCTGCAGGACCTCACGCCAGCACTGCTCAGGAGCTGTGAGAGCTCTGAGAGAGGAAAAGGAATCCCAGTAATTGTGATACCTGCAGGAGAGGGAGAAGCCGTGGGGGAAAGTCAGGCACACCATCCATCTGGAGAGCGGGATGTGGTTTTAAAACCAAAAGACTTTCTGGTGAAATGCATTAGCAGTTACCAGCCATTTATGTATGAGGAGTAACAGCCCTGTGTGACAGGGTGCCTGGGGCAGAGGGACAGACAGACCTGCAGGTACAGGGACTGATGGCTGCAAGAGGAGAGGTCTGGTACAGGAGCCAGCTGAAGCTGTCCCTGACAGCAGCCATGCACATCTTTGTTTACAGCTAGACATAAGCCCATGAGGGAGCACCATGAAAACTGCTAACCTACATGTATGAATTCTTTAGTGGGTCAAACACAGTGCCAACAACGACAATGACATTAAATTATGTTGTTTGTCTTGCAATTATTCATTCCTCCTTCTCCTTATTAATAACACAAATGAGGTTATGTGTCCAGAGCATGCTTTGCACTGTCAGAAAAGACCTGATCTAAAGATGTCCCAGCCTTGCCCACATGTCAAGGTACAAGTTTTCTAACTGGCTATGGACTCAGAGTTATTTCCACAACACTGCACAAATAGAATTGCTAGTTTCTTGTCACAGCTTAGAAATGGTAACTAGCAAATGCCAAAATCTTCATAAAGAAAAGGCATAGGTTGTGACAAAGCATAAAGAAAAGGCATAGAGTGTGTTATTGTTAATAACAATAAGTGAGTGAGCAGAGCATAAAAGTTCTCACCTGTGGGCAGGTTTCTGTCTGTTAAGAGAAATTATTTGTTGAAGTAATGTTGAAGTTGATGCAAGCAAAAGTAATATGCTTAAAGATGAGAGCAGATCACTTAAATTCACTATTCATATGCAAATATAACTTTACTACAAAATCTTAAAAAGCAAAAAGCCCAAATCAAGAGCTGCAGAAAAAGGGCTATAGTCTGGAAGCAGAGAAGCTAGGATAATCAGCAAAAGACATCTTTGTTTCTTTTATTAACATCTCTGGTATTTTCATGTACTATTTAATTTTGAAGCATACAGATCGCAGGAATTTTATATGCCAGTGTTCCAATTAAAACTAGGTTTCTCTTTATACAATACATTAAAGCACATTTGATTTCAATTAAATGACACTGTCTTACTTGGAATTCATTATATTGTATCAAATGTGATTTTGGAGACTGTTGCCCAATGAATGTGAATACCAAAAAAATAGCCTCTTTTTACTTTTTTCCTTCTGGTTTTGCCCAAACAGTCCATCTGGGTTGCTAGGCTAAAGATAAAATAATTTTAAAATAATTGCATTTTGAAAAGCAGATACACATTTCAGCCATATGATATAAAAATGATCCAGCCTATATAACTCCTACTGCTTACTTTCAAAAAATTCCCTTGTTCTGAAGTCAGTCCAGTAGCTATTAGAAGTAGTCATGATGTAAATTCCATCTTGTTTATGAAAACATTTTGAACAAAGCATTGATTGTCCAGGGTCCATAAAAAAAAAAGTTAAAATCTTTAAAATGTTGGCATTGCTACTATTCAGGGCATGAGAATGACATGCATATAAATCATAGTTTATTGGCATGGGCTTTTCTACTCAGAAAGAAGGCTTTGCTGAAAATGTACTGCAATGCCTCTCTTTTAAAGATTTCTTTTGAAAGTGTTCTGAATCAGGAAATAATCAGAAGCAAATCTTAGTTTACAGTAGGAACCAAGGGCACAAGTAGTCTTTTATGACATGGGTTAGCTATCATAGAGGGGCAGCCTAGGCAGAGTTTGGGGAAATCAGGGTGGATGGAACAGCCTCAGTGTGAAGCTTTGGGAGGCAAGGTCATCTGTGTGTCTGATGCCCCTCCTTGGAGTCTCACCCACATCTCTGTTAGCCCTAGGGACAGTAATACGTTGGTTAATTTTTTTAGGAAAAGGCGCTACTATCACAGTTTAGGAGAGGTACTGTACTTGCATTGCTCCAGTTCCAGACAGCTGAAGTGTCACTGAAGCTACATCAGAGTAAAACAAGAGTGAACCAGCCTAAGAAGTCTCACAGATGATTCTTTCCTGTTTCTTTTCCAGTAGCAAAATTATTGGCAGCCACCAGGGATCAATGCTGTAGTTAACGTTGGAGTGCTGCACTGAAGAGCAAACACTCCAGCAATCCAAGCAATTTTCTGTTAAGTCATTCTACTGGACTGCAGGGCTTGTGGGTGGGATTCTCCTAAGGGGAAAATATGGCAATGCCACAAGACTTAGTCCTTACTATTTCTTGGAATTTTAGTAACAGCCATAAAATTTATTGTTGGCACCTGAATCTTTAGAAGCACTAGGCAAATTAAACAATCAAGCATCAATCCCACAGCTCTTCTCCTCATATGATGCTTATTAAAATACATTTGGTGAAGTGCTTCATGAATGGATTCCAGAATTTTCAAGCAGAAATGCTTAAAATCAGGTTCATAACTCCATGTCTAAATTTTTTAAGATGGTTATGCTAATTTTTCAGGTTTTTTGAGCTTTTGAAGACTACAAATGCTAGAGCTTTTGAAAAAAAATCAAGCTAAATTTCAGGCAGGTAATTAATCTGAGCTAAAATGTGCATTAAGACCATTTTCTAGAATTCATTAGAATTGTCCATTGTAGGTGACAGGGCTAGTGCTGTGAAGGCTAAAGGAGGAATAATCTGGCAGCCCTGATGTGTTCTGAGTTGATCCTAATTCCCTGGAGCTGGAATGCTGCAGGAGAACTGATTATGATGCTGTACATATGGCTAATGTGGATTGCCTTTTATTTTATCAAGTTTGGAAGCCTGACCCACAGATTGGTAGGGGATATTCCCACTGGAAGCACACTGTTTCCATCCATCTTAACAAAGTGGTCCATCACTGATCACTGGGGCATAACTCTTCCAAAACTTTGCCTGTACTATATAATTTTATCATCAAAAAATCAAAGAAGTAAACACAGGAGATCAGAAAATTATGAGGCATGACCAGCAAAATCCCAGCCACTTTAACAAGAGCTTGGCAACGTGTGTAAGTCAGTGATTGCAGACATGACTAAGTCGTGCCATCTTGTCTGCACACAGAGTGTGTAATGTCCAGAAATCTTGTGTTCCAGCCCAAGGATTCTCCATTTGAGACAGACAATGAGTTGCACAGTTCTTCTTGTCAGTTGTTTTCTCCAGTTTTTGAGCATATTTTTAAGCCAGAGGATCTGTTTAGGAGAGCCAAAGCTATGTATAGTAATGGCAGTTGCAGAACTGAGTGTTGGGGAGCTAGACAGCCTGATGGCTTGGAAAAAACAAGCATGGAGACAGGAAAGAGACATAGTTATTGGGACAAGGACTTGGGCATGTGTGTGAATAGCTGGTGCATTAGGGAATACGTAGTTCAGCCACACTGTCCTCTACTGGTTAAAGCTGGATCTCTGCAAATGTTCTAATTCTGTTCTAAAATGCTGTTTTCATTCTTTGGTGCCCAATTTAAAGCATTTCATCATACTTTCAGACAGCCCATCTCCTTCACCTCTTCTCTGTCTGCCCTCAATACTTTTAAAAACTAAGAAAAAATGTCTTTTGTACTGTCAAGGTTCATGATGTTTACTCTCCTGTTCTTAAGACCTTTGTCAGAAGTGAGGAAGAGTTTCAATACGAGGAATTTCAATCAATTTAATTCATTGTGAATTAGCAAACTGTTAATTACTGATTCTGCTATTTTAAAGAATAAAACAACTCAGGTAGAAACACTTCAGATTCCCTCTGTACACGTCTCCTTAACTTTTTCTGGTCTCCAGTCCTTCCAAGCTTTCACTGTGGGCTCAGTCCCTCTGGAAAGGTGGGGGCTGGTGGAGGAGACTGGGGTCAGCAGATGGTCGATGCTTTTCTTTTTCTAAACATATCAGAAATACTCATATCCAGAACTGTAAAGGCTTTTGTGAAAAAGAAAACCCCCCAGTTTGGAGAAAATGTGGAATTAGAAGTAAACCAGATTATAACCCCTGCCCATGGCTAGTAGGGAGAACTAGATGATCTTTAAGGTCCCTTCCAAGCCAAACCATTCTGTGATGCTAGGAATCTAAATTAAGGCAGGCCTTTCCAGTGGCCTGTGCACAGCCCTTGCCCTGCTGCTCCAGGGAGTTTCAGCTTGCAAGCTGACTGCTCTGTGCTCTGTGTGGATCATGCAGGCACCAACAACCACAACCTGTGTGCTGCTTTCAGGTTCTGGACGACAGCTGAGACCGGCCGAGCCCCCGGGAGATGCTGATGCCGATGCAGATGCAGAGGAGGAAGATTCTGTGAGTTTTTTAGGGTTGAATTTTTCTGTGATGACAGTTTGGCAAAATGGGATCTTAAATATTTTGTTTATGGCTAGGTCTTGCTGGTGGTTTTCCTTCCTATTAAAATGTATTTTTGCTTGGGATTGTCCTGCCAGCTCAAAACCCAGAAAGATGTTTCAGTGTAAAGGCATCTGCTCTTTGCCATGGTTCATTGGCATAAGTTTACTACCAAGACTTAGCAAACTATTACATGGCTGTTAACTACAGTAACTTTTCTTTAAGGATTTAGACAGTTTAGGTTCCCTATTGTCTGACTAGAGAAGGAAGAATGCCAATTGCTTGTCAGCAGAAATTCCTGCTGGGACGTTTGCTTGCTTATAGAGGGCAATAAAGTTTGAAGCCATTGGATGCAAAGTTTAGGTATGGAAATAGAGCAGGGAAGGGATTTTTTTTTTGTAACTTTTTCAGTTATTACTAATTGATCTGTCTGTTTTCAGTCTGTTCAGCCTGCAGATACACACAATACATAAAGAAAATCAAAATAAGCTTACCACTGGGTTTTGTCTCTCAGAACTCTGTCCCTTGTGGGTTTGAGTGCTTTAACATGAGAACTGTATTTGTTCTTGACCTAAAAAAAAGTTATTGGTTATTTTTTATCCACTGTCAGTAATGAAAGATTTTTACTCAGAAGGTTACTATGGATAGCTAGAGAAACATTCCTAAAAACGAGTCACTGTTTAATGGTGAGTGTTCCTTTACCACTGCTCGTGTCTTTTCCACAGGTTACTGAAGTGGCAGTAGAAGACATTCGTCCAAGGCCACAAGGATCCTCTCCAGTTTATGAGTATCCCGTAGAAGAAGACTATTTAAAGGCAAGATAACTAAATTTTCATGTAGGCATGGCTTTCTCAAGATACTTTAGCTCCCACAAGTAGCAGAGAGCCACATGCCATAGAGTGGGACATTGCTGCAGCCATATTGTCTTCCTGTCCCCACCAAAACTGCATCTCTGTTCATTGATGGATTTATTTTGTGCTGGGCTTCCTGACCATGTTCTTGTTTCTTGGCATGAAAATGCATTTGACTTAATCCTGTAAAGGAACAAGGCAGAGAGCATAAAGAAATTGTAGTGTTTTTTTCTGTTAGAATATATGGCTTGAACCTAATTAATAAGTATTTCAAAATTACCTGCACCTCTTGGTTATTCAAAGTTAGAGATTTAATTAGTACAGCCATGTTAAGTAGGCAACAGTTTAAAATTCATGCTGAAGTTGAATAAGTAAAAAAAATTATGTTTACAGAATTGAAAGATGAACAATGTACTACATTAGGACACAGAAAGTCTCCCAATATCTTAAGACATTTGGTCTCTGACTAAATGAAAATTTTCTTACAATGATCTCTGATTTAATGCAAATTTTGGTACAATGAAGGGAGGCCTTAGCATGTAATTTACTGCTGGGATTAGTATAGTTAAATCATTCATGTTGTACATGGCACTTGATCCTGATTTTGCTCTGTTGCCATTAAAGTCAGCCTCATTTCTTGCTCTAAACCAGGAATTTTAACTGACTTTTGTTGTACTTAAGAACACTGTGGCTTCTGAACTTGAAATAATTTAAAATTGTTTTTCAGCTTCAAGAAGAAAACAAAAGACATTCTACAGACAAATCAAAGCAGAGTCATCCACAGGTCAGTCTAAAAGCACTCTGTAGTTTTAGGTATGAGCTTTGTAAATAGTAAAGTTTGTTAAAACACACAGAGATGAATGGATGGACAGAAGGAAGGACAAATGGGCAAAGAATCACTTCAGACTTGTTTTGACCAGGAACTCCATGAATGGCCAAGTTGTGGCACGGGCAGGAACATTTATTTGTCCTATTTGTGGTCCTTCCATAATTCTTTTTAGAATTCTTTCTTTAGCCTTCTCTGATTTGAGTGCAGTACAGCATTAACTCTTACTCTGACTTTTCTGGCCCATTGACTTTAATTCGAGTGGTTAACATCTTCACAGAAAATACAATCTTTCAGCCCTAAAAGTTTCCATATGTTTCACATTTTAAAATTATAACCTATTTTTCCTATGACCCTGATTTAACATAACCCTAACACATGTGCTTAATTGTAATTTAGAACAGAATAAAACCCATACTAAGTATATCCTCTATTTTGGATAATTTTTTTTGCGCTATTGAAAATATACTTGAGGAGATTAAATTTTTTATTGTAGAACAACTTAGAACCCTTTAATACAAATCAGTAAAAATGATAAATTCACATATTTTTCTATCTCTAGGAGACAATGGAAGTGACCCTGAAAACAGAAGTGGAAGCTGGAGCTAGTGGTTTTAGTGTGAAAGGTGGAGGAAATGAAGGAATATTTATTAAAAAAGTACTTAAGGAATCTCCTGCTTCAAAAATATTTAGTCTTAGAGAAGGTACAGTCTGATTTTTTTATTTTGTTTTGATTTTATTCTATATCTTTAAATAATGAGAATTGTAGCTGTGTGATCTGCCATCTCTTTGGGTATCAGAAATAGTAGATTTTAAACCAACTAATGTTATCTATGAGCTTAACCTGTCCATATTAATAATTTCTAAGATCACTTGCTTGAACAATAATGAAATGTGATGTTTTTTGTATACCGTAAAAAAAATCAGTTTTCACTGGAACAGTGGAAAAGACACATAGAAATTAGTATATACAAAACTAAAATAGAAAAAAAAAAAACTATAAGAAAACACAAAGTAATTAAAATTATGTATTATTCCACTTACAGGTGATCAGCTTCTAAGTGCTACAATATTTTTCGATAATATCAAATATGAAGATGCACTCAAGATTCTCCAATATTCCGAGCCATACAGAGTCCAATTCAGCCTCAAAAGAAAAATTGCCGTGCAAGAAGATCTGGAACACTCTACAGCCCAGCACAAAAAGGAAAGGATAGCCCAGGTAGATTTCTGATTAGTTTACAAAGTTTGGATAACATACTATAGTAATGTGCTCTGTGGAAATAGATCATAAACACACGCTTGTGTCTTCTTAAGACTTACGCATGTGTTTAAAGTTACTAGCATGAATATTCATGATTTTAAAAAATCCCACACAATATTTGCAGCTTTTTAAATATCTTGAGTGAGACTATGGATTTTATATAAATCCACAGTCTTGTTTTAGGTGGTGATAATACTCTTTAGTGAGTCAGCATTTTTTAATTGTTAATTGTCCACTGATGGAACAGACTTGGGTAATCTCTGTAATACTTATAATAAGCATGTTCAAAAATGTAAAATATCAGTGAAAATTTTAATCCAAAGCTTCTCTGTAAGATTTTTCTATTAAAAAAATATCTGTGTCTAACCACTGATATTTTGCCAGACCTCTTCATAGGTTTCCATCAACTTAAAGATTGTATTTTCTTCAAATACTTATACATACACATAAATACTATATATAACATATATTTGTACAGGGATAGATAGATAGATAGATAGATAGATAGATAGATAGATAGATAGATAGATAGATGGATGCATACATACATACATACATACAGAAACCACTGTTTACTGTAATATTTTGAAAGGAATATCTTCAGAAATCCATATATTACAGTGCATTTGTTTTATGTAATTTCTGCCTGACATTGCATATTTTTATAATCTTCAGGATTTTTTTATATAACAAGTAGATACTAGTAATCAAAAGAACATTTTTCAGGTTTTAAGGTATGTTTTTTATTTTCTGTTGCACCTATATTTAGGTTACTTCTAATCTTCTGAATACTATTTGTTCTTTTAGGAAAAAGAGCTCAGTGAGAGCATTCCTGAAGAAACACTGCATGTTTCAGGAAAATCCATTTCAGAAGAAGACAGGGAAACATTAATTGTAAGCCAAAGAGTAGGAAGAAGTAAGAGACCTAAAAAAGATAGATTATCATGGCCAAAATTTCAATCAATCAAAAATAAAAAGATATTGAGGCACAGAAGATCTCATAGTACATCAGATGCATATGAGCCTGCTTTGCAGGATATTTCCCCTACAAGCACGGACACAGAGTCTCAATTTCCACAAGAGGTCCATACCAAAGAGAAAAAAGGAAGCCAAAAGAAGCTGAAGTTCCCTAGCATTGGATTCAGAATGCACAGGTCCAAACCAGAGCCACAAGAGAAGCAAAAAAAAGAAATAAAAACGACACTGATCTCTGAAAGAGAAAAAATGCATAAATATGATATAAGCCTGGAAAATCCCGAAATTTTAACTGTTGAATATACCACATCTCCTGCTTATGAAGTGAAGACAGGGGAGGGACATGAAACTTTAACAAAAGACTTAAAAGAAATTAAAAATGGCATTCCGTCTCATGTAAAACAATGCCCTGAAGTTGAAATAAGCATTAAAAATGACAAGGAAGCATCATCAAAATTTAGTGTACCTGAAGTACCAGACATAACAACAGAGATACCAAAGCCTAGTTTAGAAACTGCTGATCTGAAAGTAAGCCCAACTAAAAAATCTCCACAAGCCTCATCAAAATCCCGAAAAAAGAAACAGAAGGGAACAGCAGATAAAAAAGATGGAGAAAGTGGAATTAACATAGACTTGATGGGTCACAGTACTAAAGGATCTGTACAGGTAAAAGGCCTAGAAATTGGCACTGCTAAAGTAGAATTACAGACATCTGAAACACTGGAAACAGGAGAAAAACAAGCAGAAGACACACAAATACTAAATATTCAGAAAATAAATTCTGGAATTTCAATGACCAAAAGAAAAGAGACAGAGACTGACACTACTAAACAGGGAAGTGACGTTCCACAGTCAGTCCCAGAAAAAACAGCTGATATGACTTCAGAGGACAGCAGGAATTTCAATGTGAAAACTCTTTTGCCAGATGCACAATCAGATGTATCTACTTGGAAAATACAAATGCCATCATTCAAAGTGGCCAAAGCACCCAAAGCACCCAAAACAGACATGAAAATAACAAGAGAAGAAAGCAAAGAGGACACAGAAGATAGGATAAAAAAGGAAGGTATGGAGGAAGATGGCATGCCCACAAATGACAAAGACTTAAACATAGAAATTGAAATGAAGAAAGGAGAAAAAGATATAGAGGGGAAAGAAAGCAAATTCAGACTGCCAAAGTTAAAATTCCCTACATTTACCTGGTCAAATACCAAGGAAGAAACAGCCCAAGCTGAAGAACAGATAAGTGACAGGGAACTAAAACTGCAAACCTTGGAAAATGAAGGAGGACTTCAGGTAACTGGACCAACAGAAAAAATTCCAACTGCTGAAATGGAAATAGGAATATCCATAGGAAAAAAAGATGAAAACAATATAATACAAAAACCTGAAGGCCAGTTGCCGAGTCTGAAAAAACCAAATATAAAATCTACCCCAATAGAAATAAAAACAGAAGATACCAAAGAAAAAATACAGATTTCAAAAACAGGTATTGAAATAGAGAAGTGGGAATTAAATAAAAAAGCAAAAGATAAAATTTCAGAAATTACACCGTCTAATATCAAAGCTCCCAAGGTGGACATCAGTCTGCCCTCTGTTGACGTCACCCTTCCACAGGCCAGCATCGACTTGCAGGCCCCCGAGGCCAGCCTTAGCCTTGAAGGAGAAGCCAAAGTCCCAGAGAAGGAGGCCACCAAGACCAAGGACGGCAAGTTCAAGATGCCCAAGTTCGGCATGCCTTCCTTTGGCTGGTCCAGCAGCAGAGAGGCCAAGGGCACCGTGGCCGCCGAGGTGGACGTCAGCCTCCCGGAGCCTCAAGTGACGGTGCCTTCCGGAGCCAGCCAAGTGGAGGTGACCCTGCCCACGGCCGATATCCAAGTGCCCGGTGTGGAGGTGACCGTTGATGCGGGCACGGTAGCAGCCGAGGCTGAGAAAGGCCGATTCAAGATGCCCGACGTCAAGATGCCCAGCGTCAAGCTGCCCAAAGTCAAAGCTCCCCAGGCACAGGTCAGCCTGCCCAAGGCCGAGGTCTCGCTGCCCAAAGGCCAGGAGGGTGAAGCGGCCCTGCAGGGCCCCGAGGCCGAAGGCAGCCTGGAGGTGGCCGCTGGCAAAGCGGAGGGTGGCGGCATGAAAATACACATGCCCAAAGTCAAGGTGCCCAGCGTGGTCTTCTCCAAGCCTACCATCAAGTCTCCCAAACTGGAGGCAGACGTCAGCCTCCCGCAGGCCGAGCTCAAGGCCGCCGACATCACTGTCACGGCCCCCGATGTCAAGCTGCCCTCCGTTGAAGGCTCCCTGGAGCTCCAGGCGCCCGACGTAGAGGTCAAAGCTCCCTCCGCGGAAGGCAAGCTGGAGCTGGAAGGCACGGGCCTGAAAGGCAAGCTGAAGATGCCCAAATTTGACAAGCCCAAATTCACAGTCTCCTCCCCCAAGGCCGAGGTGCCCACAGCCGAGATCAGCCTGCCCAGCGCTGAGGTGGAGCTCCCATCCGCCACCGTGACGGCCTCAACAGAGGGCACTGGCGTGAAGCTGGAGAAGCCCTCCCTCAAGATGCCCAAAGCTGACATCAAAGCTCCCAAGGTGGACATCAGCCTGCCCTCTGTTGACGTCACCCTTCCACAGGCCAGCGTCGACTTGCAGGCCCCCGAGGCCAGCCTTAGCCTTGAAGGAGAAGCCAAAGTCCCAGAGAAGGAGGCCACCAAGACCAAGGACGGCAAGTTCAAGATGCCCAAGTTCGGCATGCCTTCCTTTGGCTGGTCCAGCAGCAGAGAGGCCAAGGGCACCGTGGCCGCCGAGGTGGACGTCAGCCTCCCGGAGCCTCAAGTGACGGTGCCTTCCGGAGCCAGCCAAGTGGAGGTGACCCTGCCCACGGCCGATATCCAAGTGCCCGGTGTGGAGGTGACCGTTGATGCGGGCACGGTAGCAGCCGAGGCTGAGAAAGGCCGATTCAAGATGCCCGACGTCAAGATGCCCAGCGTCAAGCTGCCCAAAGTCAAAGCTCCCCAGGCACAGGTCAGCCTGCCCAAGGCCGAAGTCTCGCTGCCCAAAGGCCAGGAGGGCGAAGCGGCCCTGCAGGGCCCCGAGGCCGAAGGCAGCCTGGAGGTGGCCGCTGGCAAAGCGGAGGGTGGCGGCATGAAAATACACATGCCCAAAGTCAAGGTGCCCAGCGTGGTCTTCTCCAAGCCTACCATCAAGTCTCCCAAACTGGAGGCAGACGTCAGCCTCCCGCAGGCCGAGCTCAAGGCCGCCGACATCACTGTCACGGCCCCCGATGTCAAGCTGCCCTCCGTTGAAGGCTCCCTGGAGCTCCAGGCGCCCGACGTAGAGGTCAAAGCTCCCTCCGCGGAAGGCAAGCTGGAGCTGGAAGGCACGGGCCTGAAAGGCAAGCTGAAGATGCCCAAATTTGACAAGCCCAAATTCACAGTCTCCTCCCCCAAGGCCGAGGTGCCCACAGCCGAGATCAGCCTGCCCAGCGCTGAGGTGGAGCTCCCATCCGCCACCGTGACGGCCTCAACAGAGGGCACTGGCGTGAAGCTGGAGAAGCCCTCCCTCAAGATGCCCAAAGCTGACATCAAAGCTCCCAAGGTGGACATCAGCCTGCCCTCTGTTGACGTCACCCTTCCACAGGCCAGCATCGACTTGCAGGCCCCCGAGGCCAGCCTTAGCCTTGAAGGAGAAGCCAAAGTCCCAGAGAAGGAGGCCACCAAGACCAAGGACGGCAAGTTCAAGATGCCCAAGTTCGGCATGCCTTCCTTTGGCTGGTCCAGCAGCAGAGAGGCCAAGGGCACCGTGGCCGCCGAGGTGGACGTCAGCCTCCCGGAGCCTCAAGTGACGGTGCCTTCCGGAGCCAGCGAAGTGGAGGTGACCCTGCCCACGGCCGATATCCAAGTGCCCGGTGTGGAGGTGACCGTTGATGCGGGCACGGTAGCAGCCGAGGCTGAGAAAGGCCGATTCAAGATGCCTGACGTCAAGATGCCCAGCGTCAAGCTGCCCAAAGTCAAAGCTCCCCAGGCACAGGTCAGCCTGCCCAAGGCCGAAGTCTCGCTGCCCAAAGGCCAGGAGGGCGAAGCGGCCCTGCAGGGCCCCGAGGCCGAAGCCAGCCTGGAGGTGGCCGCTGGCAAAGCGGAGGGTGGCGGCATGAAAATACACATGCCCAAAGTCAAGGTGCCCAGCGTGGTCTTCTCCAAGCCTACCATCAAGTCTCCCAAACTGGAGGCAGACATCAGCCTCCCGCAGGCCGAGCTCAAGGCCGCCGACATCACTGTCACGGCCCCCGATGTCAAGCTGCCCTCCGTTGAAGGCTCCCTGGAGCTCCAGGCGCCCGACGTAGAGGTCAAAGCTCCCTCCGCGGAAGGCAAGCTGGAGCTGGAAGGCACGGGCCTTAAAGGCAAGCTGAAGATGCCCAAATTTGACAAGCCCAAATTCACAGTCTCCTCCCCCAAGGCCGAGGTGCCCACAGCCGAGATCAGCCTGCCCAGCGCTGAGGTGGAGCTCCCATCCGCCACCGTGACAGCCTCAACAGAGGGCACTGGCGTGAAGCTGGAGAAGCCCTCCCTCAAGATGCCCAAAGCTGACATCAAAGCTCCCAAGGTGGACATCAGCCTGCCCTCTGTTGACGTCACCCTTCCACAGGCCAGCGTCGACTTGCAGGCCCCCGAGGCCAGCCTTAGCCTTGAAGGAGAAGCCAAAGTCCCAGAGAAGGAGGCCACCAAGACCAAGGACGGCAAGTTCAAGATGCCCAAGTTCGGCATGCCTTCCTTTGGCTGGTCCAGCAGCAGAGAGGCCAAGGGCACCGTGGCCGCCGAGGTGGACGTCAGCCTCCCGGAGCCTCAAGTGACGGTGCCTTCTGGAGCCAGCGAAGTGGAGGTGACCCTGCCCACGGCCGATATCCAAGTGCCCGGTGTGGAGGTGACCGTTGATGCGGGCACGGTAGCAGCCGAGGCTGAGAAAGGCCGATTCAAGATGCCCGACGTCAAGATGCCCAGCGTCAAGCTGCCCAAAGTCAAAGCTCCCCAGGCACAGGTCAGCCTGCCCAAGGCCGAGGTCTCGCTGCCCAAAGGCCAGGAGGGCGAAGCGGCCCTGCAGGGCCCCGAGGCCGAAGGCAGCCTGGAGGTGGCCGCTGGCAAAGCGGAGGGTGGCGGCATGAAAATACACATGCCCAAAGTCAAGGTGCCCAGCGTGGTCTTCTCCAAGCCTACCATCAAGTCTCCCAAACTGGAGGCAGACGTCAGCCTCCCGCAGGCTGAGCTCAAGGCCGCCGACATCACTGTCACGGCCCCCGATGTCAAGCTGCCCTCCGTTGAAGGCTCCCTGGAGCTCCAGGCACCCGACGTAGAGGTCAAAGCTCCCTCCGCCGAAGGCAAGCTGGAGCTGGAAGGCACGGGCCTGAAAGGCAAGCTGAAGATGCCCAAATTTGACAAGCCCAAATTCACAGTCTCCTCCCCCAAGGCCGAGGTGCCCACAGCCGAGATCAGCCTGCCCAGCGCTGAGGTGGAGCTCCCATCCGCCACCGTGACGGCCTCAACAGAGGGCACTGGCGTGAAGCTGGAGAAGCCCTCCCTCAAGATGCCCAAAGCTGACATCAAAGCTCCCAAGGTGGACATCAGTCTGCCCTCTGTTGACGTCACCCTTCCACAGGCCAGCGTCGACTTGCAGGCCCCCGAGGCCAGCCTTAGCCTTGAAGGAGAAGCCAAAGTCCCAGAGAAGGAGGCCACCAAGACCAAGGACGGCAAGTTCAAGATGCCCAAGTTCGGCATGCCTTCCTTTGGCTGGTCCAGCAGCAGAGAGGCCAAGGGCACCGTGGCCGCCGAGGTGGACGTCAGCCTCCCGGAGCCTCAAGTGACAGTGCCTTCCGGAGCCAGCGAAGTGGAGGTGACCCTGCCCACGGCCGATATCCAAGTGCCCGGTGTGGAGGTGACCGTTGATGCGGGCACGGTAGCAGCCGAGGCTGAGAAAGGCCGATTCAAGATGCCCGACGTCAAGATGCCCAGCGTCAAGCTGCCCAAAGTCAAAGCTCCCCAGGCACAGGTCAGCCTGCCCAAGGCCGAAGTCTCGCTGCCCAAAGGCCAGGAGGGCGAAGCGGCCCTGCAGGGCCCCGAGGCCGAAGGCAGCCTGGAGGTGGCCGCTGGCAAAGCGGAGGGTGGCGGCATGAAAATACACATGCCCAAAGTCAAGGTGCCCAGCGTGGTCTTCTCCAAGCCTACCATCAAGTCTCCCAAACTGGAGGCAGACGTCAGCCTCCCGCAGGCCGAGCTCAAGGCCGCCGACATCACTGTCACGGCCCCCGATGTCAAGCTGCCCTCCGTTGAAGGCTCCCTGGAGCTCCAGGCGCCCGACGTAGAGGTCAAAGCTCCCTCCGCGGAAGGCAAGCTGGAGCTGGAAGGCACGGGCCTGAAAGGCAAGCTGAAGATGCCCAAATTTGACAAGCCCAAATTCACAGTCTCCTCCCCCAAGGCCGAGGTGCCCACAGCCGAGATCAGCCTGCCCAGCGCTGAGGTGGAGCTCCCATCCGCCACCGTGACGGCCTCAACAGAGGGCACTGGCGTGAAGCTGGAGAAGCCCTCCCTCAAGATGCCCAAAGCTGACATCAAAGCTCCCAAGGTGGACATCAGCCTGCCCTCTGTTGACGTCACCCTTCCACAGGCCAGCATCGACTTGCAGGCCCCCGAGGCCAGCCTTAGCCTTGAAGGAGAAGCCAAAGTCCCAGAGAAGGAGGCCACCAAGACCAAGGACGGCAAGTTCAAGATGCCCAAGTTCGGCATGCCTTCCTTTGGCTGGTCCAGCAGCAGAGAGGCCAAGGGCACCGTGGCCGCCGAGGTGGACGTCAGCCTCCCGGAGCCTCAAGTGACGGTGCCTTCCGGAGCCAGCGAAGTGGAGGTGACCCTGCCCACGGCCGATATCCAAGTGCCCGGTGTGGAGGTGACCGTTGATGCGGGCACGGTAGCAGCCGAGGCTGAGAAAGGCCGATTCAAGATGCCTGACGTCAAGATGCCCAGCGTCAAGCTGCCCAAAGTCAAAGCTCCCCAGGCACAGGTCAGCCTGCCCAAGGCCGAAGTCTCGCTGCCCAAAGGCCAGGAGGGCGAAGCGGCCCTGCAGGGCCCCGAGGCCGAAGCCAGCCTGGAGGTGGCCGCTGGCAAAGCGGAGGGTGGCGGCATGAAAATACACATGCCCAAAGTCAAGGTGCCCAGCGTGGTCTTCTCCAAGCCTACCATCAAGTCTCCCAAACTGGAGGCAGACATCAGCCTCCCGCAGGCCGAGCTCAAGGCCGCCGACATCACTGTCACGGCCCCCGATGTCAAGCTGCCCTCCGTTGAAGGCTCCCTGGAGCTCCAGGCGCCCGACGTAGAGGTCAAAGCTCCCTCCGCGGAAGGCAAGCTGGAGCTGGAAGGCACGGGCCTTAAAGGCAAGCTGAAGATGCCCAAATTTGACAAGCCCAAATTCACAGTCTCCTCCCCCAAGGCCGAGGTGCCCACAGCCGAGATCAGCCTGCCCAGCGCTGAGGTGGAGCTCCCATCCGCCACCGTGACAGCCTCAACAGAGGGCACTGGCGTGAAGCTGGAGAAGCCCTCCCTCAAGATGCCCAAAGCTGACATCAAAGCTCCCAAGGTGGACATCAGCCTGCCCTCTGTTGACGTCACCCTTCCACAGGCCAGCGTCGACTTGCAGGCCCCCGAGGCCAGCCTTAGCCTTGAAGGAGAAGCCAAAGTCCCAGAGAAGGAGGCCACCAAGACCAAGGACGGCAAGTTCAAGATGCCCAAGTTCGGCATGCCTTCCTTTGGCTGGTCCAGCAGCAGAGAGGCCAAGGGCACCGTGGCCGCCGAGGTGGACGTCAGCCTCCCGGAGCCTCAAGTGACGGTGCCTTCTGGAGCCAGCGAAGTGGAGGTGACCCTGCCCACGGCCGATATCCAAGTGCCCGGTGTGGAGGTGACCGTTGATGCGGGCACGGTAGCAGCCGAGGCTGAGAAAGGCCGATTCAAGATGCCCGACGTCAAGATGCCCAGCGTCAAGCTGCCCAAAGTCAAAGCTCCCCAGGCACAGGTCAGCCTGCCCAAGGCCGAGGTCTCGCTGCCCAAAGGCCAGGAGGGCGAAGCGGCCCTGCAGGGCCCCGAGGCCGAAGGCAGCCTGGAGGTGGCCGCTGGCAAAGCGGAGGGTGGCGGCATGAAAATACACATGCCCAAAGTCAAGGTGCCCAGCGTGGTCTTCTCCAAGCCTACCATCAAGTCTCCCAAACTGGAGGCAGACGTCAGCCTCCCGCAGGCCGAGCTCAAGGCCGCCGACATCACTGTCACGGCCCCCGATGTCAAGCTGCCCTCCGTTGAAGGCTCCCTGGAGCTCCAGGCGCCCGACGTAGAGGTCAAAGCTCCCTCCGCCGAAGGCAAGCTGGAGCTGGAAGGCACGGGCCTGAAAGGCAAGCTGAAGATGCCCAAATTTGACAAGCCCAAATTCACAGTCTCCTCCCCCAAGGCCGAGGTGCCCACAGCCGAGATCAGCCTGCCCAGCGCTGAGGTGGAGCTCCCATCCGCCACCGTGACGGCCTCAACAGAGGGCACTGGCGTGAAGCTGGAGAAGCCCTCCCTCAAGATGCCCAAAGCTGACATCAAAGCTCCCAAGGTGGACATCAGTCTGCCCTCTGTTGACGTCACCCTTCCACAGGCCAGCATCGACTTGCAGGCCCCCGAGGCCAGCCTTAGCCTTGAAGGAGAAGCCAAAGTCCCAGAGAAGGAGGCCACCAAGACCAAGGACGGCAAGTTCAAGATGCCCAAGTTCGGCATGCCTTCCTTTGGCTGGTCCAGCAGCAGAGAGGCCAAGGGCACCGTGGCCGCCGAGGTGGACGTCAGCCTCCCGGAGCCTCAAGTGACGGTGCCTTCCGGAGCCAGCGAAGTGGAGGTGACCCTGCCCACGGCCGATATCCAAGTGCCCGGTGTGGAGGTGACCGTTGATGCGGGCACGGTAGCAGCCGAGGCTGAGAAAGGCCGATTCAAGATGCCCGACGTCAAGATGCCCAGCGTCAAGCTGCCCAAAGTCAAAGCTCCCCAGGCACAGGTCAGCCTGCCCAAGGCCGAAGTCTCGCTGCCCAAAGGCCAGGAGGGCGAAGCGGCCCTGCAGGGCCCCGAGGCCGAAGGCAGCCTGGAGGTGGCCGCTGGCAAAGCGGAGGGTGGCGGCATGAAAATACACATGCCCAAAGTCAAGGTGCCCAGCGTGGTCTTCTCCAAGCCTACCATCAAGTCTCCCAAACTGGAGGCAGACGTCAGCCTCCCGCAGGCCGAGCTCAAGGCCGCCGACATCACTGTCACGGCCCCCGATGTCAAGCTGCCCTCCGTTGAAGGCTCCCTGGAGCTCCAGGCGCCCGACGTAGAGGTCAAAGCTCCCTCCGCGGAAGGCAAGCTGGAGCTGGAAGGCACGGGCCTGAAAGGCAAGCTGAAGATGCCCAAATTTGACAAGCCCAAATTCACAGTCTCCTCCCCCAAGGCCGAGGTGCCCACAGCCGAGATCAGCCTGCCCAGCGCTGAGGTGGAGCTCCCATCCGCCACCGTGACGGCCTCAACAGAGGGCACTGGCGTGAAGCTGGAGAAGCCCTCCCTCAAGATGCCCAAAGCTGACATCAAAGCTCCCAAGGTGGACATCAGCCTGCCCTCTGTTGACGTCACCCTTCCACAGGCCAGCATCGACTTGCAGGCCCCCGAGGCCAGCCTTAGCCTTGAAGGAGAAGCCAAAGTCCCAGAGAAGGAGGCCACCAAGACCAAGGACGGCAAGTTCAAGATGCCCAAGTTCGGCATGCCTTCCTTTGGCTGGTCCAGCAGCAGAGAGGCCAAGGGCACCGTGGCCGCCGAGGTGGACGTCAGCCTCCCGGAGCCTCAAGTGACGGTGCCTTCCGGAGCCAGCGAAGTGGAGGTGACCCTGCCCACGGCCGATATCCAAGTGCCCGGTGTGGAGGTGACCGTTGATGCGGGCACGGTAGCAGCCGAGGCTGAGAAAGGCCGATTCAAGATGCCTGACGTCAAGATGCCCAGCGTCAAGCTGCCCAAAGTCAAAGCTCCCCAGGCACAGGTCAGCCTGCCCAAGGCCGAAGTCTCGCTGCCCAAAGGCCAGGAGGGCGAAGCGGCCCTGCAGGGCCCCGAGGCCGAAGCCAGCCTGGAGGTGGCCGCTGGCAAAGCGGAGGGTGGCGGCATGAAAATACACATGCCCAAAGTCAAGGTGCCCAGCGTGGTCTTCTCCAAGCCTACCATCAAGTCTCCCAAACTGGAGGCAGACATCAGCCTCCCGCAGGCCGAGCTCAAGGCCGCCGACATCACTGTCACGGCCCCCGATGTCAAGCTGCCCTCCGTTGAAGGCTCCCTGGAGCTCCAGGCGCCCGACGTAGAGGTCAAAGCTCCCTCCGCGGAAGGCAAGCTGGAGCTGGAAGGCACGGGCCTTAAAGGCAAGCTGAAGATGCCCAAATTTGACAAGCCCAAATTCACAGTCTCCTCCCCCAAGGCCGAGGTGCCCACAGCCGAGATCAGCCTGCCCAGCGCTGAGGTGGAGCTCCCATCCGCCACCGTGACAGCCTCAACAGAGGGCACTGGCGTGAAGCTGGAGAAGCCCTCCCTCAAGATGCCCAAAGCTGACATCAAAGCTCCCAAGGTGGACATCAGCCTGCCCTCTGTTGACGTCACCCTTCCACAGGCCAGCGTCGACTTGCAGGCCCCCGAGGCCAGCCTTAGCCTTGAAGGAGAAGCCAAAGTCCCAGAGAAGGAGGCCACCAAGACCAAGGACGGCAAGTTCAAGATGCCCAAGTTCGGCATGCCTTCCTTTGGCTGGTCCAGCAGCAGAGAGGCCAAGGGCACCGTGGCCGCCGAGGTGGACGTCAGCCTCCCGGAGCCTCAAGTGACGGTGCCTTCTGGAGCCAGCGAAGTGGAGGTGACCCTGCCCACGGCCGATATCCAAGTGCCCGGTGTGGAGGTGACCGTTGATGCGGGCACGGTAGCAGCCGAGGCTGAGAAAGGCCGATTCAAGATGCCCGACGTCAAGATGCCCAGCGTCAAGCTGCCCAAAGTCAAAGCTCCCCAGGCACAGGTCAGCCTGCCCAAGGCCGAGGTCTCGCTGCCCAAAGGCCAGGAGGGCGAAGCGGCCCTGCAGGGCCCCGAGGCCGAAGGCAGCCTGGAGGTGGCCGCTGGCAAAGCGGAGGGTGGCGGCATGAAAATACACATGCCCAAAGTCAAGGTGCCCAGCGTGGTCTTCTCCAAGCCTACCATCAAGTCTCCCAAACTGGAGGCAGACGTCAGCCTCCCGCAGGCCGAGCTCAAGGCCGCCGACATCACTGTCACGGCCCCCGATGTCAAGCTGCCCTCCGTTGAAGGCTCCCTGGAGCTCCAGGCACCCGACGTAGAGGTCAAAGCTCCCTCCGCGGAAGGCAAGCTGGAGCTGGAAGGCACGGGCCTGAAAGGCAAGCTGAAGATGCCCAAATTTGACAAGCCCAAATTCACAGTCTCCTCCCCCAAGGCCGAGGTGCCCACAGCCGAGATCAGCCTGCCCAGCGCTGAGGTGGAGCTCCCATCCGCCACCGTGACGGCCTCAACAGAGGGCACTGGCGTGAAGCTGGAGAAGCCCTCCCTCAAGATGCCCAAAGCTGACATCAAAGCTCCCAAGGTGGACATCAGTCTGCCCTCTGTTGACGTCACCCTTCCACAGGCCAGCATCGACTTGCAGGCCCCCGAGGCCAGCCTTAGCCTTGAAGGAGAAGCCAAAGTCCCAGAGAAGGAGGCCACCAAGACCAAGGACGGCAAGTTCAAGATGCCCAAGTTCGGCATGCCTTCCTTTGGCTGGTCCAGCAGCAGAGAGGCCAAGGGCACCGTGGCCGCCGAGGTGGACGTCAGCCTCCCGGAGCCTCAAGTGACAGTGCCTTCCGGAGCCAGCGAAGTGGAGGTGACCCTGCCCACGGCCGATATCCAAGTGCCCGGTGTGGAGGTGACCGTTGATGCGGGCACGGTAGCAGCCGAGGCTGAGAAAGGCCGATTCAAGATGCCCGACGTCAAGATGCCCAGCGTCAAGCTGCCCAAAGTCAAAGCTCCCCAGGCACAGGTCAGCCTGCCCAAGGCCGAAGTCTCGCTGCCCAAAGGCCAGGAGGGCGAAGCGGCCCTGCAGGGCCCCGAGGCCGAAGGCAGCCTGGAGGTGGCCGCTGGCAAAGCGGAGGGTGGCGGCATGAAAATACACATGCCCAAAGTCAAGGTGCCCAGCGTGGTCTTCTCCAAGCCCACCATCAAGTCTCCCAAACTGGAGGCAGACGTCAGCCTCCCGCAGGCCGAGCTCAAGGCCGCCGACATCACTGTCACGGCCGCCGATGTCAAGCTGCCCTCCGTTGAAGGCTCCCTGGAGCTCCAGGCACCCGACGTAGAGGTCAAAGCTCCCTCCGTGGAAGGCAAGCTGGAGCTGGAAGGCACGGGCCTGAAAGGCAAGCTGAAGATGCCCAAATTTGACAAGCCCAAATTCACAGTCTCCTCCCCCAAGGCCGAGGTGCCCACAGCCGAGATCAGCCTGCCCAGCGCTGAGGTGGAGCTCCCATCCGCCACCGTGACGGCCTCAACAGAGGGCACTGGCGTGAAGCTGGAGAAGCCCTCCCTCAAGATGCCCAAAGCTGACATCAAAGCTCCCAAGGTGGACATCAGCCTGCCCTCTGTTGACGTCACCCTTCCACAGGCCAGCGTCGACTTGCAGGCCCCCGAGGCCAGTCTTAGCCTTGAAGGAGAAGCCAAAGTCCCAGAGAAGGAGGCCACCAAGACCAAGGACGGCAAGTTCAAGATGCCCAAGTTCGGCATGCCTTCCTTTGGTTGGTCCAGCAGCAGAGAGGCCAAGGGCACCGTGGCCGCCGAGGTGGACGTCAGCCTCCCGGAGCCTCAAGTGACGGTGCCTTCCGGAGCCAGCGAAGTGGAGGTGACCCTGCCCACGGCCGATATCCAAGTGCCCGGTGTGGAGGTGACCGTTGATGCGGGCACGGTAGCAGCCGAGGCTGAGAAAGGCCGATTCAAGATGCCCGACGTCAAGATGCCCAGCGTCAAGCTGCCCAAAGTCAAAGCTCCCCAGGCACAGGTCAGCCTGCCCAAGGCCGAAGTCTCGCTGCCCAAAGGCCAGGAGGGCGAAGCGGCCCTGCAGGGCCCCGAGGCCGAAGGCAGCCTGGAGGTGGCCGCTGGCAAAGCGGAGGGTGGCGGCATGAAAATACACATGCCCAAAGTCAAGGTGCCCAGCGTGGTCTTCTCCAAGCCCACCATCAAGTCTCCCAAACTGGAGGCAGACGTCAGCCTCCCGCAGGCCGAGCTCAAGGCCGCCGACATCACTGTGACGGCCCCCGATGTCAAGCTGCCCTCCGTTGAAGGCTCCCTGGAGCTCCAGGCGCCCGACGTAGAGGTCAAAGCTCCCTCCGCGGAAGGCAAGCTGGAGCTGGAAGGCACGGGCCTGAAAGGCAAGCTGAAGATGCCCAAATTTGACAAGCCCAAATTCACAGTCTCCTCCCCCAAGGCCGAGGTGCCCACAGCCGAGATCAGCCTGCCCAGCGCTGAGGTGGAGCTCCCATCCGCCACCGTGACGGCCTCAACAGAGGGCACTGGCGTGAAGCTGGAGAAGCCCTCCCTCAAGATGCCCAAAGCTGACATCAAAGCTCCCAAGGTGGACATCAGCCTGCCCTCTGTTGACGTCACCCTTCCACAGGCCAGCGTCGACTTGCAGGCCCCCGAGGCCAGCCTTAGCCTTGAAGGAGAAGCCAAAGTCCCAGAGAAGGAGGCCACCAAGACCAAAGACGGCAAGTTCAAGATGCCCAAGTTCGGCATGCCTTCCTTTGGCTGGTCCAGCAGCAGAGAGGCCAAGGGCACCGTGGCCGCCGAGGTGGACGTCAGCCTCCCGGAGCCTCAAGTGACGGTGCCTTCCGGAGCCAGCGAAGTGGAGGTGACCCTGCCCACGGCCGATATCCAAGTGCCCGGTGTGGAGGTGACCGTTGATGCGGGCACGGTAGCAGCCGAGGCTGAGAAAGGCCGATTCAAGATGCCCGACGTCAAGATGCCCAGCGTCAAGCTGCCCAAAGTCAAAGCTCCCCAGGCACAGGTCAGCCTGCCCAAGGCCGAAGTCTCGCTGCCCAAAGGCCAGGAGGGCGAAGCGGCCCTGCAGGGCCCCGAGGCCGAAGGCAGCCTGGAGGTGGCCGCTGGCAAAGCGGAGGGTGGCGGCATGAAAATACACATGCCCAAAGTCAAGGTGCCCAGCGTGGTCTTCTCCAAGCCCACCATCAAGTCTCCCAAACTGGAGGCAGACGTCAGCCTCCCGCAGGCCGAGCTCAAGGCCGCCGACATCACTGTGACGGCCCCCGATGTCAAGCTGCCCTCCGTTGAAGGCTCCCTGGAGCTCCAGGCGCCCGACGTAGAGGTCAAAGCTCCCTCCGCGGAAGGCAAGCTGGAGCTGGAAGGCACGGGCCTGAAAGGCAAGCTGAAGATGCCCAAATTTGACAAGCCCAAATTCACAGTCTCCTCCCCCAAGGCCGAGGTGCCCACAGCCGAGATCAGCCTGCCCAGCGCTGAGGTGGAGCTCCCATCCGCCACCGTGACGGCCTCAACAGAGGGCACTGGCGTGAAGCTGGAGAAGCCCTCCCTCAAGATGCCCAAAGCTGACATCAAAGCTCCCAAGGTGGACATCAGCCTGCCCTCTGTTGACGTCACCCTTCCACAGGCCAGCGTCGACTTGCAGGCCCCCGAGGCCAGCCTTAGCCTTGAAGGAGAAGCCAAAGTCCCAGAGAAGGAGGCCACCAAGACCAAGGACGGCAAGTTCAAGATGCCCAAGTTCGGCATGCCTTCCTTTGGCTGGTCCAGCAGCAGAGAGGCCAAGGGCACCGTGGCCGCCGAGGTGGACGTCAGCCTCCCGGAGCCTCAAGTGACGGTGCCTTCCGGAGCCAGCGAAGTGGAGGTGACCCTGCCCACGGCCGATATCCAAGTGCCCGGTGTGGAGGTGACCGTTGATGCGGGCACGGTAGCAGCCGAGGCTGAGAAAGGCCGATTCAAGATGCCCGACGTCAAGATGCCCAGCGTCAAGCTGCCCAAAGTCAAAGCTCCCCAGGCACAGGTCAGCCTGCCCAAGGCCGAAGTCTCGCTGCCCAAAGGCCAGGAGGGCGAAGCGGCCCTGCAGGGCCCCGAGGCCGAAGGCAGCCTGGAGGTGGCCGCTGGCAAAGCGGAGGGTGGCGGCATGAAAATACACATGCCCAAAGTCAAGGTGCCCAGCGTGGTCTTCTCCAAGCCCACCATCAAGTCTCCCAAACTGGAGGCAGACGTCAGCCTCCCGCAGGCCGAGCTCAAGGCTGCCGACATCACTGTGACGGCCCCCGATGTCAAGCTGCCCTCCGTTGAAGGCTCCCTGGAGCTCCAGGCGCCCGACGTAGAGGTCAAAGCTCCCTCCGCCGAAGGCAAGCTGGAGCTGGAAGGCACGGGCCTGAAAGGCAAGCTGAAGATGCCCAAATTTGACAAGCCCAAATTCACAGTCTCCTCCCCCAAGGCCGAGGTGCCCACAGCCGAGATCAGCCTGCCCAGCGCTGAGGTGGAGCTCCCATCCGCCACCGTGACGGCCTCAACAGAGGGCACTGGCGTGAAGCTGGAGAAGCCCTCCCTCAAGATGCCCAAAGCTGACATCAAAGCTCCCAAGGTGGACATCAGCCTGCCCTCTGTTGACGTCACCCTTCCACAGGCCAGCGTCGACTTGCAGGCCCCCGAGGCCAGCCTTAGCCTTGAAGGAGAAGCCAAAGTCCCAGAGAAGGAGGCCACCAAGACCAAAGACGGCAAGTTCAAGATGCCCAAGTTCGGCATGCCTTCCTTTGGCTGGTCCAGCAGCAGAGAGGCCAAGGGCACCGTGGCCGCCGAGGTGGACGTCAGCCTCCCGGAGCCTCAAGTGACGGTGCCTTCCGGAGCCAGCGAAGTGGAGGTGACCCTGCCCACGGCCGATATCCAAGTGCCCGGTGTGGAGGTGACCGTTGATGCGGGCACGGTAGCAGCCGAGGCTGAGAAAGGCCGATTCAAGATGCCCGACGTCAAGATGCCCAGCGTCAAGCTGCCCAAAGTCAAAGCTCCCCAGGCACAGGTCAGCCTGCCCAAGGCCGAAGTCTCGCTGCCCAAAGGCCAGGAGGGCGAAGCGGCCCTGCAGGGCCCCGAGGCCGAAGGCAGCCTGGAGGTGGCCGCTGGCAAAGCGGAGGGTGGCGGCATGAAAATACACATGCCCAAAGTCAAGGTGCCCAGCGTGGTCTTCTCCAAGCCCACCATCAAGTCTCCCAAACTGGAGGCAGACGTCAGCCTCCCGCAGGCCGAGCTCAAGGCCGCCGACATCACTGTGACGGCCCCCGATGTCAAGCTGCCCTCCGTTGAAGGCTCCCTGGAGCTCCAGGCGCCCAACGTAGAGGTCAAAGCTCCCTCCGCGGAAGGCAAGCTGGAGCTGGAAGGCACGGGCCTGAAAGGCAAGCTGAAGATGCCCAAATTTGACAAGCCCAAATTCACAGTCTCCTCCCCCAAGGCCGAGGTGCCCACAGCCGAGATCAGCCTGCCCAGCGCTGAGGTGGAGCTCCCATCCGCCACCGTGACGGCCTCAACAGAGGGCACTGGCGTGAAGCTGGAGAAGCCCTCCCTCAAGATGCCCAAAGCTGACATCAAAGCTCCCAAGGTGGACATCAGTCTGCCCTCTGTTGACGTCACCCTTCCACAGGCCAGCATCGACTTGCAGGCCCCCGAGGCCAGTCTTAGCCTTGAAGGAGAAGCCAAAGTCCCAGAGAAGGAGGCCACCAAGACCAAAGACGGCAAGTTCAAGATGCCCAAGTTCGGCATGCCTTCCTTTGGCTGGTCCAGCAGCAGAGAGGCCAAAGGCACCGTGGCCACCGAGGTAGACGTCAGCCTCCCGGAGCCTCAAGTGACGGTGCCCTCAGGACCCGCCATCGTGGACGTGACATTTTCTGAGTCTGAGTTCCAAGCGCTGAGCTTTGATGTTCCCCTAGATTCTTCTTCTTGTAAAGAGGATGTTGGTAAATCTAAATCTTCTGTCTTTAGAATGCCTAAAATTTCTCTTTCTAAAAGTTTCAAACCTCATGCACAAAGCCAGTCTGGATATGATGTTTCTGTCTCTGAAACTCTTTGTTATTCTTTGACAGAGGAATCTTCTTCTGTCCCTTCTGAGAGCGTTGAACCTAAACATTTTACTGACATTAAGGGGGAGAGTGTCTCTAAAAGTACCAAATTCAGAGTTCCTAGCATTGGTTTCTCTAAATCTGAAGTGACTTCATCTGAAATTGATCTGGAATCCTCATTACGACAGGGGGATATTACTCTTACTAAATACCAAACTAATCTATCAGAATCGGAATCAAAAATAGCATCTCTTGCTGATGAAAATCTTTCAGATTTTGAAATTTTAAGTGAAGATGGTTCTGAGGAGCAAGGAGGTTTTAAGCTAGAGGGCAAAACCACATCTGCTGAAATATCTTTGGGTGACACAGAGGTCACAGTTAAAATTCCTAAATTCCGAAAACCAAAATTCAGAATTCGATCCAAGGGAAAAGCATCTGAAAGTGATGTTGGTGCCACTGTGGAATCTGAAATTTCCAAGGGAAGGATAACATCTGATATGACTTGTCCTGATATTGAAAAACCAGTTCAAATCCCTGATGCCCATCTTGCTGTCAAGTTGCATAAGCCTTCACTTGAAGCTGTTCTGGATGCACCAACAATGGATCCAAATCTCTCACCCATGGAGGTTACCTTGCCAAAATTAGAAGCAGAAATCCATGGCCCAGATTTAGAGTGCAAGGCAGAACAGGAAGTAGTTACAGGAGAAAAGGGCACTGAGGAGAAAGAAAACAAATTTAAATCATCAAAATTCAAATTGCCTTCATTTAGGTGGTCCCCAAAGAAAGAAGCTATTGCTCCTTCTCATGTTGAGGAGCATTTGGAAGGACCCACTTTGTCTACCTTATCTGGAGACATGGGATCTGAATTAACTTTTCCTACTCCTGAGAATCAATACCTTCATGAAGAATTTGATACAACAGAAAAAGATGGTGAAAAGGCCAAAACCAAGAAGTCCCAATTTACCATGCCAAAGATCTCATTCCCTAAAATTAAGGGTCAGAAAGTACAGGTCTCTCTGCCTGTAGTGGAAAGTGGTGTTTCTGGACCCAAACAAGAAAAAGAAGGTGTTTCTGTTCAGAAATCTGAGAAAGGAAGTAGTGGAGAAGTTGCAGGACTGGGCATAAAAGTGCCCAAAGTTACAGTCCCAACTTCAGAATTTTCCAAACCAGAAGCCAAAGCTCCCAAAATAGAGGTGGATATTAGCATGCCTACAGGTGAGGTCAAAGTTCCTACCTGTGAAGGAGATGATCTGACACTGAAATCAGCTGCTGCTAATGCCAGCCTCTCCACCTCAGATATTAAGATGATACCTGAAGGTTCACTTGAGGTGAAGAGTCCTGACATAAGTGTTGAAAGAACATCAAGTGAAATTGCTGTGGGTGATGTAGAGATAAAAGCTGAAGGTTCTGAAGGGAAAACAAAAACGTCTAAATTCCAAATGCCAAAGGTAGGAATCACACTTTCTAAAGGGAAAGGGTCGGAAAAGAATGTTGGCCAATCCAAAGCAGAAGTCAAGGTTCCCCAACTAAAAGCAACAGTAGAAATATCTGACATTGCTGTTGAAGCACCAGACTTGAAGGTAGAATGTGGCACAGAAACAAGGACTTACAGTCCTGAAGCCAAAATTACCAAAACTGACAGTAAGACATCAGAGGCTGATGTTCACCTCCCATCAGCTGACATTCCTATTCCAAAAACAGACAGTGATATTCAGGATTCAGATGCAGCAGTAAAGATCAAGGGGGAAATAAAGCAAGATGGAGATGGAGAAGAGAAAGAAGGACATTTCAAGATGCCCAAATTCAAACTTCCATCCTTCAGTTGGTCACCAAAAAAGGAAGCAAGTGTTAAATCTGATTCTGGAGCAAATTTGGAAGACCAAAAGCTTGTTGTCATGTCAAGCAGAATAGACACAGAAGTGAATGAAACTGCAACTGATGATCAAGGTAGTGGGCCAGACCTTGATCTGGAAATATCTGCAGGAAAAGTTGAGCAAAAAAGTCCAATTAAAAAGCCTCAATTTGTCATGCCTAAAATTTCGCTCTCCAAGATCAAGGTTCCAAAATCTCAAAAAGTTGAAGCTGATGCTACTTTCCCTAAAACAGAAATAGAGGGTGATGATTCTATTAAGATACCTGATATAGAAAAATGTCATCCTGAAGGGACGGAAGAAGGGGCACAGATCAGCATAAAACTGGCTGACACTACAGTCCACACTCTGGAGTTTTCCAGAGTAGAAACTGAAGCCTCTAAAACTGAAATAACAGTCAGCTCAGCAAAGATTGATGCTTCTTTGGCTCCCTCAGAGGGGAGTTTTCAACAGGTCGACTTAAAAATAAGTTCTACCAATGAATGTAACATTCAAAAAACAGGTACTAAGCTCTCCAAAGGAGAAGCTTCAGTTGATTTGAAGAGCCCTGATATATTAACAGAAAGCTCATCAGTTGTGGATGGAAGAAAAGTGAAATTAGAAGGTCCTGAAGGGAAGATTAAAATGCAGAAATTCCAGAAGACAAAGTTTGGAATCACTAGAACAAAAGGGAAAGTCCCAGAGACAGAAATCAGTTCTCCAAAAATAGAAGCTGAGCTACCCCAACTAAGAAGAACAAAAGAAATTGCTGACATTGCTGTGGGAGTTCCAGCATCAGAACTTATATCTGATGTGTCAGATCCTGGAGTAGTTGATGGTAAGGTAAAAACACCCCAAGCTCTGACAGGTGACATTGAAGATGCAAAGGTAGACATAAGCACCAAACCAAAGACAGAGGGGGTTAGTGAGAGTCTTGAGGAGAAGGAAATCAAATTAAAAGAACATGAAATAAAAGCTGAAGTTCAGACTGAAGAACATCAGGGATGGTTTAAAATGCCAAAATTCAGAATACCTGCATTTGGCAGGTCATCCTTAAAGGAAAAGAAAAGTGATGCCGATATTGAAAGAAGTATGGAAAAAGCTCAGGCAACTATTCCTTCTGCTAAAGTACAAACTGAAACAAGTGCTCCTGAAAATACCTTCTCATTACCACATGCAGTTGCTGAAATTACTATTGGAAAAGAAGGGATTCAGAAATTAGGAGATTCTGTGGAGAGTTCTAATGTTAGCTCGCCAAAGATTGAAGGAGACATTTCATTATCCACAGAAAGAACAGATAGTAGAGTGAGTATTCCAAAAACTGAAACTTACGCAGATGTAGTTAAGCGCAGTGCTGAAGGACATACTTCAGAAATCACAGTGTCTGCAGCAGAATTGTCTAAGTCATACCCAAGCACTTTGGAAACTGACAAAGACAAGAATTCAGCAAATAGGTTTCCTATGTGTACTCTGTCATCTCCAGAGCATAAAGGCAAATCACAGGATATAAATGTCCAAAAGGTAGAAAGTTCCATGAAGTTAGAGACATCAGGGGTAGGATTCAAGCCATCATCAGCTGAAATTACTCTGGATGCAACACAGAAGAAAACAGATGTTAATCTTCCAAAGGAAGAGCTAGATATTCAAAACGAGGCAGCAATTAAAAAAGGAAAGATAAAGGGTGAGGTGAAAATCACAGGAAAAGACAGTGAAGAAAGTCAATTAAAAAGGACTACGTATGAATGGTCCACAGCAAAAGGATCAGAAGATGGTACTTATGTTACTGCTAAGCTGGAAGATCTAAAGGTAGAAGTTCCAACATTGAAGACGGACGTTAAAATTACTGGAGTAGATCCTGAAATGAAATTTCACGTGAAAAGTGTTGAAAAGGATGTGTCTGCAGGAGTGGAAGTGCAAGTAGAAGATAGAGCAGAAACAAGTAAAATTAAAGCATACAAGTTTAAGATTCCAAGGTTTGGAATGTTGCATTCTGAAATCAAGGGGTTTGAAGATGATACCAATTTTCCAAAGTCAGAAGCTGATTCAGCACCTAAAAGTGAAAGAGGCACAGCAGAAATGCAGTTACAAAAACCAGAAGGATCAATTGGCCTGAAAAGTCCAGCTCTAGATTGTATAGAAGCATCTGCCAGAGTAACAGGGGAAACAGTGGACCAAACACAAGGTGTCCCAGAAGTAAGTGTAAGAATTCCCAAACTAAAAATACCAAGATTCACTTTCAGAGCTCCCCCAATTGAAGCTGATGTTTTACTGTCAAAAGTAGTAACAGATCCAAAGGGATCTAGTACTGACATTGAAATAGTGCAACTGCAAGCAAGCTCTGCTATCCCTGAAGAAACCCCAGGAGCTGTAGAGGGGGGTATTCAAAAAGCAAAGAGCAAAATTTTAACAGTGACTGAACCTGCCATTAAAACAGCCCAAATGACAGCTACCATAGAGTCCTCCCTTTCAAGTGCAGGGCAAGACATTCATTGGTCTTACATAGAGGGCCAAGAAGTAAGTGAAAAAGTAGAACCTGAACATGTTGCTATTGAGCGGTGTGAGATTTACACTACTGAGATACTGAAAGAATCAGAGATTCTGTCATCAGAGGTCAAAACTGCTACTTTGGGATTCTCATTGCTCAAGGCCAAGTTGCCTGAATCACACAGTGATTTAGATGTGCTGGTCCAGCAGCCATCTCCAACAGGAGATGCATCAGTGAGAATACCTGCAGGTGCTGGTGAAAGCTTTGGAGTAGCTGCACAGGGAAGTGGCAGTGCTGAGCTTAAACTATCTGACAAACCACACCGTGGGTCTGAAGAATCTAGAGGAAAAGTAAGTTTGTCAAAGTTAAAAACATCTGCTGCTGAAGTAAAGGGTTCCAGTAAACTTGAAGAGAGTTTTCCTGATAAATCACCAGAGAGAATAACTGCAGCTCCTCTCTCTGAAGATGAAGATGTAGTTGAAGCAGTGGAAGGTGAAGAAAAAGACATAACCAATGAGAAAGAAAAGACTGATAGTAAAAGATCTCCTGGAAGATTTAAATTTTGGCTTCCAAGTATTGGCTTTTCATCTTCTGGGGATGAAACAAGCACAGATGCAAAAGCAGAAATAAAAAAATCAGTTCCAGAAGATGTGAAACCTGCTGACACATCAGATGATTCCTCTAAGCAGGCTGAAAAAGCTGGATGGTTTAGATTTCCCAAGCTTGGTTTCACATCTCCTTCCAAAAAGGCTAAGTCTGCTGACAAAGAAGAGGTGGGTCATAAAGAGGGGAGACTCTCAGATGAAGATAGCCCAACAGATAAGCCAGATGTGTTTTTTGATGCACAAGAAAGCTTATCACCTAAAGAAATAGGAGAAAGTGAAAAAGCTGAAATTGATGGGGCCTCATCTATTGTGACATCTTCAGCAAGAACTGAACTGATCTTGTTGGAGGAAGAAAAAGAGAGTAAATCTAGTATTGTTGGAGATACAGCCAAATGAAGGTTGTATTTTCTCAATCCTCAATCCTCAACAAAAACAAAATCATCCACAGAAGAGAATGTTTTCCTAATTTTCTACTAACTGAAAATTAAAAGCCAAGGTTGGTATTCATGAAAACACTTGAACAATTTTTCAAGTACATGGATGTACTAGATTGTACACTAATAAAAATAATGATTTCTTCATATCTACCCCAAGGGCAACAATTATGACAGGTGCAGATGAGCCCATAGGTTGAGCAAAGTCTGAGTAGATACCAGAACCACGAAAGTAAATCATTGAAAGGCTCAACAGTACCAAAAGACTTGTTAAAGAGGCTTCTCAAAACATACCAGTTATATTTAGATTACAGATTATTTCCAGAATGGGCTCTAAACTAGTATTATGAGAACTACACTTACCTGTTTAGATTTTGGAACTTTCTGATCTACTTTTGCTTTGTTATTAAAATGTTTTTTCTTTATTTCAGCTAAGGTAGTATGTATATTCCACAAACATTTTAAAATATAAAATAAAAATTAAATATTAGTGTAGAGAGACTAATGCTTTGCCTCTTCCTCTCTTCTCATTTTTTTATTATTGTGGCAGGTCATATTTAGCCTTACAATAATTTAAAATAAAAAACAGCAAAACCCAACAGAATAATTTCAAGACCAAAAAACATGTAACTAAATCGTGTTTGTAAGATACCAGAATAAAACATGCTTACAAAGAACATTATTCAAATGTGGATAAATAAATTTTAATGTATATACTTACGGGATTGTTAAATGCTTAGAATGATCTGCCACACTGGTGGAATTGCTTCAGAGATTTTCTGGGAAAGGAGGTGTATATAATTATTTGCTCCTTTGTTTATATTAATGCTTCTCTCAAGTGCACAATGAAAACCAGGGTGTGTATGTGACAGCCTTCACATGTACCATTAAAACACTGTCTGTATTCTTAATTCACAATAAACTCACTATAGGAATAATAACTTGAGTAGCGTGAGTTACTGACATTTCTGATTAGGAAAATCCCAGCTTAAATTTGCAAAAGTTTGCATTTTCTTAATGTACTTAATGACAGCACAGTTCCTTAATGTAAGGGTAATGGAGACATTTCACTCAAAGTTGAACTATAGAATATGTTGAGGCAGAAGGAACCTTTCAGGATCCTTGAATCCCACTCCTGGGCCTGCACAGGACACCCCAGGACTCGCACCATGTGCCTGAGAGCATTGTCCAAAGGCTGCTTGAGCTCTGTCAGGCTTGGGGCTGTGACCACTGCCCTGGGGAGTCTGTCCCAGTGCTGAAACACCCTTTGGGTGAAAAACCTTTCCTAACATCCATCCTAAATCCCTCATGAATCAGCTCCAGCTGTTTCCTCAGGTCCTTTCACTGGCCATGAGAATGAAGAGATCAGCACCTGCCCCTCTGCTTCCCCTCATGAGGATTTGAAGGCCACACTTGAGCTCTCCCCTCAGTCTCCTCCAGGCTGGACAGACCAAGTGACTTCAGCCCCTCCTCATACAGCTTCCCCTCCAGACACTTCATCATCCCTGTGGCCTCCTTTGGACACTCTCTAATGTCCTTTTTTTTATTGTGGCACCCAAAACTGCTCACAGGACTCCAGGCAAGGCTGCCCCAGCGCAGAGCAGAGCAGGAAAATCCCCTCAAATACAAAAACATTTTCCAGGAGAGTTTACTCACTAGTTCCTGAAGTCAGCTCTCCTCCTGTCCAGAGTTGAAGTTTTGCTGTCCCTTTTCCTCCTGTCGAGATTTTAAACTCAATTTCTTTGTGGCTTCTTTGGCCAAGACGGCTGCAATCACCACTTCACTCACGAGATACTCTCTCCAGAATGACAAGTGCAGACATGCTTCATTATAGTAGTTTTCCCATATTTCTCCATGTTCTTCTTAGTATAGGAAAGCAGACACAGCAAAACACTTAGGAAATGGGTTGTAAATGAAGTGCGCTTGGTTGTCTAACCATCTGTAAATTAAGATATTCTTCATTTCTTCTCCTTATCACAGAATCACAGAATGTTAAAGAGACAGAAGGAACCTTAAAGATCATCCATCTAACCCCCTGCCATGGGCAGGGACACCTTCCACTGGCCCAGCTTGCTCAGAGCCCCATCCAGCCTGGCCTTGAACACTGCCAGGGATGGGGCAGCCACAGCTGCTCTGGGCAACCTGTGCCAGGGCCTCAGCACCCTCACAGTAAAGATTTTTTCCTTGTAGCTGATCTAACCCTGTTTCACTTAAAAGACAGTTAGAATAGAATAGAATAGAATAGAATAGAATAGAATAGAATAGAACAGAATGGAATAGAATAGTTAATTGAAAGGGGCCCAAAATGATCATTCAGTCAATTGCTCAACCACTTAAGTGATGACCAAAACATAGAAAAAACATTGAGGTTATTAAGGGCATTGTCCAAATGCTTGTGGCATTGAACACTTCTCAGGACAAGTCTGGTTTAGTGTTTGAGCTCTCTCTTGGTAAGGAAATGTTTCCTAGTGTCAAGTTTGAACCTCCCCTGCTGCAACTTTGAATTATTCCCACACATCCTCACACTGGATACTGGAAGAAGGAACTGGCACCTCCCTCTCCACTTCCCCTCTTCAGGAAACTGCACTACCACAACCCACCCTGCAACTAAAGCTGACTTTTCTGGGCCTCTGCAGAGAGCAGAGGTCTGTGAGTCAGTGCCCATGGCCCAAGAGCTATCCTCTAAGGATTGTGGAGATATTAATGACTGTCATGAAATTAAGTGTACCCTGATATGGCATAAATGGTAGATGAAATGTTGTCCCAGTACCTGGATTAAAGCAACAAAGGTATGTTTTATCTGTAACAACTGGGAAAGGAAAATCCTGCATAATGGCAGGAAAAAGTGTGAACAGATAATACTAAAGTTTTGGAACAAGCTGGTGTCTAAGGTGACTTTGTGCTCATGTCAGTACTCATAACCCCTGAAGCCAGCTGGGTTCTGTCCTGCTGTCACCTGCATTGCTGTGCACTGTAGCCACAAGGCACTGCACCAAACCAAGAGCTTCCAGAGGTGATCCTGCTGGGAGAGCAGTGCAGCTGCTCCTCCTGAAAGCCACTGCAGTGAAGCAGAGCCAATTCTCACACCTTGTACTCCCTCATCACACAGGTACCTGAGATGAGCTGATCAGAGGAGAGTGTCCATGCTCAAGAGCCAAAACAGTGACTTTTTCTAGACATGAATAAACCAATACTGACAAAAATATGAACAGCCTACAGTCAGACTAGAAAATCATAGATTATCCTGAGCCAGAAGGGACTCACAAAGTCCAGCTCCTGGCTCTACACAGTACAACCCCAAGAATCACACCACATCTCCAAGAGTGTAGTTCAAATGCTTCTTAATGTGACAACTTTCCTGGGGAGCCTTTCCACTGCCCAACCACCCTCTGGTTGAAGAACCTTTTCCAATAGCCAGTCTGCCCAAAGATGATGCTAATAAATGCCACTGGAGGACCCAGGATACATTTGGTCCAGTCCTTAGCTTGGAGAAATCACAATCTAAATAAACGAGATATGTAAGAGATGAATGGATAAGGACTATTATTAACCCTATTTCATAAATAGAAAATAATTGAGACTCAAAGCCTGGTTTTAACTTACATGTTTAATAGAAAACAAGTAAATAAGAATCAAGGTATGAACGGGCTTCAAAAATCTCACAAGAAATGAGGGAAATACTCCCAAGTTCCTCTTAGATCCAGTTCACTGTATTCATTGTAAACACCCCCCTCACCTTCCCATGTGTAGAGGAAAACCAGCAGTGAAGTCAGTAGAGAAAACAGAAGAGCACTCTCCTAAACATCCATTTTTCTTTTGTAAGCCAAACCTTAACCCACCTGAGGTTTATATGGCCATAAGAACAATTCTGCCACCTTATCCAGAAACTCTGTCCCACTGAACAACTAATCCAGCACTGTCAGATTTGAGCTCCCGAGTAGAAGAGAAGGAAGTTTTCTTCTTCCTCCTGCAGTATCTATCTCTGCCAAAACAGAAAACACAGCTTGGAGTGCCATCTAGAGGAGTGTGCTCCTCTACAGAAAACGGTTTTGTTGGTTGAAGATGTAACGTCTCACAAAGATTTTCAAGCTAGCTCTAGTAAGGAATTAGGGGGTGAGAGCACGAAAAGCACCTGCATGTTCCTCAATATTTTGGCATGTATGGGACTACTCCCAAAATTTCCATGATGCCTGTACATGTAACTACCTGTCTTAGAAAATCTGCCACAGTAACAGGAAGAATTGATTTGTAATGATGGATAAAACACTCCAAGGAATCTTGGAAATGTCTGAAGAGATAGCTAAGGAGCAGCCTGGAAACCAAAAAACGGAACATTGATGGGGGTCATCTCTGAAAGTCCTTATTTGTATGGGGGTTTTTGTGTATGCACAGCCCTGGCAAAGCTCATGGAGCTCCAGCCCAGTGTCACTCACAGCTGGAGCACGAGCCCTGCTCTCCTTTCCTGTCACCTCAGGAAGCCACCCAGGGCAGAGCTGTGGTGGATGTGGATATCAGCCACCAGATGGCTCAGGGCTGTGGTCCCTGAGTGACTGCAGGAGGAAGGGCAGCCCAGAGACTCCACACTGCTCAGGGCCAGCACCAGGGCAGCCCAGAAGGAGGAAGGAGCCTCTCCAAGCACTGCCCACAGTGCAGGTGGGATGCCCCAGCCACAACAGCACCCATGTAGCAGCTTTGCCCTGCTCCCCATCCTGTTTGCTGCACAAGACTGACACACAGACATCCAAACACCCCCAGACTCTCGGGGCTCCAGGGCAGCTGAGCTGGAAACTGGCCCCAAAGTTTAAATCCCAGGCATTTATCTCTACCAGCTGGCCTTAACACTTAGAAACAGGTATCTCTAATTTTTTCAACCAACATTAATCCCTGTATCTCTAATTTCTAAATGCCTTTAAAAATCTGCCCTTGCTATTGTAGGTGATCATTATACATGGCTAAAAAGTTAAGGTGGCCAGGAGTTTTTTAAAAATGTTTAAATACATGTAAGCAGACACTGTTAATGGAACTTTTAGGTTGAAATATACAGTTTCTAAAGATAGAATAGCCGAGCAATAATGATCTGTGTCTCTGATGTTTGCTTTAATGTCAGACAGCTTGTCATACAACATTGTATGGATTTCATTAACTCTGCAATGAGGTAATCACACCAAAAAAATCAATCACACACTGACTAGTGGTTTTGCAGGTAGAGTCAACTGTCAGAAATTCTCCTGTCACCAATGTGGATGCCACGAGGAAGTGATTTCTCTGACAAAGACAAAAAGAAGAGATTTCCTTGATTTGCACCTGCACAAGATTCAAATATTTTTTTTTTGTTTCTATTTTAAGTGCACATTTCAATTCACTTCAGGTCTAATCCCAGTTACAGTCTTTCTGTCCCTGCACATCTTCCAGATTCACCGCATATTTGGAATTCCAGTCTCGCTCAAAAAGATCTTTCAGCTGTTCCTGGACACATTGTTGTCTTCTTTGCAGGTCGGTCGAATTCTGTTTGATAATTAGTCCCACACCAGCTGTATCAGTGAAGTAGTTTTCTGACCAATTGGAAGTCCCTATGCAATGGAAAAGCAGCTGATTAGAAAACATTCATTTCTCAATGTTCTGTTTGATCTCTGGGCTTTGTTGATTTGCTCTATGACTGCAAATCTCATTAGGACCAACGAGGCAGCAAAAATCAGGTCACCTCCTTCTTATGCCAGACCTCAGGTTTTGAAAACTTGCTATTAACTGCAACCCTGAAGGTTCATAACCTTCTGATTCATTACAGCCTGTGACAGAGTGCACAAATCTACTCATAAACATGGCAATAAAGTGCAATATATGAGTATTAGGAGAAGTAAAAGCCAGTGTTTGACATGGGTTTCAGTGTTTAAAGAAAGAAGTCTTTAATTTACTCAATTCTCTTCACTTGTTAAAGGAAAACAAAAGGAGAAACTGGACTCCTGATCAATAAACCCTCAGGAGCTGTTCTGAGCTTGACACGCAAAGCCTGCTTCTAAACCAGGCAAAGCTGGAAATCCAGCTGCAGACATTGTCTAGAGCTCTCTCCAAAGCTACCTCAATTCAGACAATCAAGCACTGTGAACAATGCACATTTTATCACTCACGCACTTCCCCTCGTGATCGCCTTAGCCAGAAAAATCTGCCAATTCCAGAAGGTGCTTAGGCATGAAAACAAATCATCTGCATATCTGCCTTCAAGTATAAAACAAGTTATTAAAGTATTGAAGGCAACTGGGGCTGTAAACCCTCAGCCAGTTGGAAGATGAAGCTATTTGCTGGAATGTATTGCTGGGAGGATGAGCTGGCTGAAGTGACAGAGCACTTTCACATCTCCTTTTCTGAGGGTTCCTAATAAAAGGATGAAATGTAAACACCATCCCTGCTTTCAGGAACAGCGCACAATTGACATTACTGTTTTCTCATTTCCTTTCCTAGAATTCTGTTCAACAAACAGTGCATGGAATTAATTCCTCCCAGCAGTTCCTCTTTATTAAAGCACTGTAATGTTATGTACTGGAGCACCAGCTATCCCTGTGTCATTCTGAGCACACAGGCTGTGAAATCCCCGCTGTGTTTGTCACAGGCTGTGCACTCAGCCTTGTCACACTCTGCTCCTAATGGCTCACAATCACATGAAATAATCTCTTACTGAACTTGACCTACATTATTTTCTCCCCTTTATATCTATACTACTTTACCTAGAACAGATTTTGGTTTGTATGGCAAAATGAGGTATTTTTTGGTATTGCAGCTGATCCTATCTCAGCCTCAGTCTAGTAGATCTGGGGATACTGTAAATATTTGGAATCATGGAATACATACCAATGTAGGCTACTTTATCAGTGACCATGTATTTGTTGTGATTCACTCTCCCATGAGGAATGTTTGTGTGATTGAGAACAGGAACAATGAAGAGTTTCTGGAGGGAGAGGAATTAAAAATATTAACACAAATACTAGAGTGAGGAACAGACATCATGATTGGACAGTGCATGTTTTCTGTAGTTTCAAAGAATAGAAGAGTGTGGGAAGAACAAAAGAGAGCATACTGCACTCTGTTGTTGAATAGACCATAGAAGAGATTTTACTCCTATCCAAGAAAACTAGCAAATAATACTTCCACTATACATAAAACTGGATAAGCAATTAAGATCAGATACAGAAAATGTTTGCCTCACAATGTTCCATTAGTGGCACAGCTATTATCATTACAGGGCAGACAATTAAATGCAGTTTTAGGCAGCTGTTTAATAGATTGCATTTACCACTGATTGCTGCTCTTATTTTGTGTGAGAATGAGCTGATCACAGACACAAGGGGTACTGTAGGCAACTATAATGCCTAACTTTTTGTGTTAACTCTTACCAAAATCTACGTTTCCCTTTTTATTTTTTTTTTTTTCTGAAATCCACTCCTCCTTCTGTGGTATTTCTCTGTTGTGATTACTGCATCATGTTGGGAGCATCCACACCATCCCCACTCCACCTGATGCATTCCAGCCTAATGCCTATGGCCTGTGTGCAATATTTAGTGTTCAAGAACAGATCTATCTGTATAGGCAGAGAGCAGAGCTCTCAATTAAAAAAAAAACTGATATCAATTAGACCAATTTAACATATTCCATGCAGGAAAAGGTCTCTGAGAGGAGCACTAAGTTATCATATAAACTGTTACTTGTCACAGTGCTCAGCAAAAGCAGCTGCCTGGATAACGTCTCAAGTGCCACAGCCAGGCACATACCTGATATCACTAGTATCTTGAAATAGCTACTTCCTCAAAGATTATATATTGGGCCTTATTTTCACAAAAACGGGAAGCAGTCACCACAAAACCAGACAACCAGCTTCTCTAAAACCTAACATTTGTACACACAAACAGCAGCTTATTCTCAGAAATCAGAGAACTGGGGGGCCGTCTCCCCAAAGTGTCTTTCCAAAATCAGGTTTTTTATTCATACCACGTCGACACTGATGTGGGCGTGTGGGTTGTTGAGGGCACGCAGGGACCTCAGGTAGTGGAGCATGGCGGGGTCCGTGTAGGCCCAGCAGCTGACCAGGAGCCGGACCTGCACCCGGTGGTTGAAAGCTGCACGTCTGAGGGCATTGTCAATGGCTGGCCAGTATCTGCAGAAAAGCAGGTGTGTGCAAAAAGGGATGTTTTTTTAAAGCAGTTCACTAGAAAGCTGTGAAGTTAAACTGAGACTAGGAGTGATGATGCACAGATGGGGTTTCTGATGTCTAGTAAGTGAAGCACTTGTGGCTTCCCTGGAGGTACAAACAAGGTTTCTGCCTTCTACCAAGCCTGTTCTTCTCACAGAACGTGTTTTGAGACCTCCAGACCCTGCCAAATTGGGGTGAAATTAATCCAAAAGTCTAAAGCTTAGTAAAGTGCCCATACACAGATACACACACAGCGTGGTGCCTGCTTAGGAGACTGAAGATAACAATAGCAACTCCAGGGTAAGGCCAGTTCATACAGCACAGAGTACAAGGGCAGTGCAGAGCCCATAGGAAAGTCTAAGAACCATTTTGCAGAATATGGCTTTTTCAGGCCCCTGGAGACTGTTTCCAGTGTCTGCAGTGGTCCTGTGCCATCGGCCAGCATGGGCAGACTCCACCCCTCCCCACCCCTCCCTGTTCTCATTGTGTGTGCCCAAGGTAAGGGACACAGCTGTGCTCTCCATGTTCCCTGAACATGGGAAAATCTGTTTTCCTGACCCTTGTGTTGGCTGTAGCAATGGGGGACATTTTTAACTCCTTCACCCAGCTACACAACACTAAGAGCTGAACAATGTGCATCCCAGGGCTGGTAACTCCAAACACCCACATGGCATTTTCATTGCATGGATCCTAACAAATGCTGCACGGAGGGAGACAAGCATGTTTAGTACAGATTGGAAGGCTGATACAGAGAGAGGTCCAGCATTTGCTCGCAGCCCCATGAGCAATGATGAATTAATTTGCCTAACTTAATCCTTTTGGTCTTATGTACAAAGGCCTGAATTCTCTGATCCTCCCCCGTGCATCGTCCTATTGCGATCAATGGCCTGGCCACGTGCTCTGAGGCTCAGGCTTGACTTACTGATCCTGAAAAGCTTGGAAAATCATGCTATTTGAAATGCAATTTTTGAATGGTTTCAATTTTTAAAATATATCAGTTTCTAGTTGATGAACACTCAGGCATTAGACAGCAGCTTTGTTTCCTCTGCCTCAGCTGCTGGAGGAACCTAACCTGAACTAATCAGCTTCAATTCATGGCACTACAGCTGGTTGCTGTGGAGATAGCCCGAGGCCCTGTGCCACTTTCCCTGGGCCTTTCAAACCCTTGTTTGCATCTGATCAGCCCTAGATGTCACAAACTGTGGATTAAGCTTTCAGATGAAGAATAAGGAGTATTAATGCACTCAATGCTAAGGGGGGAAAGAGACTTTCTGGGAACTTATTCCCAGAAAGATGAGTGGGTTCTCAGAAGATGAGAAACCCAGAGACTCAATTGTATTACATAGAAACTGAAAATCCTCTGAGGTGTTTGATTTATTAAAGATATCCTCCAAGTAGAGGCTAGTCTCAATTTTGTTTCTTGGACAGTAGAATTATCTGCATCTCTCTATTATCCTAAAATCTTCCCCATAACACACCTATGCCTCAGCTGAACAACAGAGGCTTTACACAGTTGTGGCAAAGGGACATGATGCATGGTATCATTCTGGCTGAATGGCAGCCTAGAGCTTACCCTATTCAACAAGACATGTACATAATTCTTTCACTTGAACTTCTTTCTCAGATCATTTAGCTGGTTGGAAAACTCAGAAATGTTGTAAGCAGGTAATTCAGAGCACTTGGTTGCACAGAAACATCCCAATTCAAGCATATCTAAGAGGATTTGGGAGTCTTAGTGCTGCCCCATGACTGTGTAACTTTCTGTGCTTCTCAGGTTTGGGTTCATGTGCAGAGCCTGCACAGTTCTGCTGAGCCTCGGGCAGTCTCTGGAGCAGGGCAGTGGTTCAGGCTCAAGGCCAGGCTGGATGGGGCTTTGAGCAGCCTGGTCTAGTGGAAGGTGTCCCTGCCCACGGCACAGGAGGGGAGGAATGAGATGGTCTGTAGCCTAAACCATTCTGTGATGACTCCAGATCACCACCATCACTTTATCTCTGAAGCTGCTGCTGGAACTTAGATGGAATTATTAAAAACAAAACAAAAACCCCAAACAACAACAACAACAACAAACCCCTCAACAACAGCAACAAAAAAACGCTAACCCCCAAACAAACAAAAAACCCAGAAGTTTCTTTTAGAGGCTGTTTCAGCTCTCACTGCAAAGGTCAGGAGAGTCAAGAACCACCCTCTAAACCATTGGTCAAGTGCATCAAGCAAGAAATAGAGCAGGAAGTCAAGACTCTTCAGAAGTAAAGAACAGCAAGAAAAATGGGAGCAAGAAAGGAGAGCACAGCAATGTTTTCTCTGAAAAATCTGATGCCAGATGTATTTCTGGTGTTCCCTTTCCTCTCTCAATTCATAAAGCTACTGTGTTGAATTTTGGAGGATGCTGGACCTGACTGTCCCTAGCATGGCATTCCACATGGCATGGCATTTCACAGCATGGCATTCCACAGCTGTTCTGCTGTGTGGAGAGCACAGGAGGCTGCTCCAGAGCACCAGCAAAGCACACAGGTACTGGTAATCATCCTTCCTGCAGCATCAGGACTGGAATCACAGAATCCTGGAATTGTCAGGTTCTGGAAAAGACCTTTAAGGTCATCAAGTCCAACTCTCAGCCCAGCAGCAGCACCATGTTCACCATTAAACCATGTACTCAAGTGCCATAGCCACAGAATTTTTAAACTCTTCCAGGGATGGTGGCTCCACCACTTCCCTGGGTAGTCTGTTCCAATACCTGATAACTCTTTCCATGAATTCCTTTTTCCTAATATCCAATCTAAACCTCCCCTGGCACAACTTGAGGCTGTTTCCTCTCATCCTGTCCCTTGGTACGTGGGAGGCACAGTCTATGGGATGGTTATGAATGCAGAGCAAAGCCTCTCTCCATTTTGAATATTTTCATTGCAGAAGGAGAAGAATCATATTTTTTTTTCTTTAAATAGTACCAGTAGCTGATTTGCTCAGGATAGAAATTGTGAAGATAATTGTGAAGATGGAAATTGTACCTTTTTGGTTGAACAAAACGGCTGGTAGGGAAATATTCCATAACAGAAACATAGACAAACTTCTGTGCCTGACTGATTATACTGAGTATAGCATAGAGGTCATGGGTACGACCTTCTGGACAAAATGCTGGAGGGGAAGCCTGTAAAAAAAAAAAAAAAAAAAGAAAACATGTAGATCAGTGATTTTTTTTTTTCTTTCAATCTCAGACTCCTTTGTGTTTAGATCTGTCTACTTTTCACTAAAATACCACGAAGCACTTGAGATGGATCACCATCTTTCCTCATGTCTTCCATATGCTGCTGGGTCAGATACTTATTGATATATTGGGCCTACAGGTGATTAAAAGAGACTTGCACACTGTTCCTGCCATACAGTTTGCCAGATTATGCTGGGTTTATCCCTATCCTTTGAACATCCCAGAGAAACCTAAGGAACAAATTATTATCCACCTGGAACACAAGCAACTGAGCAGGACTGCTGAAGAAACTTTCCTGCTCAATCTTAAGCACTTTACACTCTGTCGTGTTATTTTCAAACATACTTACAGAAAAATAGGTTTTTGTCAAGATTCCATTAAATTCTACTTCCAGAGGATGATGATTGTTAATGTGGGTTGAGTAATTGAGAGGCCAAGGGGCTGGGATGGTAGCATTAGGATATCCAACATCCCAATAGGTACTAAACGTTTTCCAGAGGTCTTGGGCCAAGCAGCTGCAGTTATACATCACAGCACCAAACTCTTTCACCTGCAAAGAGAGCAAGCTCTGTCACAGCCCCAGAAGGAGCCACCTCCAGGGGTTTCTGTAGGGGGATAGAATATAAGAAAATAAAGGTAGTATAGAAAGTAATCTTACCCCTAAAGAGTTGCAGCTGGGCTAATTATTAAAGATTAGGAGCAGGCCTGACTTTAACAGGCCACAGCTGTAGCCAATAAGAAGAAGAGTGCTATAAAAGAGTGGGTTGGTTGGTTAAGAGGGGAACTGGTGTCAGTTGGCTGCTGTGAGAAGGAAGAGTCAGTGCTTGGAGGAGCTGCCCATGAGAAACATCAAGGAGGTACGAAACCTTTGCATTAAGGAGCCAACAATATGGAACTTTGTAATGTAATGACAGCAGGTTTCTTTGCTGTTTCTTCTGCTCTGACAATATTTTATATCAATATGATTTTTCTCTGTTATCTGGTAGGATATGAATTTTCCCCCACATTTCTGAATATGCAGCAGCAGATGTTACCTGAGATAAAGATCTCCAGTCCATGTTTGCACTACCAATGTATACGTGCTTCATGTCTACTATCCAGAATTTGCTATGCAACACTCCTCTTGTCAAATGTCCAAAATCAATCTTCTTCACATGAGCCCCTGAAGAAAGACGGAGAGGGGAAAAAAAGTTTAGATACAGCATGGAGATGGTTCCTCAACAGCCAGAACACATCTGCATGTCTGACGCTTGCAGGCAGTAACAACTACCAAAATTCACAAGCACTCATTCCCAGGATCACAGTAACTTGGAAAAACAATATGCAAAATGTGAACTTTCAGAAGATCCTGAAGAGCACAGAAAGAAAGCATGAACTAGTGAGCAGATGGCGCTTGTCCTGTGAATTTATTTAAGCACTACATCAGAACAGGCCTTGGAAACCAGGTTTCCCACAGATGCCTTTTTGCAATATAGAAGCTGTGAGTGGATCACTGAAGGGAATTACCTTTTTCTTCTAAAAGCTCAAGGTCCGTTGATTTTGTAGCCAGAGTTGGTGAACTTGCTGCAATATACAAAGAGACATTCTCTGCGAGTAACCTCTCAAACCTCTGCAGAATATCTTCACCCTGTGTGATGAATTATTTTTTTATATGAGTTTATATGAGTTATTTTTTATATTTTGTTGCAGAAGGTGTAGCAAGATATAGGCAAGGGCAGTGTTACTAATGGGTACTTCCTTTGAAGAACCTCAGCACAAGGAAGGTCAGAAATTTCACTTATTTCAGCCTAACTTGACTAAAGGAGGAAAGCTGGAGTGTTGCTTCAGAACAGCATGGAAAACCTTCCTGGATTTGCAGGAGGAGTTAAGCAATGTCTCTGGGAGACACACCACACAGCCAGCCTGTCCTCTACCACAGGGACGTGAGGAAAAACAATCACAGAGATGCTTGCTGCTGGTTTTACCTTACCTGCTTGGAAGAGGAGTCATTGACACCAATATCCTTCCCAGTGAGAGACCAGTAGTAAGAGGCCACGTGCACTTTTTCCTGGGCTAGATCAAGCAGTTTTGTCCAGGCTTGGTACAAGGGTTTGGCTGCAGTGCTGTTTATCTCGAAGGGTAAGTCATAAGGAACATTTTCCACAAGTTCAAAGCTGCAATGGCAATTTTGTGTTATGAAGCAAGTGACTGTGACCCCAACAGGACACCAAGCCAGACTGCACAGCTGGCCATGCTGGATGTCAACCTCCACAGCAAACAAGATGAGCTGGACAAACAGGCTGGCAGTGCTCTCTACCCCTAGTTTTTGTAGCCAGGCTTATATTGTTGTACAGTGACCTCCCAAATTCAGCAGAGTGGTTTCTCGGTAGCTATTCTGAGCTTTTTATTTTACCCTGCCTAAGATGTGGAGAAAAGCGAACCCCCATAGCTGGATGTTGCTAGGGTACCCTCTTCACCCTCTCGCAGCACAGACATTCCCTGCCCCTGCAGCCTCTGGGAAAGGCTGCTCTGCCAGCTGGTGACACAAAAGGAGGGTGGCTGCAGGGGCAGAGGAGGAACCGAGCTGGGATGAGCATACAAGCAAGGACTGGGAGCAGGGCTGTGACACTGCCCCTCACAGCAGGCAGCTGCCAATTACCCAGCGCCTAAACAGCACCCCCAAATTAGCACTCCTCCCTAATTTGTGGTGCTTCATCACTTCTCTTCCCACTTACAGTGGGAAGAGAATAAAGCCCATGCTGATATTATCAGTCCTGTAGCTATTTCTCCCTCTGGTGATGACTTTTCTCCATGTGCCATCTAACCTGACTCACCTGCAGGAGTCATTGCATCTGTTGGTGCCCTCCTCAGTTGCTGTGGCTCTTGGGAGATCTCCATAGAGTCCTTCTTCCTCTGGGAGATCTCTGTACAGTCCTTCCTCCTCCACATTTCTGTAAATGCTGACAGCTGCTGCTTCTTCTCCATTACCATCAACTGTGCTGTCCATACTCAGGAAGTAAAAAGCCATCAGGACAAGACCAAGGGTCAGAATCGCCCCTAAGATTTGAAACTAGAACAGAACCCACAGAGGAGAAGGTTTAAGTCATCACCAAGGCATTGATGCACCAGCTAATGGATGACTACCTGTGCAGGTGAATAAATCACAATCTTTGAATGGGAGATCTGCTTGCAGCTCCTGTTCTTATGGGCAGCACTGAAAGCGAGGAACAACTGTTCAAGGTCTGCTTGGACAGGGCCCTGAGCAGCCTGATCCAGTTGAAGATGGCCCTTCTCTCTGCAGGGAGGTTGGATTAGATGACCTTTAAAAGGTCCATTTAAACTCAAGTGAGGTGCAGTGAGAAGGACTAGAAGTTGCTAAGATTTTACACATTGAAACCCCAAAATTAAGGAATAAAGGTAAACAAAGAGACATGAGAATAAATTGAAGAAAAGAACTGCTTAAAAAAAAAAAAAGAGAAAATTCTGAAACTAAGTGAAAACAGTAAAAGTTAATGGGATGACACAATGTGCAGGGGAAATGGACCAAAGCTTGACCAATTGATCCTCATTGAAATGGCAAGATTTCATTCCCTTCCTGAAAGGAGAAATTTCCTGAAATTCATGAAATCTTGAAATCAGAGAATCAAGTGGAACAAACACTCTGGAAAGGAGATATGATCAAATAAAGTGCAACTGGGGTAAAAAAAGAAAATTTGGAAATTGATTGGTGTTGGTTTATGTGAAGACTGTGATTTTAGTTCCATTTTTTGGTTCAATTTTTTTTTTTGTGCCAACATATCAATCCCTTGGAGCTTTTTTCCCAAATTTTGTGATTAATTTGACATTGATTAGCTTTATTTTAGCACAGGACCAATGGACGTTCAACAAAATTTCTACTAAAATCAAAATAGGGCAATTTCTAACACAAGATTAGCTGTGGGATTAAGCCAAGCATTACCATAGAAAGGAAGTTTGTGTCGTCAGGGGAGAAAAAACAGTTCAGAAAGTGTCAGAGGCAGAAAGACATTTTGTGGTTTCTGAACACGTTCTGGTTTTGTCTTAAATGTCCCTTAACTGAAGCAACACAAATCTCATTTATCCATGTGCACAATATTCCCATGTCATTTTAGTGTGGTGAGTTAGTTTCATTTCACTTTTGCTGCACTTTCAATTTTTTTCCTGAATGTAGATGAAAAAAAAAAAAAAAAGTAGCCTGGCTACCTGGTAGCTTCAGATCTGCAGTCCAGCCACTCACATGCTGAAAATTTTAGCACCAGGCTCCAAATGCTGCCTTGTACTGAACAGGCAAAGACAACCAGCCACACATGCAGATCTCTTTCCCCCCAGTAATTATCATGGCTGGCTCCCCATGGCAATTTATGGGAGCTGGAACCATCCACCAGCCTGTGATAGGCACCATGGACTTCAGAGCTGAGCTTCTGAGCTCCCAGGCAGGAGAATCAAGTCTGGGGGTGGTCGTGAGGCTGCAGCCATAAATCTGAGCTCCCAAAAGGGCACATGGGAAAACCACACAGAAACCACTTGCCTCTGAAAGTTTCTGTTTCTATGTGGTTTCAGTTTAAGTTTCTATGTGGATAAAGCTTCCTGCTTTTTATCTTCTCTGCTTTTCTCAAAATCTACAGTGCTGACATAGATTTCAGGCAGCAATTTTAATAAAATAATCATCTATAAGGTATCTACTTAAATTTTTGCCCTCTGGGTTGTTCTCCACCTTACCACAAAAAAAATCTCACCCATTTTTAACAGTTCCACATTTCATCACATGAACATGTTAGCAAGACTTAGGTTTTAGAAGTTATTTCTAAGGTAAGAAATCTATTTTGAAGTCACATCATGGCTGTCACCATGCTACACACTGTGATGTCCAGGTACTCTGGGCATCTGAATAAATGAACAAATGAATACATTATTAAATGCTGTGCCAGGAGTGGAAGTGAGGCTGTTTGTATGAGTGTGGTTTCCTTGTCCTGAGCCAGACAGAGCTGCAGGATTTATCTCCACATTACTCCCTCTGGGCAAGGTTTGATCAGTCTACCGGATAAATCAATGAGGGTTTTGTCACTCACTTGTTTACAAATAGGATTGAAACCTACACAGTTTTCTAAAATGGCCAATAAAATAATTCTCAACCTGTTATTTCTTTTCAGAAATGTCAGCACAATCCCAGCTTTTGTAAGCAAATGTGGTGCGTCCCAATAATTACCGTTTTGACGTCTTTTTGATTGTTCACGCCTAATTTCATGTTGGAGGACTCATCAAACATCAGGGATGTTTTTAATGCTTTTTTCACAATCTGAAAAACAGAAATGTATGCAAGGGGAAAAATAAAGCTTTGTAACAACATTTGTGTACAGCCAATTACAGACAAATAGTGCAGATTACTGCCACTGCTTTACACAGTGCTCTGAGATTTGAGTATGGATCTGTGCAACATCCTCCTGTATTATGGGTCTTGAGTGACATTAACAGATTCCAAAGTGACAGAGAGAGACGTGTCCCCACTGTTTTCCCCCCGTGCTCTCTACACACAAAAATCCCTGCAGTAATTAATGTGTAAACAACTGCATCACTGCCTCTTCCAGCCATCCTTCAACACCCGCTTTTGTCCTGTTGCAAGAGAACATATTTGCCAACAAGCAGTAATTAAATGCAGAAGCAGTGGGTGATAGTGTGCAGAGCATCAGTCTCATCCTGCATGTGACTCTCTCAGGCCTCTGCTCTCTTCCTGTGCCTGTTGTCTTCAATGCCAGCGTCTCTTCCAGAAGTGACTCTGTTAAGGGGACAGGGACCAGGCTGAAATACAAACTCCCTTTCTCCCCTGTTGCAGTCATGACTCTAGAAAATAAGTTATCTTCTTTTCTTTCTCAGGCAGTATTTCTCCAATCTTTTGTTATCCCCAGCAGAGGCAAACATAAGAGCAAATACCAAAATATTCCAATATGACAGCAGATGGTCAGACAGGGGGAGTTGGCATTTGCCTATTTTACCTCCTCAAAAACTTGACACATGCCCAGTGGGTCATGAATCATCCCTGCATTGGCAGAGGTGAATTTACACAACAGGAGCCTGATGACACTTTCCATTCCCAGAAGCAAGAAGCAGATCCTGGGCTGGAGCAGATCTCAGAAGGTGCTACCAGATGATACCTCCACATGTCCAGTCCCTGAATGCCTGCTTCTGACCCCTGAGCCACTGGGCTTTTGTAGAGGAGGAGCCTGCTGCAGTGGTACTGGATGTGGAGTTGCTCTGTGGGTGGCCAAGCAAGGTTTGTGTAGGAAGGATCCTGCCAGGCTTGTCCCATCCATCTTGCCATGTGTTCACAGCTGTTGTCACCTGAACTGGGTGGGCTCACAGTGTCTGCCCTCCCCCAGCAGCAAAGCAGCATGGCCATACACATTCCCTGCTGCTTCCAGCTCCTGCCCACTCCACCTTTCTGTGTGGATGCAGTGGCTGCATGGAACAGGCAGGGGTTGGACACAGCCCCAAAGGCTTCCTCGACTCACAGGTACTGGTGGGGCTGAACCAAAGAGGTGGAGAATGGACAGGAAGACAAGGGAGGAGGATCTGAAACAGACTTGGGGAATGCAGAGAGGGATGTGGAAAGGGGGGACCTGTGGTAAAACAGCAGATATGAGAGAATGACAAAGATGGAAAAGGTGGGGAGGGATGAAAAGGTACAAACACTCCTGCTTAAAAGCATACTGGAGCTGCATAGAAGAAAGCCCTGCTTCCATTTCAGGACCTGTTTGTTGTTATCAGCTGCAATCACTGTAGCAGAGCCCACTTCCCAAAGCAGTTTTACTCACACTTTTCACTGTCACTTCCTTTTGCTGCCCCAGGCTCAGCTGCAAGCTTTTCCACTAGAAATAGTTACAAATGCTGGCAAGTAAATATCCATTCTCCCAGCCCTGGAGAAATGGAGTGGCTGCCAGCAGTGAAGGACAGTTGGCCATTCCCAGAGCTCTGAAGTCCCAGTTCATGTTTTTAGCACAGAATAAGGACCCACTGTGTTTCCCCAAAGAGCTGACAGCCCAAGCAGATGGGGGGATATAACCCACCACACAGGGAAAGGTGTGACAGCAACACACATGAGAGGAAGGGGTCACATTGCAACCCAGAAATCTTAGTGGGTAGAAAGGGAAGAGAAGCAAGAGTGAAGATGTGAGAGAGTTGGGTAGAAAGTGAGACAAAGGTATTTTACAGGAGGAGATGAAAGGCGTCTGACAAACAGCAGCAGCCCTTCAGGCTGGGCCAGGAGAGCCCACTGGGGCTGCAGGTCACACTGCACAGCTTGTGCCTTTGGCACAGCTGTCCCAGCCAGCTGGGCTGGCCAGGAACAAACAGCCACCACGAGTGCTTCTCAACACAGGACTGGAGCTGAGAGGTGTAGAGGTGTCCCTCTGGCTCCCTTGTCCCTCTGGCTCCTAAAGTCCCATTTGGTGACCCAGGCAGTGTCTTGGTAAGAAACTGCGGGTGTCAGTGCTATTAGAGCCACGTGATGGCCTCAGATGGATGGAGCTTACCAGAAACAACTTGTTTCACTTCTCTTTTTCAGCAACAGTTACAAAATGTCTTCCAAAAGCAGTGTTTTTCTTAAAATACGAAGGTGAACAGATTTTGTATGTGCTGTTATAGAATTATCTATCATTCTGTTCAAACAAAGCCCTTTCTGATGTTTTTGACTGGTGATGGGTTGAAGTCCCACCTGCTGTACAGAAGTTGTGAGAACTGCTCTAAAACAGTTTAATTTTCAAGAAGGGAAACATCACAGAAACAACCAGAATTCCTAAGAATAATATTGTAGCTAGTCAGCAATTAACTACAGCTCCCTAAAAGCTTTCAGGGCTCTACCAGCTGCCAGTTTCAATGACTGAATGAAGTTCATCCAAGAGCAGTGAATATAAGCACTACTTAGCATTGCTGCACAGGCTGGGGCACCAGCTAATGCCAGTCTGCTGAGTACCCATAGGACACTGCTGTTTGTAACATTAAGTTTGCTTTCTCCTCGTCTCCAAAATGCCTCTTGGAACTTCTTTTCTCCACCAGCAACAAATTGTGTCAGACTTTGCATTTCAAACACAAGCATGTGATTTTTCACTGTACCGAATCCTCCCCGGGAGCAGTTTGAAGTTCCTCACACGAACAAGGTGCACTCATCTCTCCATTTCCACCCCCCAGCTCCCTCAAGATGAAGACAAAGGTACTCACCATCCTGGAAGGTCTCCTCCTGTGTGGATGTCCCCCTGTACTCTGATGTTATCCCAACTTTGTGTACAAAAGGCAACACTCATGCTCTGTCAGCACATTTGTTTAGGTTTCTTCTGGATTTTTCCCCTCCTGCTGTAGATCACTTCCTCTTAGACACTGAGTTTCACAATGTGTACTGACAGGGTACTAAGTTATCCTCCAGTTGTTGTGACCCAGTTCTTAAACTCTGGGTCCTGATCTTCACATGTTTGCCATAACTTGCTCTGTTGGATGTCAAAGCTCCCACTCAGTGGTGGAAAGTCAGAGTCCACATCAGCATGAGAAGACACTGGTTGGAAGGACTGCTCAGCTTTGGTGCTCTTTGCTGCCCAAACATGGCTCTATTTTCACTGCACTATCTTGACCAGAAGCTTCATTTTAAGCAGACAAACAAACCCTCCAAAACAAACTCTCTACAAAGTTTTTTTTGAAAGCACAGTTGTGCTTGGACAAACACAAGGGAGCAAGGCAGCTCCTTTGAAACAATGCAGCCCTCGTCTTGAACATGTGGCATTTGGAATTTGCAGTGATGCTGTTCAGGGGTTATATCTGACATTGAGTTTGGGGCAGCTTCTAAGAAATTATGCCTTCTGTAAAAATCCAAAGGCTGCACCTCAGCCAACACGAATCCTTCTGGGAATGCTGCTGTTTTCCTCCAGGCAGCCTCTTGTTCCTGCTGAACCCAAGGATGCAGTTCCCTAGTGCAGGTCCAGAGGAAGGATGCTGTAAGGAGTGAATGGAGACAGCTTGGAACATGAGGCTTTAGCACACCTTGTACTAGGCTGCTGAGGATGGAAAAAATAAGGAGCCAGAGGATAGGTCTGGTACAACAGAAAGAGGGCTCTCCATGGAAAATGCAAGTGCCATGAGTCCTCTGCTTCCCTCAAGACCAAAACACAAGCATGAACTCAAAGAAGCCCAAAAAGTAATTAGTGGAGCAGATAGGACACCTCTCTTCCCAGCCACCTCACTCCTGAATTTACTGCTGTGCACAGATCACTTATCATGGGAGCCATCCCAAATCTCTGGATTTACAACAGGGCTTAAAAACAAAGCAAAGGCTGCTGCTGTCCCTGTAGATCTGAGTTGCCAGAAAGCTGGAGGCAGGATCTGCAGCCAATGAAAAGAGCTCCAGAAAGCCACCCCTGCTAAAGGTCCAATCACCCCCAGGAAGTGTCCCTGGCCCTCAGATGACTTCAGAGGCTGAGCATTCCAACTAAATATTTCAGCTAAGCTCTTGCTTGTGTGCAGGACTGAAATCCTGGTGTGAACTGTGTCAGATAAGTCAAAAAAGCTCACACTGAATTCAGGATTGAACCACACCAGGCAGCAGCACCTTTTTACCAAGTTCAGGATTCATAATTTATCTCTCCAGTATCACAAGTTCAGTTTAAGAGGGTTGTATCAGAGGAAGAGCAGCTCCCAGGAAAAGGAATGCTCTGTATTCCTCCTCTTTGTCAGCTCTCTAACCACTTGCAGCACTGATGAATTCCACTGTCCTCCTCCACTCCAGCTTGCAAAATCCTGGTTTCCTTCTCATCTGACCTCACATAGCAGCCCACCCATTCTGCATTTCTGATCTTGCTAGCAGTGTTGTAGCTATGACAGCTTCAGGATGGAAGAGGGTTTATGGGTAGAATATGGTTCTGTTTGACCAATTCTTGCAGCTGGGGGGAGGAAAGAAAAAAAGAATAGCAAGTTTTAGAGCAAACAGGAAACTTTATTTCTTCTTCCTCTTCCCCATCTCTCAGACAAGGCTCCTTCTACCAGTTGCTCTGGCTGACTTGCCATCATCCCACACAGAATAAATGCACCTCTTGCTGTATGGTTGGGTGGCACTCTATGGTTAACATAATCCCTCTAAAAATCATGCCTGGACTTCCAGTTTGCTACAGGGCGCATTAAAAGATAGAGTGGAGGAGCTTTTTCTGCCTGTGTGGGAGGTTTGCTAAGAAGAAACTGCCAGTTTAATGCATCCTCATCTCTGAGAGCTAATTATAGACAAAAACATCAGTACCACTGCAGAGATTACTACAAAATTACACTTTCTGTTTCATGAGAAGGAGGCTGGGCTCCAAATACCAACAGCTGACAGAAGGATGGGAGGCAGGAGTAGTCAAGGTCTGAAAAGAAAAGTGCTCTATTTATACTTTGTGCCAAAAGATTGTATACTTAAATTAGCTGGGGAAGGGGGGTGGGGAACCAAAAGAAATTATTTCAGGTTCAGAACTGGGAAGTGATTCAGCTGACAAGCCATGGGAAAATTTCAAAGTCTAAATAAAATTGTGATTTGTTTGGAAGTATTTTTAAATATTTACTCAGTTTCCATCTTTTAAAACATTCAGTAAAAATTCACTAAGATATCTCATCATGGACTTGAAACATTTCACTTGAAATATATAACTTATTTGGAATAAGTTATAATAAATTTTATAATAAATTTTATTCAGCCTAAAATTAAATGTTCTATTTAATGTCTGCCATGTCTGCCAGCCATGTTCTGTTTAGAAAAAAATATTTCAGGGGAAAACAAATAAAGCTGTGATTCATATAGCACAAGAGACGGCAGAGTCCTTTGCTGTCTCAGTCTTGTCACTCATCTTTTGTAGCACTCACCCTCCAGCCACACCTGGGAAAGATGACTTGCAAGTATTAGGAAAATACTTCAGTGTATGCTGTGTTAAAGGTATTTTCTAGTATAAAAATTATACTCCTCTTATCTCTGTGGTTATTGCTGTTGCTGAAACGAAACCTCACCCAGACCTCTGGATCTCCTGTTTGGGAAGTGTCTGCAGGTGCCAGGTGGATGCTGTATTTTGTGGGCTTTGGTGGTTTCTTTCCTTCCTGTGATTTGAATGTTGACAGAAGCATTTAGTGTTGAACAAACCCTTTCTGGCATCAACTCTTTTGGCAAGTATAATATTTCCAGTATTTTCTGTTCAGAGGAGAAAAGGCTTAATCAGGGTAGAGTCCTAATGAGTGCTGCTTTCTTATATTCATTGTTCTTGGCTTCTCTTGCTCAGCCCACATCACTCAGAGAGCCCAGCAGCCAACCCACTGCAGTAACACCTTTGCTAGGTAACTGCACAGGGGAGTGTGCAGGTGTGTGCTGGTGCTCAGGGCTGCACCCAAATGGCTGCACCCACTGAGGAAAGCAGCCCCCTGCATGCACACTGCCCACTGCAGCCCCCTCGCACCAGCTGAGACCAGCAGGGCTTTGCTCTTCAAAGCCCAAGGATGTCCTTGCTGTCCTGACTCTCCCACCAACCCATGGGCAGATGAGGGTCTACTGCTGGATCTTCACACAACATCCAAAAAAAACCCCAAACCTGTCTCCTCCAAAGAATGAAAAGTTCTGTTCTGAGAAAAGATCCTGAAACCCTGCTCAAGGCAAAGCGTTCTGGTGTTCCCTGCTGTGCACATGTGGAAAACCAGGCTCTATTTCCCAAAGCAGCTGAGGATGTTGGAGAGCCAGGCCTGCAGCTGAAGGCTCAGCAGGAAGATGCACAGAGGAGATCATTACTTTTCCCATCTATCCTTTATTTTTCAATTCTAGCAGCTTTCATTATGTTGCAAATAGTTTTGGCTACAGTTCCACCGCCTCTTATGTTTATTCAGTCAAACAGTTAAAAATTAATGAAGTGGGTGCACTATTGATTTCAAAAGGGCCCTTTGCACAGCATCCCAACTCAAACACTGCTCCATACTGTCAGGGAAGCCTGGGGAGAGGCAATATTGTCAGTGTGTAATGCAGCCCTGCATTGTAGGCAACACAGAAACCTCTGCAGACACAGCACACAAAGCTTCAGAAGGCTTTTTAAGAGAGACATAAGATTTATTGGTTTTTTAAGAACAAAATCCCTCCCTAAAACTTTTCAATGTAAAAGATTTCTATATACAAGTATCTGATGGAAAGGTAACCAGGAGATGGAAAATCTCTCAGTGATTCTACTTAGGGACTAATATTTTCTTCCTATTTCTGTTTCAGTTAATGCTGGCAAGCAATGCCATGTTTTCATCAGCTGCATGTGTTCTGCTTCCTACAGGAGCTGTGCTAATGCAGAGTCCCATGTGGCACCAGGCAGGCTGGGGGAGGCTGAAGGCAGTGCAGAGAAGGAGGAATTAACATTATTTCTAAAGTGCCAGGAAGGATGCAAAGCTCAGACAGAACTGCAGGAGGGAAGGAGGACACTGGTGCAATGAAGGAAAACATCAACAACTATTTCACAGACACATAAGCTATATATATATGTATCTAAAAAAATAAATAAGCCTAATAATGTATCTGCAATCACATACCTCTTGGGGAATAATCACTTCCAGGCTGGATTCAACCACCATGTTAATCATGGCAATGACACATACCAGCACTAAAAATTAAATAAAGTATCACCAGACAATACTGAGATGTGCTAACTTCATGTGAAAGGGACTTAGGGACTTAAACCCCGGAGTTTCTGGGGGAATAAGGGGACTCCCGCTCTTTGCAGAGGGATCTGCCCAGCCACAGGTGTCACAGGACTGATCCAGCCATGCTCTGAGTCTCCAGTTGCTGACAATTCTGTCATTCTACTGCACTTAACACCAGTGAGAACAGGCAGTTGAAACAATCCATCCACCAAACACATCCTCCTCCAAATCAATGCACAAAATGCAGCATCACTGTCACATGATAAAAGAATGATTTATTAGAGCAACTTTATGATAAAATTATATAAAATAACAATTTGGTTTTTTAAAGACATCCACAATATCACCTTGAAACAAAATGTACAGATACTGCCTATAATCCAAACAAAAATAAATTACCGTTCAAAAAAAAACACAACAAACCAAAAGTGGAAAGAAATCAGGGCAGAAGAAACAAATCAAAATTATACACAGCATTTCAAGAGGGCGTGGAAGAGAGAAAGTCATTAATCGATTCAAGTTATACAAACATGTTTCAGCTTTACTCTCAGACAGCTCAGCTTGCATTTGTGTTGCATGCAAATGGAATGATCCAGTGAACAGTTCAGAACAGCAGAATCAGCAGCATAACAACAGCAGAGAGTGAAATAGGCACAATTCAGCACGGGGCACATTGAAAGTGAACAGGTAGTTCTGTCTGGTCTTTGCAAAAGTTATACACATTTACCAACTTCAAAAATAGCTAGTGTGATCTGCAAAACAAGAAAAAACTAGTAGAGTCTTGCACTTAAATACTTTACACCTTTTTATCTTTTTCTTTTTGTCTCCTTTTTTGTCAGTAGGCTGTATGTAAACATTCCACTAATTGTACCTTTACTAAAATACTCAAAGATGATGCAGACGTTCTTTCCTCCTGGAGCATGACCACAACATGACACCACCACAGATCCAGCTGGGTCCTCGCTCCCAAAGCTCCTACATACCCTCACAGGAATTTACATTCACCCCATCAGAACAGAGTAACAGGATTTTACATTTGATTTTACATTTGAAAGCGTCGAACTGAAAAGTTTTCAAGTATAGTGGAAGAGCTGACGGCTGGGATTTGGAAGGTGCTCAGGGCATCAAGCACCCAAAGCATATGGAAACCCCAAAAGAACATGAGCACCTGCTTCCCTAAGACTTCAAAAATCCCACCCTTGGTTACATTGCTTTAGTCAAACACAAAACACACAAAAGCAGTGGCCCAGGAGTGACACACAGGGCAGTGCCAGCCCTGCCAAGCTCAATGCAGGGCCCATCCACAGCTGACAGGAGCAGCAGGAACCTCGTGCACTGATCCTGGGCCCCCCAGGTACACCACTACACGTGGGGCAGGTTCACATTGGAGTCACACAGGCATGGTTCCATGGTTGCATACAGTACTGCTTGAAAGAACCAACAATCAGCAAAGGAGTGGATAGCTCTTTGGCTTATCTGGAGCAGACAAGTGCAAACCACAGTACGGCAGAAGCAGTGAACACAAGAGAAAATATGTCGCGTTTCATCGTTGACTAGCAAAACCTTTTCAAATGCAAAGATCCAAGAATGAGCATTGTGTCAGGACACAGAAGCATTTTACAGTTTGGCTGAGTCACAAATAAAACAAATCAAGCTGTGCATCCTCCCTGCCTTCACACACTCATTTCCAAATTATCAAGAGACACTGATTGTTGCATCCTCATTAGTCACTTGAAGAGGTACTGTATTTTGCAGGTTGATTTAATTGATGCAAGGTGTCTGTGGGTTTGCTCTCTTCTAGCTCAGAACAGAGCAACCAAGGGAGAAAAATCCCTCCCTGATGTGTTCAAGAATCAAAGAAGAATCAAGCAATTTTCAAGTGAAAGTAAACAGAAGTCCCATCAAGGACACGTTGCAGAGAAACAGAATCCACTTGCGCATAGCCATGAAGATGTGGAAATAACAAATAATCAGAGAAGTCAGATTTATGTCTTAGTAATTCACTTGTTTCTACAGCAAAACTGAAACTAACAGCAACACCTTATCTGTGAAGGTCCTTTGACTCCTAGTGAGTTGGGGTAGCACCTGGTCAGTTCAAACCCTAACTAAGAAGGGCTTGAAAAATTGTGTTTCATATGTCAGGAATGATACCACCACTTATGATATTCACCAAGGACACAGTCAGGTATTTCAAGAAAAGACAGATCAGAATCAACGACTGAATTAACACATTCAGATAGTGCGTATATTACAGGCAGAACAACATCAAGGGCAAATTCTTTTTATTCTGCATTCATCTATGTGAAATCCAGCAGATTTCTTCATGGAAGGGCATCTCCACACAAGCAGATGAGCTTATAGCCTACTGGAAATCTCGGAAGGATATCTGCATCTACTATTTACCAGCCAGCATCTTGCAGGCTCAAAAATAAACTAATGACGTGTTGACATACTCCCATTTTGGGACTGATCCTGTCTCTGCTGAAATTGATGGAAAGCTCTCACTGGCTCCGCCAGGAAAGCAATCACCTTCTTCACTAGTAAGGTTAAACACTTTGTGAGCATCCCTATTTATGTAAATTATTTTAACAGGTTCCCACAGTTACAACATCCTAGCAGAAAAGCTCAGGTAACTACTGAAGCTAACTAAGGAATCCACTACTCACCCCAAAATATAGAGTCAGCACACAAGAAGCAGTCAAGCTTGGGAAACCATTTTCACTGGTTAAACTACATACTGTATGAGGGCAAAGTGGAACTCATCTGCTCACCTTTCCCAGTAAATGTATCCTCCACAGCTACAAAAGAATTTCTTTACCTGATTACTATTTGTTGACCTGGAAGAATGAAAAAGGAATTGATACAAGACAGAAAAACCTGGGAGCAAACACATCTGGAAGAGATCCCCTCAAAACCAAAATTTTTGCTCTTAAAGCAACAAAAATTGCTTAGTGTTTTGCACTTTAACACAAAGACAGAATATAAACCCCAACTTTTGTTAAATAAGAAATTGCTCAAAGAACTGTACACAATCCTTAGTGTTTCTAGGATTATAACAGACCAAAAATTAAATCCAGAGACAAAAATCCCAAACGTACCTATACAAGTGCTTGACACCGTTGAATAGTTTCTGAGGAACACCACAATGGTGGCCTTCACAAGCACTTTTGCATTGAAAAAAAATTCATAACAGAATTAGCCATAAAGGTGGAGCTACATTGAAGCCATTATTTTTTCAGTGCTGTCAAGTGATTGCACTAGTTCACAGCAACTGTGTAATTGAGTTTATTCCACGAGCCATTGGAACAGATGGCTTTCTTTGCAATTGGGTAATTGCAAACATCTTAGTCTTTGGCCCAGCCAAGAGCATCTGTAGCTCATGACGAAAAGACTGTATATTTAAATTAAAAAAGAAAAGCAGCTTAAAGACCGCATTTGTACCAAAATCATGAAAATTTGGCAAGCTAAATTGTAAAATATAACTTTTTGCACCTACCCCAAACTTTGGGTCTGAAAGAGAATCAAAAATAGTAGGTGTATTGGTAGTCTTTACATTCATACCATTATTAACTTTTATACTTTTCCAAGAGAAAAAACAAAAGGGTTTATTCTGTCTTGTTTTGGTTTTTGGACTGAAAAACAGATGCACAACTTCAGAGTGGCTTCTTTTTTACGACTGCCGAAAGGAAATCTTACACAATTGCAAGTAAGGGTTTCTCTCAGAAACCCATGATATTGCACAATTGTTCTGTTGGATTTGCAAGTTGATTCCAACAGAGTTGTAATGCTTCACTTGTACACTTCAAAAAAATTCAACCAAATAAAACCCAAACAGATATAGTACCAAAAAGGTGTGGTTTTTTTTTTCAAATTGAGCCACATTACAACTTAATAGTTATAAACAGGCCAATGCAAGAGCACTTTAGCCTCAGCAGTATTGAATGGAAAATATGCAAAGCTTGTTTTCTTATGGCACACTGGAAGAATAAATAAATGAGTAATTTAGTAAAAATCAGTTTGCCTCTGTGCTGAGTATGTGCTGCTCCACAGTGCTAGTCTTGTTTAAAAGGCATACACAGACTTTCCATTCACCCTCACAGCATAGATTTTTCTTTTTTGTGCAACATGTTAGCAATCTAAAGAACTGCTCCACACAAACTGTCCACAAACCACTCATACACAATACTAATGCAACAGTAGATTACAGTATAACAGCAATACAAAATATTGTATCAGATCACATATTTCTCTCCATCTGGAATGAAATTCGAATCTTGCAAGCTAGAAGACCCACAGTTCGATTTCTGAGCGTAGTTTCTCATCTGTGCTAGGGACAAAGTCTCCAGTGTGGACCCAGAATTGTTAGCAGTCCTGACTTTAGTGGCTGTAGATTGTTTAGCAGCAGAAGATGCTTTGTTACTGGCAACTATATCCAAGTTTCCAGTAGGGTCAATGATAGCGTTTATGACTAGGGAAAAAAAAAAAGAGACATAAACACATTAGCAGCCATCAGCAAAGTTTCCAAACAGAAGTTTGCTGCCTTCATTTTGAAGGCAGCAGAACTGTAAGCAGTACTTTTGTTCATCTTAGTCAGGTTATTTTGCTCATTAATACGTTCAGGTCTAAACAGCTTTAACAAGCAAAACCTCTCCCAGACTGAAGAGATGTGGACTCTCAACTTTCTGGTTAATTTGGAAAAGACAAATTAGAGCAGCCAAATGGCAAGCTTCTAGCAGGAGCCCAACATGTTGCCTGGATGTTTTTACATGCCTTTATTATGCTTTTAGATGATGCAAGAGCTTGTCTTGTTTTTCCTAATGCAGAGATCCATGTGCAAAATTCAAGTCCAAAAAGCATAGCACAGCTTATTGGCTGAAAGAGCTGCTAAATATTATTTTACCAGAACAGTCCTGCACCGTTTTATCTTATGGGAATATGCTAATTACCACAAACAAAGCATTTCCATAGCAACAGCTTCTACATTTCAATAGTACAAAATTTTCCTAAAAACAGGCAGTATAAGATAAATCTACCGTTGATTCCCTATGCATTCATCAGACAGCCCTGTGGTAACAGCCTGAACTTCTGCATCCCTTCCCAGCTTTCACTGACAAATCAGGCCAACAATACTTTGTTTTGTGCAACTCTACTGGCATTTGGGAGACAACAGGAACATTTTAGATGACCAACCTTCAAGCTGTTTTTGAACTCGCCTCAGCTCCTTCAGGATAGAACTGATTTCCTAGAAACAAAAGCATCAGAATGGAAAATTAAGCAACAAAGTACTCGACTGACACAGGAATCTAGTGTTACTGCTTCTGCCTTATCTGATCAAGAAGATTCAGGGTCAGGCCCAACCTTGTTCATTTACCAGAAAAGCTGCATTGAGGGGCATTTGGTCAGTGCACAGGGAGCCTGCTCTGCACTGTGTCACCAAGTGCTACTACAGCACCCCATTCATGGCCACAGTGGCTTTTATGAAATGCTACACCTGTACAAAAACTCCTCATTAATATGAAATACACAAAGATAATTATAAACTCAACACCTAGACCAGACAGGGCATTTGGCCACATTTATACTGCTGCAGCACCAAGCTGCACAGGTCTAGCACGAGGTTGTTTAGCATTAATCATATTCACTGGATCCACTACTGCACTTAAATCCTTACTGACAATCCCCTTCAAGGACAATGAAAGGCCATGACAGCACAAGCACCATCTTGAGGCTGAATCACCTGAGTGAATGCACCCTGAGGTGGATTTTTACTGCCCTAACATCAAACAGTTCCAGGTGAAGAAAACAAACATTCATGAGAAACACCTGTCTGCAACTGAAGCTGTGGCAACCACATGGCAGGTGACCCTTTGGTAAATGTTTAAATGAGGCCTAATGACCCTGAACTTCAACATCTGTTAAGAAACCCTGGCTTTGAAGATCATTTGCAAAGGAACTGGGAAAGGGTTTGGTGAAACAAAACCACAGAAAGAACTCACTCTGTGACACTTCAAACACTAATGAAATCCAGCAGTTCAACACATGAGAATGGACCAGAAATTCCAGAAATGGATTTGAGAAGGGTCAGAGATTGTTGGTTTGGTTTCTTACAAAGCTTTCATGGATCAAGTCTTTAGTATTTCACTGGTTTGCATGGACTTACTTTGTTTGATGTCTTCAGAATTGGCACTTCATTTTCTGAATTGATTTTGGCCTCCATTTCCTCCCAGGTCCTTTCTGAGTTTTGAAACAGAATCCTGTAATACAAAAAGTAGAGCAGATCTTAAAATTGCCATCAACAAACTGCTTGTTTAAAAGACTTAATTATCACAAGATGTGGCAACAAAAGAGATTAGTGGATTAGCAGCTGGATAAAGCTCCTTTCAGCTGATTTAGGAACAATCCAAAGTCCTTCCCTCTGATGTCTCTAGAGCAACAACAAACTTTGAAAAGATTTCACAAGCTTGGTAACATATTGCATATTTACAAGAGCCTTGTAAAAAGAGACAATCCACCAGTTTTCTGCTGTATCTCCTGCATAGGCAACATTTCAAAGTCAAGGCATCAACAGGCAAACCCAGCATCAAAATTCCAAAGGCCAAATATATGAGGAAAAGTGATAGCAAATAATCGTATTACCTCTGGTTCACTACGCACACACAATTTCCTACATGTAGACTCCCTGCATCTTGATTACAGAACTTTCCAAGACAACAGAACAATATCTTCCCCAAGTAGCAAGTCAACAAACTCACCAGCAAGTCAGTATTTCAGGCCAGGGACAAGAAGTTACTTACTTCATTTTTTCAGCAAGGTTTTCTGTATTTTCACGGATTGTATGTGATAACTGGGACACTGGGTTCAACATCAGATTGTCAAAGATTACCTAAAATATGAGGACACATTGGAAAAATTTTAGCAAAAGCAGCATATTACAAAACAGGATTTTTTTTGTACAGTAAATCATCTTCACTGAAACATCTTTCTTTGTGTGGATAATACTTGAAGTTCAAGGGAGATTAAGATGGTGTGCAGCTTTACTGCAGCACTTTGGCAAAAAAGTTAATACTAACTTGTTCAGACTTTTTCTAGAGACAGAGCTGTTTGCAGTAACATAGGCATTTAAGCATTTCTGAAAGAACAGCACTTGGTACTTCCCACACCAAAAAAAAAACCCCAAAAGTCAAATCACAATGCAAGAAGACCCACAAGCAGTCTCACTGATACTACCTAATGTGACACATATGAGTTCAAACCACCTTCACAGGCAGGAATCCCACCATGTTACATTCTGCTGTATTAAAATACTATCAAACTCCAAATATTCAAGTCCTGTGGCTTCGCAGAGCCTCCAGGCTTCTGCCAGGAAAGCCCACACCAAGCTGGGGGCACTCTGAAGCTGCACCTTTTATCCAGCCTTGGCACTTCTCTACAGGAGAGGAAGGGACTGCTTCAAAACAGGACAGGATCAGTTCCAGTGGCTCAGCCCACAGTCCCCTGTATGTGCCTGTGTGAGTCACACTCCACCTCCAGAGTGGCTGTGCTGGAGCCAGCTCTGCCTCACTGCCTCCCTGAAGCCTCTGCCCAGCTCTTCCTTCCCACCACAGCTGGCAGGCAGAAAGCAAGCAGGACCAACAGCCAGTGCGGGATCAGCAGCTTTCTCCTCCTCCTCCTGGCACCATCACCCCACTACACCCCTCATCCCAACACCATTCCCAGCCTCAAGTGCAGGACAGGCTTTCCCAGCCTTTAGCATCACCCCAGTGATTTGCAGATCACCCTGCACGTAACATTGGAGGGAGCAATGCTCACAGACTGCAGGGCACAGCAAACCAGCTGTGCCACAGCCCCAGTCACACACCTCTCCTAAGGTCCAGATCCTGCCACTGCTGCTCCATGAGCAGCTCTAACCAGGATGCCAGCTGCAGAACAGTGCCATTGAACTATCAGTGCTTCTGCTTTCAAAGTTGAGATGTTTGAGTTCTTCTCTAAGACAGCAGTGAAATAGCCTAAGAAGACACTCAATGTGTGCTCCCAAAAAACAGGTGACCAAGCCTCAGGTTTTACTGGCATTTTACACAAGAGAGGAAACTTCCAGTCACTACTGGCAAAGGGGTGGTTCTGTTCCTCTTTTTTCTTTTTAAACACTGTTTCTATACCCACACATCAGTGCTGCTGAGAAGTGTAGGCTTGGGTTTTTTTGAGCAGCCTCCTTTGGCAGCTTACAAAGAACAAGAAGACATACAGCAGCTTAAAACCATGTCAGATATAAAGTAAAGAAAAAGGTGGCCTGCCTCCTCACGGTTTCTGGTCCTTGTTTTTCTTGAGGGATCCTCTTCTCTGTTGTCATTCATATTTTGGTCAAAATCCTTCAGTTCCACTGATCCCGGAGGCACTTTCTGGTAGTTCAGACTTGCTTCTGGAATGTGCTGCACCAACTTGGAAATAATGAGTAATGAGTCATTACAAATTAGTAGGGAAAGCAGGTTCACAGGCACTCACTGAAGGTATTGCAGATTTAGAGGAATACTGATTCACTTAAGTCTTGTTCAGACAGGTATGGGCTTGTAAGCAAATTACTAGACCCCAATCCTGCAAGTGCCTACCCACTGGAGTCATACCACAAAACTCTGTGGGGCTATTCTACTTTAAAATTTTGAGTCTTGAGCATGTATGCAAAAGTGCATCTTTGTCTTTTTTGAATTTAGCTAAAACTCAAAAGGACTCTGTTTTCCTGTATCTTATGTCTTAATACATCAATGCAACATTAAAGACACACTCAAATTAATCAGAAACCATTTAGTAACACATGAAAGAGATGAAAAAGCAATACAAAACCACTAAAAAAGCAAATAATTAACAAGAAGAACAGAAATGACAAGACAGTTACTCCTGTTGGGTTTACTGACAAAAACTTTAAAAGAAGGGGAAGAAAATAACAGTGACAAGACAGAGATACAAAAATAATGGGATGGAAAGTGCACCTGAGATGGATATGCCAGCCGAAAAGATCTACGAGCAATCTGTGTTAAAACAGAAACAAAGAGATCAATGCTAGTGAATGACTGTGACAGCAAGTATCAAAGAGAACACAGGGTTTGGGGTTATTTGGGGTTGATATTCCCAAAAGCACATTCCTGAGGACCAGCACTTGGTGCCCACCCCCCATCATGCACTGAAGCCCACGGAGATCCTGGCCAGCAGCCAGTTCTGCTGAGGTGGCCTCGGGCAGATCCCCAGTTACTCCACACTGGACTGTGCTGAGTGAAATCCAGAGTGCTCTGGGAAAGGGAGGAACACCCAGCCCAAGAGGCTCTTTGGTTGGCAAAGCACACAGCTCCTTGTGAGGAAACTGTGTGCCATCCAAGGTCCAGGCTCCCCACACTATGCAGCAGCACTTGGGTTATACACAGGCAGCAGGTGTGAGATATTATAGCACAGGGGCAGAACAACCAAAATATTTAGCTAATAAGCTTCCTTTCATCAAGTGCAGAAACAGTAAGTTAGGCTGACTGCAGCAGTAAAAGTGTCAGAAGGGAATGAGATATTCCTACAGTGAGCAGGTCTCAGCCCAACCAGCTGAAAACAAGGTAAGGACAGCACCTGCTCCACCATCCCAGGAGATTTTGGGCATGACCTGTTCTGTTCTCACATTTTCTGTTCCATCACACCCGTAAGCATTTCCTCTTGCTGTACCAACACTAATACTGAGTATGTTACACAACAACTTAACAAACTTAATCAGGCTCTTTAGTTGTTGTTACATCGTTATCAACATTTTTTAAAAAGACCTGCCAAAAGAATTTTATGCAGGGCTAAAATTTGCAGAAGTAGCCAGTGATTTGGGATGATCCAACCTGACTGTGTTTGCAGCAGCTGAGGTTTAAGTTTGATGGCTGAGATCTGCAGAAAGCTGGGTCCTGCAAAATCTACACGCCCCCAAAGCAAGGCATCCCAAACAACCCAAGGCTTTGGTAAACAGGAAATATTAAGGTTTCATCCTTGCTGAACTCTTTTGTTCTGCTTTGTTGGGGTTTTTTTTAATTTGCTTAATTTGTAGCAGTACTCAGCTCTGTACGCCAAGAATCTATCTTATCATAAACTATACAGCTGAGCCTAGAAAAACAAAACCACCCCAAACATACACTGGGGAAATGGAAAGCCTCTTTGGCAAACATCCAAGCCAGCACCGAACCTGAAAGAACAGAAACTGAAGAATAAGGCTTAAATCTAAGGCTTCACCTTAACTTATAAGGGGATACTCCTCATTTAAACTTTAACCAAGCTTCTTAATAAAACTAATTTAAAAAGCAGTTCATTTGAGGTTGAGAAATGCCAGCCACAAAATGGTCCCAGATGATGTTTCTGGTACAGCATTAAACACTCAAAAGTGATTCCAGTACCAGTACTTATTTTTCCTGCATTTTCCCCACTTTTTTGGAATATATATATATTTAGTACTAGAATGCAGAATGGCATACAACACTGCATAAGCCATTGCAGCATAAGAGACACCCATACAGAAAATCTTTTCTTACTCACATAATTCCTTCTATCAGATCTTTCAATATATTACTATTATAACCACGGTAGCTATTTCTCATCACTATGTCCTTTCCTAGAATATTTCATATAAAGATTTTTTGATAAACACTCACAAAATTCACAGTGCTCAGCATCACACACACTGATCTTCAGAAATTTCCCAGCAGCTTCTCTGCATCAAGCCAAAATTATTAATTCAGCACAGTTTCAACAACACTCAGACTGGGGGAAGCAGGCATGGCAGTGCACTGGTGCTGAATCTGGTCCAGCACCAAAGATGAGGTGTCTGTTTATTAAACTCACATCAGTTTAGACTGTTGGCATTCATAACAAGACCCCCAAGCTGCACTGTTTAGGATCCCAAGCTAGGATCTGGCTCCATCTCATCTGCCAGCAGAAAGCCCTGCTGATGGAACCTGTTCCTGGCTATCGACCACATCAGGCAGCAACACCGATGCACTTTGCCATTTGGGGTGTACTCAAATGGGCTACCAGATGCTGGCCCTGCTGAAATCATGCTGATATCCACTCCTGTTCAGAGGAAGCCTCATTAGAAACCTTTAGAGTGTTTTCAGCCACTACCTGAACACACCAAAGGTTATGGCTCCTGATCTGTCTTCCCTGATTAATATCAGTGCTTCGTCCTTCACACCACTGTAAGATCTCAAAAACTGCTCTGGCAGTGGGCACTGCCAGGAGTACTCCCTACAGTGTGACAATCCTGAATTTGCTCTCCTGACTGTTGTGAGGGACTGACTGGCATGTCCCACACAGCAGCACTGTAAAACCACAGAGAAACCCTCATCCAGGTCTGAGCAATCCTGGGTTTGTGATTCTGCTATTCATCACCACACTTTGGAGCCTGTCATTTTGCACAGAGCAGAAACAGTGTTTTCCAGGTGTCCTCCACTAGCAGCTGGGAACATCCCTCTGTATGAACTGAGTTATGGTTGAACCCTTCAGTGGCACTCCAAAAAAAAAGCAGGGATGCTGCTCTTCCTTTCCTACTTTTCTGTAAGCAAGTGGGAGCCCAGTAAAATGTTTCATTTGCAAGTAAGAAGTACAGTAGGTATGTCACCTTTACTGCTTGAAAAGAATAATACAAAAGGCAGCTTGGCAGGTGTGGCACTTGCAAGGAAACAAAGCAATAAAACACTTTATCTCAGAGCCTGCAGTTATTGTGAAACATTTGTGCACTTTGGCTCCAAAAGGCCCCAGGACAAACCCCTCCCTGAGCAGGCTGCAGCTGATCTCAGTTTAGCACAATCACAGCCACACTCACCTGATCTTCTGGGTATCTCCCTCAACTTCTGCTTGATCTAGTGCCGATCACAGCAGGATCACAGGGCCTCCAAGGACCCTCTTGGCAGAGTAACAGCCTTGGTCTCAGCTTTGAACCCTGCCTAGGATGGGTCTGCAATTCTCACAACAGTCAAAGACAACAGGGGGCCAGGGGAACCATCTGAGCAGCAGAGAGCTGTGTATTTTTTAAGCCCACACTGGTGGTACACAGGAGAGAATCTGGATTTAAACAGTAGCAAAGGCAATTTTGCTTCAGCATCTGAAGCCTCCTGGTGACCTTGCAGCCAAATTTGAGCTGAGCTGGTCCCTGAGCTGGTCCCAGTGAAACAAATTAAGAAATTGCCTCTCTCCTTCCTAGCCTAGTGCAGACACACTGTGCTCCACAGTTTGGGAGGAAGTCACAGCTTCACTGAAGGGCTGGGGGACAGCACTTCCCAAGCTACCTGCCTGCCTCCCTGCCCAGCTCCCAGAGTCCTTGCCCTCCTCCATCAATACTCAGCTGGAGGGAAGGGATTCAAGCAACACCTGCACAGCATTTCAACAGTCCTGGCAGAAAGGACACAGCAAAAGCACAAAACACAGCTGACACAGAGTGCTGACACGGTCAGTGCCTTGTGTGAAACAAAGAGGAAGGCTCTGGCTCCCTGGCACAGCAGCACAACACATCCCCCTCCATCCTGTTCCTCAGATGCAAATTTCAGGGACCAGCATCCAAACAGAAATCTTGGGAAATTACATGATTCTGGCTGCGGCAGAGAGGAGAAAATAAAGAGCACCCTGCATAGGCTGCAGTTGATCTTTCTGGTGGTGCTTTTTAGGAGTACAAGGAATGAAGGTTTTTTCAGTGCTGCAGCAACTGGGTTTGCTGCCCTGGTCTCCCACCCCAGCCATGCCCCAGGCACTCACTAGCACCGAGGGGCAGAGATGTCAGTGATCCCACCTTACCTCTTCTCTGGCAGATATGGTGGAAGCTGGAGTGTTGGGCACAGAGCTGAGGCAGGGGCTGGGTCCTGTCCCCGAGGAGCTCTGTGAGTCCCCATCTCCAGCAACGTCGTGAATCTCCCGAGCAAGGATGGCCACATCCTTCACCAAGGTCTGGCTGAGCCTAAAGCACAGGCAACGAAGCAGAACCATCAGGACACAGAATACAACACGCCTCATGTTCATAACATATAAAAAAAGGAGCCACAAAAGGTTTGTGGGAACTATAACCTCTGCAGAGGCTAGGGCAAGCAGGGCTTTTTGGGCTGCCTTGGCTGAGGAATGTTCTAGCTGCGTAAAAAAGAAATCCCCTTCCCTCCTGAATCCAGCTTCAAAGTGGAGAATTGATATAAAGCAAATTCTAGTGACTACACACTGCCAGAAAGTAGAGACAATCCATAAAAAAAATTATGCCATTGCTCCCCCACCCATTCACTCTACTTCTTTCTCTTGTTTGCTTGCTTTCTTAATACAGTACAGCTAATTTTTCTTCCTGGGTCTTGTTTTCCATTAAAAAGTACATACAGGGGAAAAACTTTTTTTTTTTTACTAAAAGAAAAAAACCTCAATTTCCCTTGCATTTTCCTTGTGGTCTGTAGACTGAAAATCACAATATGCCTCCACATTCTCCACAAGAGCTGAAGGATTATGAGGATAAGCATAGCATACATTAGAGGGATCTGGTTTTCAGAAACCAAATCTTGAAACTTCAAGCCCCTTGACAGGTGTCCAGTTAACAATCAGTGTTGGCAGGACCTTGCTCTATCTGCCCTAGAGCTCAAAACCAGTTCCTAAGTCTCTGGATTGTTGGTAGTAGAGCTTTAAAAAACCCCTTCAGACCTGAAGTAGCTGTTGTGGTAGTTTTAAAGGAAAGCTTCCACAAGAAAAGATAATCTTACAGCTAGTCAGATTAATTTGAAACAACTATCTTCTTTTAATGAAAAAAATCAAAACCAACCAAAAAAAAAAAAAAAAAAAAACCAAAAAAAACCAAAAAAACCCCAAAACACCCCACCCAACAAAAAACCCCATTATTATGGAATATTCCAAGTTGGAAGGCACCCACAGGAAAACAAGCAATGTGATAAAACTGTCAGCTCATCAAAACATTTCCTTGGAAAGAAAATGCACAGTTGAACTAATAAAATGCAGGCTGAGCTGCCTGTATAAAGTAACCCCTCTCTGTGCTGGTTTGGATAGAGCTGTCACCAAACACTTCCATTATGTGACTCACTACTGTAAACAAGTGGCATTTTCCCTTTTAACTCTCCCTGACTCCTCTAAACCCCTCCCAGTTAATTCGGGAGCAGCAAGGGAAATCAGAGCTGCAATTACCAGGCAGACTCTGTGACAGAGCCCCGCACGGTGCAGCGCCAGACGAGGCTGATGCAACCCTTTATTTATAGCTGCTGAGAGTCCCAGCGCTCCGGTGCTGGGAATGCTGCTGGGAGGGAAGCTGGCATCTCTCACACACACACGTTGTGCAGCACAGGTAGAGCAGCCTGGTTTGAAGGCTGACACACTTTCTAACAGCCTGACAGCAACTTTCAGGCAAGAAAAGCCCTGTAGAGGTGAGCGCGGCAGCGGCGAGGGCGATGTGGCCAAAAGCAGACACAAGGCAGCTTCCTCAGGCAAAAGTATTTCAAGTATGGCCAGTACAATGGAAGACCAGTATTTCTGGAAAGTTGGCATAACACAGTTGCATATAAGAGATGACAAACCTCAAATGCCACTGTTTAAAAAAAGAATCTATTTGCTTTATTGCTGAAGTCCTCCAGGCAACCATCAGACCACCAGTACACAGCAAGCACTGTATCCAGGGACATCAAGCTAAGCAACGATTCATTTATATACAAGGTCTAGACAGGTTCAGATTCAGTTGTGCCAAGCAAAGAGGTTTCTGCCCTGCAGCTATTTCTTACTGCTCCCTGACCAGCTTCAGGCAAAGCAGCTTCAACAGTTTACATATTCAGTCTTTGCTAATCCATTTGACTTCCTCTGCAGAGAATTAAGAGAGTTCACACCAACCACACCGTACACACACACACTGTGACTTCCAGCAGAGAGCAGAGTTATGCAGGTATAAACAATTAGACTTCCCACAGCTTGAACAAGAAACAAACCAAGAGACAATGCCCTGCACCATGGCCTTTTGTAGGTACAAGGTACAACCAGTACATCCGGGCTGTAAAGGTTCCAAGTCAATGCTCATATATAAAGGAGATGTGGGGCACACAAACAACAGGAGAGAGCCTCTCCTTCTACCCCCCACCTGGGTTTGATTTGAACACTAAGGAGAAAACAACCCATTTTCAACTCATGGGTTAACAGATAAAACCCCAGCTCACCTGGCTATTTCTGCTATCTCTGCTGTTTGCGCCATGAAGTTGTAGGGGTCAGGGTTGTCATCAAAATCTTCATCCTCATCTGTTTCTCTGCCATTGTGCTTCTGCTTGCCCAGCCCAGAGCCACGTATCCTCGGTGTTTGTGTGGCTGTTGAAGTATGGGAGCGTTTGTGTTTAGGAGAGCTGTGATTTGAGCCATATTCCTCCTCCGAAGTGGAAGTGTAATCTGAACCCTGTGGTCTCCGCCTTGATGCTTATAAAAAATGAATTGGTTTCAGACCGAGGACAGTAGTCAAGAGTAACTACAAAAGGCTGAAAGGTAACACAAAACTAGCCCAAGAGCACAAGGAAAGGAGAGTTTCTGTGCAGATCTTAAGTTAAAATACCACATTCTCTGAGCTTATTTCAAAGTCGAGCCCCTCTATGGCTCCCATTCAGTGTACAAATTTGGAGTGGAAAATTCCAATGGAAAATCATAATGACTGTGTTAACGCCTCCACTGTAGTAAATTACTACCACAGACTTTGCTTTCCATGCACAGAAGCTCTGTGTATAAGTAGCACACATTTCAGACTCCTCATAGTCCCACAGATGTCCTTTTCTGCAGAGAGCCCAATTTTCAAGCCTGCAGATACCTTTCTAATTAGCTCCAAGTACAAGCAGAAGGAGGGGTTTTGAGTGAAGAGTAGACTGCTGGTGCTTGGTGTTATTTGCAAGAGTCCACACCCCATGTTCACCTCCTGCCTCACAATTCACCATTAATGACACTCTACAAGAAAGTGCTCACTCTCAGGACTGGCTCCAAGGCCTGGAGCCAAGTGGAAGCTGCTCACTTATCCCAACTTGTTCTGCAGATCTGTAGACAGCCAGGTCTTCCTTGCATGGGAAATGTCAATTCAAGGTGTCCTTGTTTGAAAACTGGGCTCCCAATGTTTGCTGCTTCACTATACTCTCTACAGGTACTGCTTCATTCCCTTCTGTCCACCCCTGGAGAATGAAGACCCACCAAACACAGAACCAGACGAGTTATTTAGAATTACAACACCAAAAAACTTCACTGTGTTACCAAGACAATCCTAACACTGAAACACTACCTGTGAATTAAGTCAGCATCATACACCATACAAACAAAACAAACTAATTTGGTGTGTAAGATGCAGGTAGAAACTATAGATAACTACTGTATAGTGAAAGAAGAACTCCTAGACATTGCTATCTCACTCACAGCTACAATAATGCCTTGGCTTAGGATATTTTTATATATATATATATATATATATATATATATATATATATATATATATATATAAAATAAAAATAAATTTGCTCATATTCAATTCATAGAGTTGTGTCTCTTTTTTTAAATGCAGTTTTAGAATCAAGAGGTCACCCTGTCACTGAACAGCAATTTTAAAATGCTAAGACTCATTTTCTATCTCTGTATGCCAAGGGAAATCAGAATCAGCTCCCTCAGTATCATTTAAATTACCCTCAGTAAACAAATTGTGTACACAGAGGAGCATGGGAGACAGGCCTTTAGCTCTCAGAACTGGTAAGTTGGATTATTTTGATGTTATCTGTGACTTTCACAGAAAGCTACTTCAGGTGGCCCGACAATATACTGGCATTTCTTGTCTCATGGGCAGACAGTTCATGCTGTTCCTCCACTAGTGAGATTAACTTTCTCCCACTGGGAGAGTTGGGAACTCCTGTGGTTAGCTAAACACTAAGAACTCCTGGAATAAATCAGCCACAGCTGCCTCCCTATTCCCTAGGCTTGACACTCAAAGCTTTCAAGGGTTGTTGTATTTTTTTTGCTGCTAAAAAAAGTCTTGATGGCACAGTGCAATAGTCCGTTTTCACAACATGTCACTCTTGTTGCAGGAAGGGAGTTCTAGCTGCTGATTTGCTATAACAGCATTAGTACAGGAGCATGGATCACACAACACCAAGCACAATGAAGCTCGAAATACACCAGCGTGTACTTAGAGCTTGCACAAGGTTCACAATCCTATCAAAGAATTAGGGGGTTAGTATTTTAGGAGTGACTAATTCAGAGGAAGGATTAGCATCATCTGCTGCAACTATGGACAAGGAAAGGTGTTAGCATGCTGCTACAGAGGTGTGGAAATCAAAAACCAATTCATTTAAATAAAGAACTGGCCAACACTTATCATTTTTCTCCAAATGATTTGAAGCCTGTGGTCCAAAGGCAGAGGGAGTGCAAAGAGCACCTCCTGTTTGGAAAACTGACCACATTATCTTTCTTTAAATTTGTTTATCAGCATTAACAAGAAGTTAATAATAGCATCATCTCAAAAAAAGGCAAGAGAAGAGACTGTACATACTCTTTTAGCTTAATCACATTCTGAATTACATGCATATACAAGTGTGTAAGAAAAAAAAAATCACTAAAATTAAAGGTGAAGCTAAATGTACTAAAACAATCCAAATCAAAACAAGCAGCAAATAACATTTTTACCATGCAATAAAAATGAATACTGCAAGAGGGATAAATACTCAGCTGTGTGAAAATATATTAAAGGACACATTCAGAACTCCAAGACCCCTTATAAAATCATGAAACTGCTGAAAATAGCATTCTTCTCAAGAGGACTGAGAAGTCCAGCCAAAGGGGGTCTTCCTGTCCCTTTGGCTGCCAATCATTCCTAAAATCCTAAGCAAACACATCTGTTTTGCCACATCTGTGGCAGGTCAAGGACTACAGGCATTGACTTGAACTTAGACCAAAGGTTTCAGGAACAATCTCCCATTACCAATTACCATCCCAAGGTTGTCATCTGAATTGTCCCCACCTCTTAATTGAAGGCTGATTTCAGTATGACAAATGCTGATATTTCAAGGGTCTATTGAGTGCTCAACTGCAGGGAAACGTAGTCCCCACACCTCTGCCTCATGGGAACCCCAACTGTGAACCTGCTTTAGCTGTGGCAAAAGTCAGTGAAAATACACAGAAGTGTCAATCTCTTGGGGTAATTAATGTGCAGTGTCTAGCTCTGTATTTATATTTTCAGGAACAACAAGGGAACAGCTTTCACAACACATGGACATATATTTTTTGTTCTTCAGTTTCAGAGGCCTTCAAACCTGCCACCTTGGACATCAGCTGTCACCAACATCATTATAAGCTCTCTGGGAGAAAACTTTGAATCGTACAAGTAAAACAGATCGGAATTTTTTGTAGCACTAGAAAGGCATTAAATTCTTTAATATGGCAAACTGTCAAATGGCAACTGGTTGTTCAAAAACCAAACCACTGGAGTAGCTATTTGGAGTACCCTCACAGACATAACCACAATACCATCTCACTGAGTATGAGAGTGCTCTGCTGTCTCCAAATCCACATGAAGTCTCAACATCTGTGCTGCTCATGAATGCAGACTTTTGTACTCACCAAGGCAGCATCTCTACTACTGTGATACTAATCCTTGGCAACCACGTGCAACCTGTAGGTCAGAAACAGGGGAAGAGGGGAGAAACGTAAAGCAGGAGCACTTACAGGATGATGAGGAGGAATACTTGACACTGCTTGAACGAGTCCTGCTGAAAGGCTGCTTGGCAGAGGCAGCAGCTGCCGTCTTCCTGGCTGCAGCTCTCACCTCTGACACGCCCGTCTTGCGATAGGACTCGGCGCTGCGGCCCGAAAACCCCGTCCTCGCCTGCGCCGTCTCCGAGTCACTGGGCACTGTAAATGATCCTGCCCGTTTCCTGGGCATGGCCAGGATGTCCAGCCGGGACAGCTTCTTCGTCTCCATGGGCTGCTTGGTGCCCTGAGCAGCGGCATCCGAGTTGGAGGCTGCTTTGTCAGCATCCACACATTCGTTGTCCGAAGCATCTCCCAGCCGGGCGCGGCGCAGCTTTGAGGCCCTTGTGGGCCGTGGGGTGGATAAACTGTTGGACCGGGTGAGAACCTGCTGGATTTTCTGCACGTTTGAGGTTGTTTTGCTCTGGTCCTCCTTGGGGGGCTGAGTGAAAGGTTTCCTCCTGGGCACAGGCCGGGTTACTGAGTGCTCATGGTCAGACACAACCGCATCTGGGACTGGCAGGTAGGGCGAGTTTGAACTTCTCTCGTCATCTGTGAAGTCAAGTGACCCTCGAGTCCCAGCGCTCCGCTTCATCTGGAAGCGTTTGGCGGCCTCTGCTCGGTTGGGTGCCTCTGGTGCTTGTGTTTTCCGCTTCTCCGTCAGCCTGTCCCGAGCGCTGGGCTGCCCACACTGGTCCTGGATGGACGGCGTGGAGGAAGATTTCTCCTTCTGCAAGCTCACAACCGCTTTGCGTTTCGGGGCACTTGCTGGGACGTTTTTGCCGCTCACCAAGCTGACTGTGCTGGCCGTGTCTACATCTGAGTCCCCTGACAAGGAGTCCTCCAGCTGACCAGCAGTTTCCGATGGCTCCAGCTGTTGGCTTTGACCAAGCAATTTGGCTTCCAGCGCTGCCAAGGCAGTTTCAGTGTCCTTAAGCAGAAGATGAGTGTCCTGACTAAAGTCCATACGAGTTGATCGAACAGTCTCTAAATCTTTAAGCAGAGGGTGACTTGAAATATGTGGGAGTTTATTCTGAGGAACACCACTGCTTGATTTATCTTTGGTAAAACTTTCCTGTCTAACAAAAGATGCTGTTTCCTTTCCTGACATATTTTCTTGATCTTGAGGAAGACTCTGATGAAGTGAAATGACAACTTTTCCAGCCGTGTTTATATAAGCACTGACATCTTTGACCGGTGGCTTTCCAGAAACTGGTGTGCCAGCACACTTGAAGGAAAACTCCGGATCCTTGCTGTCCTTGTCTGCTCGAGCATGGGATATACTCATAGAGAGCTTGGAGGGAACCTCTGCATCATTGCTGTCATCACCAATGTAGAATGAAGTAGAAACTGGCTCACTCACAGCTCTCACATGAGAGATCCGGGTGGCTCCTGGCTGCCGGTTCTCTGATATGTTGTCTTCCCTCATCTGCTCTAGCATTTTGCTGTTCTCTTTATATTTCTTGCCTTTTTCTGTGCTGAAGCCATCATCAGATCTGCTGGCATCGCTGAGGCTATCCGGATCCAGGTCTTCCTGGATGAAGAGGTGGCTGCTGGAATCGCCATAGGCTTCCACGCAGTGGTCCTTCACGATGGTTCTCTTGGTAACCTCCGAATAGGACTCCTGGCACACCAGGACTGTGGGAGTGGGGCTGTCTGATTTATCACTTGGAGGGAGCTGGGGAAGAAGGCGCCTTGTTCTCGAGGGCACAGAGTTTTCTGGTTCCCCAGGTTTTGGGGGTACCCCACTTTCTGAAGAGAGTTAAGAGGAAAAGAATCAATTACTGTAGAATTGTGCCATTTGTTTATTTATTTGTTTAGGAAGAGCTTGATCCTGCAAAGTACAAGTCCACAAAAGCACTCACAAGATGTGCTTATAACTAAGGTTTTATGTAATATGAACATCATCAGGGCCTGGTTGGTGCCTGCTCCCTCGAGTTTATCAATACAGACATTAAACTTAATTCCTTTGCTGAATCACACTGCCCAACACCTTCCCTTCTCAAGGTAGCAAGTCAGATTCATTCTCCCCTAATATACCTCTCAGTACAAGCACTATGGAGTATAATGACATTGCTGACATCTAGCATCAATCAGGCCACAGGAATGAGATGAAAAGCCATCAGACATCAGTGATGCAGTGTTTTAAGTGCCATTCTAAACAACATTGCCCATTTGACTAAATAGATTGTGTTTTTCACAGTACAAGTTCTCCTACACTCATGTCCCAGAGCAAAGTCCCAGGAGAAAGACCCTGTAATAATCAAGAGACTGTGAATTAGAGCTCGCTGCCCCAGCATGTATGGGCTTATCAGCAGGAACACTAACACTCCATAGAAAGAGTGTTCCTTTTTCTCCCATGCTTCTGGCCAAGCCTCCCTATCTGATAACACCTTTAAGTACCAGGATAACTGGTTATTTGGCTATGGTAATGTTACAAGCACTCCAGGAGTTAGGTCTCCTACATGGTGTGAAAACAGTAGCAGTGATCTCTGAAACAAAGATTCCTTCTAATCTTTAGGGGATCTGTCTACAGCTGTAGATGGCAAGAAGGCATGACAAGTAACCCCAACCAAAAAAAATTGAAAACATTTGCAAAAGCCAACAAAGTGCTTTTCTCCTTTTCTCACACACCAAGAGGACCACAGAGTCCATAAGGTGTTTTCCAAGTTAGGAAATTGAGGGATATCAGACTCCCATCATTTCTCCCCCACCATATCTAGTTTCCTATGCTGATCTCCACATCCTTTAAAACTGCCAAATTCCAGAACAGAAAATTCCAGAACAGCCTAAATTCTCAGCACAACCAGACACAGGAGAAGCACACAAAAAAACATGCAGGTCAGGAACTAACTCCAAGGCTACATGCAAAGGGTTCTTCTCATCTGGCATCATAAGGCAGTCTAAGGAATCACAGCTTGGGGCTGGTTAACACCCAAAGCCCTTACAAGCTTTCTCCTGCCCAGGTTCCATTTAGTCATATCAAACCTAACATTTAAGAACCTCTTGAATAACTCCAAAATGCAAACCAGAGGCTCTCTCTATCTTCAGTCCACTGGGAACTACTCACTCTGTGCTTCCCATCTCCAACTACTGCAGCTAAAACAGATAACAAAGCTACAGCCAGATGCAGAGATGCCCTTAATTTCTGCTTTTCCTAACATCCTTGTTTAGATTCAGATACCCTCAAACCACAGTGCTGGAAGAGACTTACCTGCACTTCCATCACCCTGCCCAGAGACAGATCCAGAGTCAGAGTAACTGTCCGCAAGGCTCGCCCACCTTGACACCCACTTCTGACTCCCTTGAGATGCTGCAGACATCTACAAGTGGGGAAGATGAGGTCAGAAAGAGGGTTTGGACACAAAATCTTAGCCACAAAGTCCTAGCCACAAAATCTCTCCTCTCTCACTGACATCACTTGGTCTGTTTAAAATAGAAATCAAGCTACACATCACATTTACATCCAGACAGAAAACCCATCTACACCTCCAACATCCCAGGAAATCCACCTGGACTGCTCATACCTGTGCTTCAGCCTGAGACCCATTCACAGCTTTTGAGGAAAAAGCCTGGAGCAAGGGTGACTTCTGACTGGTGCCGTTTTCACTGATTAGATGCTGAGAACCGGAGTCATCTTTTTCACCTTTAATTACTGGTCTAAAGGTTGAAGAGATTCTGGAAAATTCAGGTGATTCAAGAACACCAAAAACCTGAAAAGATGTTTGCATGGGAATATTAAAATGCAAGGAAACAGAAAAACATTAGCCAAAATCTATGAAAATCTGTGAAACATTAGTCACACACAAACTATGATCCCAAGGGGCCAGAAACACTTGCCAATGCTTCCATGCAAACCATGTAAATGATTTTCTTCTGTACTCCACAGTAGCAGCTTTAAATATACATAATCACAGAATTCCACTTACACCCACCTTTCCTCTCTCCCTCATTATTTAGGGGTGTTGCCTTTAACAGCAGTAACTTTCACTGAAAAGGAGTCCCTTTTCAGCCCAGAGAAATTTAGGATGAGTGTTGGGAAAGCTATTTACCAGCTCATTCATGAAGATTTATACAGAGAAAATGGGAAAACTCCATCCCCAGTGCCCTTCATAGACTGTGGCTGTGAGTGGGCTGAGCAAAGCAGCCCTGCACTGCCACAAGGAACTGGGACAGGATGCACCTCTGAGATGGGTGAGTGTTTGAGCTCATTGCACAGATTCCCCCTGAAGATAAACAGGCCTTCTATGGGGGGTGATGAAGACTCATGCCTCAGAAGGACTTGTTCTTCTCACTTGACTGCAAGAAGTTCAGAGGAAGATACACCACAGAGGGTGCCTTGGCTGTGCAGAGACGGCCATAAAGATCTCCACTCTCACTGCTCTGAAAAAAATGTGCTTGCAATGGTGGAGGAATAAAGAACAGAAACACCTTAGAACATAAATAAGTCCAGAATTCATTTTCTTTCTTCCTGGACAGAAGCACTGAGGTTCAGTTACCAGCTGTTTCACAAGTGGCAGGTCTGCACTGCACCAAGTCTATGGCACAGTCAGGACCAGAAGCTGGCCAGTTTGTCTGCTAGAGTCACATGGCTGCCAAGACTATTCCCCAGAAATATTTGTATTTTTGTGGCATTTTCCCTCATACTTCCCCACCAGAACAATTAGTCATCTATTGTCAAGACTAGGACCTTGCTGTGACCTAAATGCCGTGCCCTGAAAGCTTCCCATCACATTTCAAACAAGATGGAAGGAACAAATGTAATCAAAAACAAAAGAGAGAAGCTAGATCCAGGCTCATAAACACTGTATACAAAGCTCTAAAGCCAGGCTCAATTAAGGCTTCCTTTAAACCTTGACATCCTCCTGACTACATTTCACTAAATCTTCATAACAACTTGCCAGTTTTGTTTTCATAATAGACCGCAGATGAGAGTTAAACCTGAAAATCAGCCAAACTTTCGTTTGCCCTGCGGTTGGTTAGTTGGGTGGGTTCTTCTTAAGCCTTCCTCATCTCTGGAGTTTATTTTTTATGCAATCATTCACACTGCAAAATCTAAACAAGTACAGATCCATCTGGGATTGCCTCTGCCCTAGATCACACCCTTTGCTATCTCAGCCAGCTGCTGCTTGCCCTGACAGCAAGCACTGCCTTTCTAATCAGGCACAGCCAAATACAGAAACATCTGCCACTAAGGCTTGTAAGCACCAGCCCTTGGCATTTCCTGTGGCCTACCATGGGATGATGCATCAGTGAGGACTGCAGCTCCCATCTTTATAACAGTGGGCAGGAGGTGATGCAATGCCAAGGCAGAGGCTTGGGAGCAGTCCTAGAGAGCAGAGCTGCTCCCAGCCACAGCTGTCAGCAGGATCAGCCTGATCTTTATTCAGGTGTTGCCTTTCCTCTAAACAGATGGCAAACCCACTCTTTCCCTTTTGCTTCCAAATTCCATTTTTTAAGCAAGCAGCTCTTTGCTGTGAGCATGTTTTGCCTTCTTTTACTCTGTGGTTTTTTGTTTGTTTGTAATTTGGTTGTTTTGATGGGATTTTTTAAAGACAAGTGTCACAGTTTGTTTGGGCCTATCCTTAGCACACGTCACTCAGGACAATTTTCCACTCCTAACTATAATGCTCTGCTGTACCCAATTGCATCCCTTTGTGGCAACAGTTAATTTAAGCCCTCCAAGCCTTCAGCCCACAGCTCATTGGCCAAGCACAGAAAAGCAGCATTTACCTGATCTATCATTTTTCGCGCTTCCTCCACCTCTTTGTCCTGCGACTCTGTCTCAATGGTGTACGTGCCCGTCTCACTCACACTGTCTTCCTCATCATTCCTCCTGCCCTGGGCAGACTTCACCTCTGGAGGTGGAGCAGAGGCAGGCTCTGGTTCCGAGGATATAACCACGCGTGGAGCTACGGGCACAGGGGCTGCTTTCTCAGCGCTTGGCTTCCCAGACTGAGCAGTCTCACGCAAGTACTCAGCCATAAAATCCTGAGCCATTTTCGACTTCCTCCCAACGCTCCCATAACTTTTTGCTCTAGGAGCAGAGGAGGACGAAGAGTTGATCCGATCCTCTGTCTTGTCCCTCTTGAAGGAGCTTGTTCTTTGGGTCCCGCAGGAGCTGTTGCTGGCTTTGCCCGCCTGGGCTGTGAGGTGGGACGGTGGCACTGAATTTCCCGGCTTCTCCGCTGGCAACGCGTTCTTGCGCTTTTCCACCTTGCTCTTCATCCCCGGATCCGTGTCGCTCTGGGACGAGTGAGCGCTGTGCGTGAAGGACTGGGACCGCTTCTTGCGCGGCGTGTCCTCGAAGAACTCGATGACGAAGGCCTGCTTGTTGTGCAGCATCTCGTGGGGGTCGCGCCTCATCTGGCGCTGCAGCCTCGTCTGCTCCGTGGGACGTTCCCCGCCCGCCGTCGGCGTCTCCTTCTCCGCCTTGGGATCTTCGGTGTCGCTCTGTGTCCCGTCCTCGTGCCTGTTGCCTGGAAACAAGGTATGAATATTTGACCTTCGCACTCTCAGATGTTGTGGGCCTGTCATTACCTCCCAGATGAAATTTATCATTTCAGTTACAAGAAAAGCATTCTGTAAGATTAAAAAACTCCAAAGAATCTGTGTGGTACAGTGATTACACCCCATCACAAGAAATAAAGAGAAAGCAGTCTCTCCTGACCCCACTTTTCATCACTGGTTGGCTACCAAGTTAATTATTTATTTAAAAAGAATTCAAGAAGTACTTTTAACCTTATTTTTATTCTTATTTAAAAAGAATTCAAGAAGTACTCTCAACCTCATGGATTTCTGATTTTTCTGATTCTGGTGATTGGTTTACATACCTAATGTTTTGTTTCTTTACTTTACTTTTTCAATTCAAATAAAAATGAAGAGATTATTCTGCCATTCTATCCAATTACTGTAGTCCAAGACCACCTCACTGGGTTTTCTCTTTTACAGAGCAGAAATATCTCTGCAGGATCAGGAAATAAAACCCTCACACTGCATGCCATGAAACCAAATCCCCACGATGAAAGACCAGACAGATCACTGCATTACAAGTACATGCATCTCTGAGCACCCATGTCACCCTCCTCCACAAGGGGAGATAAAACAGAGGCTAACAGAAAAGTGGATTTGCAAGATTCTTTACGCTTCCTGGAGATTTAAGAATCACACCATGACGCCCCCATGAGTTACACCATCCGATCACCAGCCAAGCAAAGGTTAAATCATTACTTAAGAGTTCACTAAGCTTAAAATAAGTTTATAATTATTTTCATTTATGTTAGCAACAACCATCTTTTACAACTGTCTCTACATACCAGTGACTGCCTGCCTCTCAGCACCTTAGCTCAGGACTCTCAGAAAGTAAGTTCAAGTAAAACAAAAAGTCAAAATTAAAAGAAAAAGTTAAAAGTAAAACAAAAAACAAACCTTTTTTTGGAGAAGGAAACAGGTGTGAAGGCACACAACACGATTCAGTCAACGACCAGGAACCTGTCATCGGGAGAACGGGGAAAGAGGTCTCTGCGCTCTAGACTGTAATATGTAGCAAGATATACTGGCTAAAACACCACGTGTTTGAAGGAAAACTGCTCAAACCAACTTGACAAGTTCTCCAGACTCATGGGTGAAGACCATTTATTACAACAAGTTAACTGCAAAAGATTAGAATTTAATGTAAGGTCCATTCAACCCAGGAGTCAGTTCTATGAAGAGTTTGCTAATACACTGATGAAGAAAGCCAGCAAACTTTGCATTGTGCCCTGAGGGCTGATAAGCTTCACCCTTGGAAGGGAAAGTTCTTAAATTAAAGGTCTTGACTAAGAGCTCTGATGGATGCAAAACAGTGAGGACACAAGGAAAACATGCACCATGCTCACAGATGCCCCAGCAGAACATCATGCACATCCTCTCAAGCTGCTAAGACCTGAACACCCTGTAGTCTTGATACTGGACTTTACATTCACCACACTGTTGCTGGAAATGAACAAATGTTACTTAGATAGCCCCAGATGGAGGGCATTTCTGATCCTGGAGACCCAAACCTGGTAGGCAGCCAGCAGCAGCCTCCAAGATATCTTCAACATCAGCCCTGCCAGAAGAACACGTTGCACAGCTATCGTAGATAAATGACACCTGCCAAAGCAGAGGAGCATCAACTCCTCAGCCCATCAACACTCTATGTTTTAATCAAATGTCCAGTGTTGATTTCTTGATATGCAAATTGCACCCTGAATTACTTCAGCTTCTTTCCATGCCTTATGGACTGTAGATAGGCAAATGCAGTCAGTCCCTAGTGCTCCTGTGCATCACAACAGCAACAGCTGCCCAGCTCTCTAGTTTTCTCCAAGAGGAAAGAGCAAAACCACTGAAGCACATTTCTATCCTTGACAATGCTCTCCAATAAGTCAACAAAATCCAGTATGATAACAACATAAAAAATCCCAGCACAAACCCTTTCATCACACAGTCACAGTACACTGAAAATAAGATCCTAAATAATGAAACAGGGCACCTCAACACTGTCTCTTATTGGGCAGAACTAGAACCAAGCAATGGCCAACAAAGTAGTTCAATTTCCATACCATGTGAAACCCTATAGCTGAATAGAAGACCTTTATGATCCTACAGGGTTCCCAAAAATATGTACCAAAACCAGCAATTTGGAGGTGTAATACATAAAACTCTTCATATTATGATGAGTTTTCGGGGTTTTTTTTCCAAGAAGGTCAAAGCAAATATTCCTTAAGAGAAAACAAGGCACAGCTCTTATTTAAGTAGGACCTCAAGCACAGGTAGGTCTGGTAACCTTCAATTTGACTTCATCAGCTCAAGCTGCAGTTCAAAACAATAGCTCTTCCAGAGGCAAGGCAGTGAGAATGCAGGAATCACTGGTCTCCTCCAAGCTGTTCAGAGGATGGCCCAAGAGAGACACCTAAGCAACCATAAATCTTGCAGAACGTATTCCAAGTTGCATCAGAATCATGTAAGTCCCACAAGCTGCTCTAAGAACTGAGCTCCAAACTTCACTTCAGATCTTTGAAAATCCCCCAAGAACTCCTCACAAGTGACACACTTAACAAGACAGAGGTTCACTAAATCTGATGTTCTTGAACAGAGCAGGGTTTCAGAAAAGCTTTGGGTTAGAAGAAACCTTTTCCTACAAGCACAACAATTTCCTCTACTAGGGATCATGTGTATCTCAACTCTGCCAGTATTGTCTCTGTCAGCATTTTCTGTCATCCAACCAACTGGCTCTGGCCACTACCAGATGATCACACTTAAGGCAGCAGGATGATCATGCTTAGACTCCTATGGATTACAGTTAAAAAGAAAAGCCATTCCATCAGCTAGGAGAAGCCAAGAGAACCAAATTCATTGAAATATCTGTGTTTATCAGCCTGCCTGACCATATGGAAATTATTTTAGACGTTTAAAAACCAAAATCTTATTTTCAACCAATTACTGCTGAGCTGGCATTATAGATGCAGAGGAGTCACATTAGTGTCCTCGAGTCAACATCACACATGACTTCAGGGCCAGGTGAAGAGCATGCTGGATGCATTCAAAATATCAACAGTCATTGAAGTAATATTCTTCATCTTGCAAATTTGGAGCAGAGATAATTAAGTCCAGTTCTCCTTGATAGGAGAAGGGTTTTCATATTTTACTATGAAAGGCTGCATTTTGCATGGCCAACAGAGAGCTATGTCCACATGACAAGACATTCACTCACCTTTGAGCGTCCTTACATGAACTGGCAGGTCACTCTTGGTACTGTAAACATCATCTCCTGCAGACTGCCTTCTCATCAGGCTTGGGTCATTCTGGACAAGCCAGTCAGCCACTTTGCTCTCTGCTGACATCACTTCTGTAGGAGCTGGTTCCTTACTGTAGGGTCTTCTCTGTCTGAGTGAAAATTTTGTTACATGGTCTTTTATCTTTATTTTACCAGGGGTACCATCATCAAATTCAATGGTGAAAGAGGCATGACTCTGTACCACAGGGGCTACCACAGCATCAACATCTTTTGTTGGGATCTCATGAACCTGTGTTTCTGGAGATTTTGATGGCTGCTGAAATTCCTTAGTTGGAATCTCAAAATAACTTGGCTCTCTCCGGAAGGCAAACACAGATTGTTCTTGGGCATCTCTATAGGTAGAAATATTCCCATTCAGTTCCTCTTCATGTTGGGTTATCTCTTTTGATCTCTCTAGAAAAGTGGAAAAAAAAAGGATAAAATAACATTTTTTCAGTACTACTTAATTAACTTATTTCAACTTCTTGGAAGGGCTATTAATCCCAACCCTGCTAGAGAACAGATACACTGTGTGTGCATTGAACTAGAACACTTTTTTGTGCAGTAGAGCACATGCTTGATGGAAACATCAGGTTTGCTGCATAAGTGAAAACAAGATGCCTCTTCCATACACACAGATTCAACAGGAGTGTTAAGACCAAATGGCTCCCAAGGATGATGAGGTGAGAAACAGATACAGGTACACAACTAACTCTAAAACAAACTTAGTGATTTACTCCACAACTACTGTTTCTAATGGTCAAATGTTTTAGGGAACACATTTTAACTCTCTCTTATTCCAGTTTCAGCAGCAGCAACCTACACACAGGAGCGTGCAAATACAAGGACAAAAAAAGAAGTAGTAATTACAAGTCTTGAAACAGGACGGCTTCAAACAGTAAATATCAAAAGTGTGCCAAAATTTTGTGTTCTGTATCTTCTCCCACCACACCTCACCCTCCATTACCTGAGTAATGTTCCTCTTGCCTTCTCTCCTCCTTGTTATTTGCATCATCTTCCCCCCACCAGGAGGGCTGCCCATAGAGAGGGGTGCGGTAAGTATTTGTTTCTAGGAAGAGGATAAGCAAATATTTTAACACAGAAAATACTAATTTACCAGGTTCAATTGCACAGCAAGAGGGGGAAAACAGCAGGGCCAGATGAGACCATGAACCTGCTACACCACAGCTATAACAACAGCAAATTATATATAATAATATGTTCAGGCTTCTCTTTGTTTCGCCCTTTTTTCCTTTTTACATTCTATTGCAAGATACTAACTTCACCTCCTTTCATTGTCTTTCACATCTGTGTTTCCCAGATACTGGCTTTTGTCCCTTTCTTGCCTTGCTATACGCAAAAAGTAGAAGATTTGTGGCAGGACAGACTACAAAACACCACAAAACTGTCTTCAACTCTCCTGAAATTCAGGTGAAAATCTTTTTTCCTCACCTTAATTGGGAAGACTTTAGCTCTACCCTTTTTTGTCCCACCATATCCTTGGATGTGTCCAGGCTAGGGATTTTTTGCACTGTTTACCACTCCCACTGTAAGCGACACATATTCCACAACAGGAAATTCTTGAAGCATTACAAACTTATGAAAAATAGTAAAACCATCTCCTAACACTTTCATAAAGAAGCAGTAAACTCTTGCTCTCTAAAGCTTATTTATAGTAAACCAAATGAGTTGCATAGTCATTGTAGTACAGAGGTTTTTCTCATGGAGAATTTCCCTCTAGAAGAGCCAGGCTTACATTATTTCTCTGTTCAATAAGCACTCACTGCAGGATCAGGACTTCACTGCAACAACTGGCACCCACTCAGTGGAACTGATCCACTGCTCCTCATTTTGTATCCCACAAAACAAGGCTGTGCTATGGCAGTGCCTTGGGCTGCTGCTGTTTATGCAACAAACAAAAAGAATACACCCAATTTGCCTGTGGTACAGTTAATATTACAGTTTTTCCATAGTTCAAGAGAAGCAAATGAATTTGCTTTTGTTCTTTCATCTACAGGTGATAGAAACACCAGGATAGGTCAGGGGCTGAGGTTAAGATCCAGCTTTGTTAGGCTGTTTCTGCCTCTGCTCATAGCAGCTGTAGCCAGCCACATCTTGAAACCCTGGCTCCAGCTCCAGGGCCATAGCTGGGCTTCTACTGCCAGCTGCTGCTCAGCTTGTGGTTTTCAAGCCACACACTGCTCTGTGCAAAGCAGCTCCCAAACAGCCCTGCAATTTTGCATTCCCTGCTTTAGTAGGGACATGACAGAAAGCAGTTGTTTGCATAAGGGAAGTCAGGAGAGGAAGGGGAATCAAATAACTCAAATTTAAAAAGCAGCCTGATTTCATGCTGTTGTTTCTAAAGCAACACAGGCCCAGTGGCCACTTCAGATATTTCGGTCTAGGATCATTCCAGATATATAAGCTCATACACTGACAGTCCACAGGAAGAATTTTGCTTTAAAGATGCAGCCCACAGGCCCTTTTCTAGAGATCTTCTTCATGTTTCAAAGATAACCACACAGCCTCCCTTCTCACTGAGGATCAAAAGAGGCTGAAAGTATTGCTCTCCTCCCTGCCTAGAGTGCATGGAAGATAAACCATGCTCCTATTATGTGGGCGGCCTTTGAAAGTTCAAAGGAGGAAGCATTTCTCACCATGATAAATTGGAATTGCCAAGCAATATGTTTCATAACTGATGGGTAAACCACTCATGGGAGAGGGGGGGAAATGATAAAAAACCTATTCACAAGGTTGTCAGTGAACCCTACTCCAGTGCAGGGTTTGGTTCCTCCTAGGTTCAGAGCTGCTGTCACACAGCCTAGCAGAAACCTACCATCCTCTTTTCATGCTGTCACTTGCTCACTAGAGCCCACCCCAGCCATGCAGGATCTGCTCCACCAGTGTCAGGCACTTTGGGCACACCATGGATTATTACAGACCTTAGGGTTGATGGCCAAGAGGCAGCTATCTGGGGGAAGCCAGAGGAGGGAGATCAGCACTTTAACACAAATCCATTAGCAAGAGCTGTCTGAGGTAATTTGTGCCTAAAGGGATCAGCTACCCCAGATGAAATGCAAAGACCACCTGCACTCCACTGTTGCACAAGCAGCACCATTCCCAAGGATGGATGCTGTTACTGCTTGCATCTTACAAGGAATTGCAGGTCATTAACAGCTCATCTCTCCTGCACATCCCAGCCCCAAAGGGATCCCAAAGGCCCCCTAGTCTAGAAGATGCCAGTGATCTATTCCAAGACAATTCTGTGTCCAGAGGGGCAGAAGAGAGCTAAGAGAGCTCACACCCATCCTGCAGGACAGAAGTCTTCCCAGAAACTGCTCTAAGATCTGTGTCCTATCTGAGTACAAATACAAGAGCTTCTGCCTTTGTTGGACGAGAGTTTTTCTACTACAGGGAAAAGGCAGCCAGGGGAGTAAGTCAGACTTTTGGTCAGACCTCTTCTGTTGATGAGGAACTTTGGGATTACAACTGAAGATGAAGGGAGAAAAGAAAGGATTTATAAAGAATGATGATTCAGTTCCTCTGCTGTCTCAAATTTCCCTGGGCCCTGACAGGTACTTGGAAATTACCCTAACAAAAGCTAACACAAAGTCAAGACCCCAGGGCAGGTCTAGGAACACCTAAAAAGAGTGCACCAGGTTGGCCAGAGTGCACAGATCTGGGGCCCTCCGGTGGAAGACACTGCACTGCACTCACTGCATAGCAGCAAAAGGTTCTTCATGTCTCCTGATACAGAGCTCACATGGCACCACCTGCAATGCCTGTTACAGCATCTGTGACAAAGCTGCACATCTGTATGTGTGGCATTTCATTCCTTTCCTCTCCTGATCTCCACAATGAAAGGGAAGTTAATTTTAAAACTGCAAAAAGCACAGATGGAAAGCTGAGGAGTCAGTACCTTCCTATTCAGGGACAGTTTCAATATTTTAAGAGCAATTAATATTTCCCCTGAGAATTCATATTAATTTGCATTTTGAGTAATATTGTCAAGTGATGCAGTCACCATCATTCCTGGCTGTTGCTGAAAGCAGACAGATCCTGAACCAGACTAAAATTTCTGTGACCTCAGAAGAGTGTTGTGGTTTAACCCCAGCCAGCAGCCAAGCTCCACACAGCCACTCACTCACTCCCCCACCCACTGGGATCAGGGAAAGAATCAGAAGGGTAAAAGGTAGAATAGTTATGGGTTGAGATATAGAGAGTTTACTAAGGAAAGCAAAAGCCATGCACAGAAGCAAAGCCAAACAAGGAACTCATTCCCCACTTCCCATGGGCAGGCAGGTGTTCAGCCATCTCCAGGCAATCAGGACTCCATTACATGTAACAGTGACTTGGGAAGACAAACAACAATCACTCCAAACATCCCCTCCCACTTCCTCCTTCTTCTATACATTATATACTGAGCATGTGATATAGTCTGGAGTATCCCTGTGGTCCCTTTGGGTCACCTGTCCTGGCTGTGTCCCCTCCCAGGCAGCTCCAATCTCCTGACCAGCGTGGCAGTACAGAGAGCAGAAAAGGCCTTGGCTCTGTGTAAGCCCTGCTCAGCAATAACAAAAACATCTCTGTATTAACAGCTCTGTGTTCTGCAAAAATCCAAAACACAGCTCCATACCAGGCACTGGGAAGAGAATTAACTCTACCCCAGCCAAAACCAGCACAAAGAGCTACATGAATTTGCTGCCCTGCTCATGTCAGAAGCTTCTGTCCCTTCTAATTTGCCAGCACAACTGACACCTCTCCCAGCTCCAGCTCTAAAACAACAATATTGTAGAAAAAGGGGAGGGGAGGGGGGAAAAGCACGAGGGGAAGGCAGCTAAAACAGATGGCTGTGACAGAAGTGGGCCAGGGAGCAGCTACACATGCAGTTGTGCCAGCGGGCTTTGCTCTTCACCATCTGGGATCCATTTTAGGTAGCAACCTCAACCTGGACCTGCAGCATCCAGAGCAGCATGTTTGCCTGTGTCCTGAGGTATGCAAAGCAGCCTGAAGCCACCTCCTGTCTGCTCTGTTTTAGTGTAAGATGGATGTTCTTGCAAGAGCAGAGAAACTCGGGGTTTGCTCAAGTCAGCAGTGAAGGGAGGAACACCAATGAAAATGAACTGCTCAGTCATTTTAATGACATGAGACTTCCTCCAATTGATGGCAGCTCGTTACCACCTCTCTCCACTCCGTGCCAGGCTGCCCAGATGGTGCCAATTCATTTAGACATATTTCTTGGCTCATCAATTCAGGCAGGCAGCCCGAAAACCATCCTTTTAGATAACTGAATTGAGGTCAGCACAAGCATTCAGCCAGATAAATACTGAGTTACCAGGGATGGTGTAATACAGGGAAGACCACTGACATACACGTGTTCTGCTCCTGGATTTCAGTCTTTGGGGCAGTCACTCAAAAGGAAAAAATGAAGGCTGTTTTAGCACAGAAGAAGGGAAGTCCATTTGTTTAACAGTCTGAAAAAATGGGCCCTGTTAAATTAAAACAGAACTATTGATCATCTGAAGGAGAGGCACCAAAAGAGAGAATGAGACGTGCCAATACAAAGGGTGTATTTATGAAGAAGTGAATCACACAGAACACAAGGCCACAACCAGAAATGCACTCCAGGTGATGAAAGGCAAAGGAGAAAGACTGTGTTAAAGCTGCTTTCCATCATCAAGCAGGAGGAAGTGCTTTCAAGACAAGCACACAGCTCCCACTAAACAGAGGGGTCTGATTTCCCTTGAAGGTGTCCCCTGTGGTCAGGACAGGACTGAGCACTGTGCTTTGCCTGAATCTTCACAAAACTTCACACAATCATGAGAGAGACAGACAGTCAGCAACAGCAAATTTCTTTGCTCACAGAAGCACACACAGCTTTGAAGCTCGCTACTGCAAGTCATAACAAAAGCATGAGAAATCCAGCTTCCTTTAAGTCAAACTGTTTTTGATTCATTATTAATAACAATAATGTCCATCTCTAGAAGATGCAGAGTAGGTTTCTTACAGCAGAGGCCTTGGGGAAAAAAAAATATTATCTAGCTACAGCATTTTAAAATTAATTCCTTACATCTCTGCTTTTTCACTCCTCTCCAAAATAAAGAATTCAGACCTAGCAGGAATAATCATAAAGCAGTTCTCTACTCTTTGCCACACAATTTATTTTCTGTGTGCATGGTTAATCTGGGCCCTGGTCTTTTGTACCTGCTGTGAACATACACAGATCCCAGGGACTTTCAAATCAGGCTGATGATCACAAATGTACTTGTATCACTTACATGGTCAAACCTTAAACATGCTGCAGTTACCACCACTCTAGTTGAGGCAAAAAAGCAGATATAACACCACTCCCTTAAATTAAAGGCTAGGGCAGAGCTGTGTGTCTAAATAGCTATTGCCATGATCTCATGGGGAAAGCAGCCAAAGACCATGGAAATCACTTCACAGCTGGGCACAGCTCCCACTGCCTCCATCCACGCTGCCTGCTGACCTCAGCCCTGGACATCAGCAAGACTTTCAAATTGTCCACTCTGCTGAGAGGACTTAACTAATGACATGGACGCTGACTTGGTGAGCAAACCTATTTCACAGATCCCGGTAGAAGCTCCTGCAATTGGTCCTACTCCTGCAAGTGATGATGCCCATTTCCCTGTAAGCAGCCTCCACCCCTGGAAACTCAGGCCTGCAGCAGTTATTCAGAGGTTAGTCATCAGATTCAGGATTACCCACTCCCATCAGGCTGTGGCAGCTTTGAAAATACTAAAAATTAAGATCGGCCTGAGGATTTAACCATGTGCCGAGAACAGAGGATCACAAAGCAGCTTATCTCATCAAGTACCTCAACTCAGGTAGCAACAGATGGGAATAGGGATTGTGACTGTCTTGAAATCTACTCAGTTCAAGGCTCTACCTGGCTTCCTGATAACTTAAGGCTTTAGACATGAGAGCTAATAGCTATTTTTAGCATTAACTAGCTGAGCTGTGGACACATTTATTCATATCCATCTCCAAGCTATAGAATTAACTAAGCTCCTTGTTTCAAACATTTCACAGACTGATGATTTTCTGCTTACAGGCAACATACACCCAAAAGCTGCAAGTTCAACAGCATAAAGACTAAACTGACTGTTTCCCATCCACTCCCCTGCATCTCTTTATCCTCAGCCCCTCACCTCCTCCCATTTCTAAGCAGCTCTAATTGTTCGCATTGTTTTGTTAAACCTCTTCCCTGAAAGCTTGCATTCCCTCTGCCTCCTTTCCACCCGGGCCCTGGGAACCGATCCTTCTAAAGGCTTTTGTCAGCCCAGACCTTGCTTTAATTAGTCAGTGCAAATTCCTAAATACCTACAGGCTTAGCAAAACAGCTCTTTCCCTAAAGCCTCTTTCTGCTGCCACTAAGCAAGCCCACTCCCCTTAAGAACACTACAGCTCTTCTTTTCACTAATCATTTCAAATTGCTGCCAGTCCTCCCAGCAGCCGAGGAGAAACAGTGCATGTGTGCAGCTGAGGACAAGGTGAATTAGTCACCTCGCAGATGAGAAAGGGATCCACTGATCATTCTGCTCACGTGACAGAGATGCTTTTGGGAGAGCCAGGGACTGATTTAATGCTCAGGCTCTTTCCACAGGCTTCAGTCCAATCCAGAAAAATACTTCAAACAAAAAGTCCTGATTTCCTCTATATTCAGTGGGGTTAGCAGCACTTTACAGATTTTTTTAGCTCTGCCCATCAGTCCCACTGCATGTGACATACTTCAGTGCTGGTCCCCAGCAAGAACACAGAGCCCGTTTTGCCTCAGACCTCTGGTCTGTGCCCAGTGAAGATGACAGAAACAAAATGCAGGTCTGCAAATCACAGGCCAGAAAAACGGGTCACCTTGCTGAAGAGTCACTCAATGTCCTGGCTTTGAAGGTGTTCCAAATATCCACTGCTTATGCTATGTAGGTTAAAATCAATGAGAGTGTATTTTGGAAGGTGGCAAGAATAAAAAAACTGAGTGTTCATGGAACCAGGTAGTAACAAACACAAAGTGGTTCCAGTTACTGGCAAAGCTTTCCAAGAACCTCCTGCCCCTTGAAAGGCAGCGGAGAGATCCTCCCCCGTTGGAGTTCACCCCTTCTCACCCTCACCAGTGTCACACTTAATCATCCACAATTCCATCCCTTTACATTCACGCTTGTCAGGCTCAGTCCCAAACACAGACACAGCCAAAGCAACACAAAGAAAGGTTTTCTAGTGCAGAAAATGGGAGTGCTTCCCACACAGCTGGAGACAGCAAAGAGACCAGGGAGGAACATTTCACTCTTTTAGTGCACTGTGTCATCCTAGGGGGATTTTCATAAGGACAATACATGGGAGATTATGGTCAATCAATCCACTTCAACTAGTTATCATGAAGCCTTAACAGATCTACCCAAATGTGTACACTTTTCTAGAAAGCTGCCATACCTGTCTCTAGGCAAACTCACCCAAGATGTTTACCTCACTCTTTTACTTCCCATCCCCTTCCCTCCATTCTCCTCCCTGATTCTTCCTCCAACAGAGTGGGCAACTCCCCCTGCTAAACCCTAAAGCTTTCCAATTGCTCTGCCATCCTGAAGCCACAAGACCACCACTGGCAGTCAAGTCACCAATATGCTTTAAAACCTTTTTTGTTCCTCCCATGCACCAGCAAGCCATGAACTGATACCTGACCAGAACTGGGGAGAGAGACCTGTCAGGACAGCACACACAGGGGGCAGGAATTTGGGTGAAATGGGTGAGACAAGACTGCTGGGAAGGTCCTGGCAAACCATAATGGGGAACACTCATGTTCCCCAAATTCAACAAAGGATCTTTAAAGGCAGGCAGCAGTTGTTAACAAAATGGAGAAGAGAAGGAATTTCTCAAACAGAAAAGGTTTGAAGCTGGGGAACAGTGAACCTGAAGCAAACACCTCCCAGTTTGGCAGTCAGTTTCAATCCCACATGTTGGCACGTTAGGAAATACAGCCATTTCAAACCATCCAGGCTTTGTGAAAGAAATGGCTTGCTGCTTCTTTGCCTGCCAGCACCATGCCACAGCAGCTATACATTTTCTACTCTGAGTCACCCTCTCTGTTCAAACACCAGCTCATGATTAGGAAATTAAAAATAGACCAGACAGGTGCCAGAGAACTTACCAAACCTGCTCTGCCCACAGGTTTTCCAGAACACACACAGCGACAAGGCATGTAGGAGCCATCACACCAGCTGACTTTTTTTTGAGACTGAATCTCCAAAAACCCAGAGTCTGGAATAATCCAGGAGCTTAGAAAGATGATCCTTCCAGAACTGCTCCCAAATGCAACCCACAAGACTCTACTGTCAGAATAATAACCCAGCACAGGGCTCAAGCTGCACTTTGCTCAGAATCCAGAAGAACTGGTTCCCCAGCAGGTACCTGTAATTGCTTTCCTCTCTCCTTTCTCCAGCTTTGCTTGTGGGGACTCTGTGTAGACGCTGTGCTCCATGGGCTGCTCCGCCCTCTTCACGGCCGTGCCTTTGTAGTTCATCTGGAGTTGGCTGGTGTACTTCTCATGCTGCAGAGACACCAACAGCAGTGAAAACCTCTTCCCCACCAACAGATCACCCAAAACTCCACTGCAGCTCTGTCCTTCAGCAAAAAGCATGCACACCTGGGAAGAAGCTACAGAACAGGAGAAGTACCCCATTTGGAAGCCATTAAGTGACAATTCTAGTACACAAGAAGGTCACTGTGACTTAGCTCTGCAAAACAACTAATTAGCAAAATCCTTTAAAAAATAGACTGAGAAGAATCAGAGCACAGGCCATTCTCCACTCAGGATTCAAATCCTGAAATCCCCTTTGTTCTTAAAAGAACATTATAAATTATTTCAGGGCGCTCATCTGCATTATCTCAGTTTTTCAGCAAAGGCAATTGGAATCTATTTGAATTATTTTCTCCAAACTCTTTCCCCAGCTAGGAAAGCGATTCTACCTTAAAACAGGTTCCATATTAACACAGTAAATGAGCTATTTAGAAGCTGGTTTATTACAAGTAAATTAATAAAAGGGTGAACCTATCCAGTTTATCCCTGAGTAAGTTCAATGAATCATTTGCCCAATTGTAGCTGTTAAATTCCCTATTTTTGCCAATTCCTAAACATGGAACCAGGGCTAGGAAGGCAGTATCTGCTAGCCAAGAGCTGATGCATGGCACTGATAGCCCAGTCCCACAGTTGAACATTATAGCTTTCTTGCCCAGAGGGGATTGCTTTTCTGCCTTAGATAAAGGGATGCTTGAATATTTCTTACCTGCTACTGAACAATGTTTAAAAAACACCTCACTCCTAAGAAGACTGACTGCTACTTACTCAGTAAGTAAAAATTGGGAGCTTGAAGGCAAAAATGAGATGATACCCATGAATAAATTAAGCAAACTTCAGCCTGATTGAGGAGGTGTGGTGGAGCTGGCATAAGTCACCATGCTCAGAAAAGACATCTGTGCTCCACTTCTGGGGAGAAAAAAGTTTTGCTGTGCTTCACCCACAAGTTCATGTGCTGGTTATTCTTTAACACGTTACAGCTTTAAGGAACCTTTTTTTTCTTGGCAGTCATGAACATACAGAACTTGATCTACATGTTAGCACAGGGATAGGAGATCACAGTTGAGATAACTGGGAAATGTATCTCTCCTCAAAGGAAGGTTTCATTAAGTCCAAATCCAAAGAGAGCCTCACATTTTGAAACATTTCACTGCCATCAACAGTATTTTAATATTTCACTCTGCTTGACCATCACTAGAGTATTTAAAAGTTGGGGTTTTTTTTAAGTGCACTGCACCCAGCCACTCTTACCTTTAATGCTTCTTCTGGGACTTTGTGTTGAATTTGTTCCAGGACATACATATTCGAATGTACAGAAAATTCATTAAGGAAAATACAAAGGACTTGAATGGACAAAGAAATTTAACATTTAGTCACAGAAAGAAAACAGATCATAAAACCAGAAAGTCTTAAAATAGACGGGGTAGTTAAAGTTGCCTGTGCTGCAGCCCAGCATGGTCTTTGCTGTGCACAATCACATTTGCTGGGCATATCCAGGACAGCTGAGGGGCAGCAGACGTGGGCATCCTGGCCAAGATGGGCCAGTTTCACATGCTGGGTAAGGGAGCAGCAGAGCTCAGCTCCTTGCTCAAACCCTTGGGACTATGGTGCTCTCTTGCCCTGGCAAGGCCTTTCAGTCACTGCAGTTTTCTAGATGAAAAGTAAATCAGGTCATGAGCTGCTGTGACCTCTTAGGGAGGGAGGCATTCACATGGTTGAGCCCAGGCAATAATCCTCAGCAATGCTGTATTAAAAAAAAAAAAAAAAAAAAAGCAAAAAAAAAAAAAAGCTGGCATCTGGAATGTCATCATGAACAACCCAATCAGCACAGCAGAAAGCAAAGAGGAGGAAAAAGGAAAGATGGAAAATGTTAGACTAAAAATAAACCCAGTGATACTGGCCTAGCAGGGAAACTCTGCACAGCCTGTAAGTGAAACTGTAAATGGAAAAGAGAAAAGATCTCGTGCAATGGGACACAGAGACTCCAAGACCTCAGGAGATGCTGCCATCCACACCAAGCTGACTGCAGTGTGCACAGAAAGCTCTGCTAAACAGAGTGGCACCAACACAGCAAAGCAGAGAAAGACCTTATAGCTGCCATAGGTACAGTACATCTTACAAAGGTTACTCTAAAACCTACATTCTTTAAAATTTTCCTGTTAAGGGCAATAAATTCTACAACTCATAAGTATAACCATTCATTTCACTTGATTATGCATGAAAGGGCTGCAGGACTAAATACTTAAACTCAGCTGCTCATTGCTGAGAACAGCTTTCTGTAAAAAGTTTAAACTGGTATTGCAGCCATTAAAACCCACCCATGCTCCAGGCACTGATTTTTGCCTTCCCAGGACTGGAGCTCACAGCAAGTCTTCTCTGCATTTCCTCACACACCAAGAGACCAGAATATACACAAGCAGCTACATTAAAAAAAAAAAAAAAAAAAAATTTGCAAAATCAAGAAAAGCTTCAACTGAGGTTGCCTGTAACAGATTTCATCACATGTGCAGCAAGACACCACCTTTTAATGACAGGATTCCAGAGGAGAGTGACCAAGACCCAAATTATGACCCATGGCCCAGAAAACTCTCTTTTCCTGCAGATCCAGAATGGCACACACAAGTTTAAGCAATCCTGGTGGCAACAGTGAGTGCTCCTGCACTGTCACTGCAGAGAGCTGAAGTACCAGATCCCTGGGAGACCAGCAAGGCTGAAGGTTTGGAGTATTTCAAGGGCTAAAGCATGGCCAAGCACAAATGGATTATCATGGGACAGCAAAAGGCGGAAGAATGTGGCCTTGGGGTCAAGGATGCACAAGAGTTTTCCAGCCAAACATTTTCCCCCACCAAATTTAAAACTAAAACTTAGTCTCTGCCTCTATTCTCAGAAATGTCTGGACTGTTTTAATTGACATCTCCCCAGAAAAGAAAAAAAAAAAACCTGAAGAAGACACTTGCTACTTCTAAATTCAGCTTGAGTGGGCAAAGTTTGGCAGATAGAAGCAACTGAAAAAAAAGTGAAAAAAGTATTGGATTACATGAAAAGACAGCAATAGGAGCCTCTACTTACCACTATTGCTCTTCAGACTCAGAAAGGCATGTCAACATCTATTCTTATAGCCAGCCATACTGTCACATCAGGGTAAAAAAGCAAAGGGATGAAAGCAAAGGTGTTTTAGCAGACACTGGCAGGATTTGTGGTCTGTAAATAAAGCAATAACTGCAACCTAGCTTCCCTTGCTAGAGGTGAAATGTGCTATTGCTAAAGATTTACTCTTGCATTTTATGGCAGAACCAATTTGCACAGGCAAACTTTAATCAGTACACAGTCAAGGTCTAGCCACAAACTCCACAGCTAAATGTTGAAGGCTGAAGGCCTGAAAATTGTCTGAAAGAAAGCATCTGGGTGAAATGACTAATAAAACAAGGCAAATTGAATGAAAAAATATAGGAAGATATCAGTTCATACAAAAATATATGAACTATGTTTGCTCCCAGCTAGTACCAGCTACAGTTGCCACCCAAATAAAAAGAAAAAACCACAACCCTTCCTTAGGAAGAGACTGAAAAGGCACTTCCACATTACTGCCAGTGCAGGGTCTGATCCAAAGTACAATGAAAAAGCAGGCATCATGATTAATGTGCTCTGAATCAGGTTCATGTGGAGAAACACAAGCTCATGAGACACCCAAAGGCTCCAAACAAACACCTTACTCAGTAGACACAATTAGCCCTGGTACCTCTCCATGCAGTCAGCAGCACAAAACCCAAACAGAGCCTGAGTCCCCATCCTCTCCAGAAAGGATATCATAGCCGAAGCGAATGACATCGTTCAGTTTCAGGGTGATGTACTTCTGGTCAGGAATCCTCACATCATTGACAAACGTCTGCAGGACAGAAGCACAGGAATGGGTTTGGACCGAGGGTACCAGGGTGATGGATCTCAGAGCCATCTGCTGATGGCACTGCACGTACTCAGAGTGTGCCAGCACCAAGTCAGGAGCTAGGAGCTAAGTTCCCTGGAAAAACCAACACCAGCAAGCAGCTCCCATGGGCAAGTCAGAGCACCCCAATTATGCTTCAAAGCAAGGTGCTGTGAAGGGACCTTTAGGGAGATTTCCTTTGCACCAACTGCAAATGCAATTTTAGTCCCTGACTTGAGCAGGTAAATGAGGTGCCTGAAGTTAGGAACTTCAAATGCTCTTGGTTCTCCTACACCCGTCTCAACCAGCAAACGGTTGCAACTCGTGCCCTTAATTACTGAGCTAGGAATCAGCTTTCTGCTGGATGCCAAACAAGACTGTGTCAGCCCCAAGGCCTGATAATTTAACAAGCAAAGCCTATCACAGAGGAAGGGGAAATGAAAATGCACAGGGAAATGGGAAAAAAATTTGAAGCAGCATCACCATGACACCTGAGGCCACACTGTCCGAGATAACCAAACCCCTCGTGCTGAAACTTCACCCGCCCCTTTTGCCCATGCTCCAGGCAGTTAACTGAGGCTGAAAGGAACTAACATCCTTCTAAAGGTGCAAGACATGTATTTCACAGCTGTGAATAAATGTCTTTGATGTCTGTGCTTCCTGAGGGAACCCACTATGAAACAATTCTCCCAGACCAAGCAAGGATTAAATCAAGCATGCATGGACATCTTTCACAAATAAACCCATGTGCCTTTGCAATGACCTGGGCCAAACAAAAATAAGAAGGGGGTGAAGAAGCCCCAGAGTGCTGATGGGGATTAGCCTCTCCCACAGCTGGATTTGAGGCAGTCAGACACCAGGAGTTAGCCTACTTGGGAAGGTGGGATTCACCCAGCCTCTCAGACCAGGAACCTGCTGCTGGGGCTTTGTGCCATTAATGCAAATGCAGCTGAGGAAACAGAATTAAACTAGAAAATGAATTTGCATGTTTGCATGACTGCAGCACAGTCTTTTCCTTCTGTCTTCTCACCTCAGCCAAGCCAAACATGCGTGATAAGACCTAGTATTAACCACAGATGAAAAATAAATGGTAGAGCAGGAAACTAGAATCTCAGCAGACAACAGCCCCCAGTTTCCTGGCAATTTATAGAAGAGTTGGGAAACAGGCCTGTAATTTCAGAATAAAAACAGTGAAGCTAGTTAAAAGGCACAGAATTCCAATTTGCATTAAAGTTTTTAATATTTAAAAAACCCACAACAGTCGCATCTGGAACAAGAATAATTGTTTGCTGAATTTTCTTCAAAAAAGTCTGCAAGAACCCATTTTGATAGTTACCTATTTGTCCATATTTACTTGAGATAAAGTAACTTCAGTAAAATTCTTAATCTGGATAGAAATGCTACCCTTAAAAACAAAAACCTCTGAATACAGACAGAAGAATTACCTGAACATTATAATAAAAACAATATAAAACATTTTGACAATTAATATGAACCAGATTATCCAGCAAAGCCACATAATGCATTGCTGACTACTCAAATACAAAATAAAAGGAAATTCTGAAAATGGATTTAAAATCAAGACGCTCAAAGGTGATTTCTTTAGTTTCAGGAGGGTAAACAAGTTTTTGTGACAATTTTCAAATAAAAATATGTTTCTTGCATGCAAAATTTGGTTTGGCCACAACAGACTTTTTCAACAGAAGTGTCTGATCAGCTGCAAAAACAGGCACTGCTGCAACTCCCTTTTACTCCACTGCCTCTCTAAGCATAAGTCTACTATTAAAATGCTGTAAATTCTTATGCTTTAGCATGTGATAGAAAGATAGAAAATAATTAGTGGTACATGTCTTCCCTCTCTTGCTAGCAGAATCTTTAGCTGCTATTTTGCCACCATGAGTTAAATACCACAGCTTTTGAACCAGGGATCCAGCTAGAGTCCAGACCAGTTACTGGAAATATTCCCATTTCAGCAGGGCTCTGTGCCTTCAGCTATTAGGCTGAGAAGGATTAGCACTCATTCTTGCTGTGTTCAGATGCCAGAAGAGGCAGAATGGTTGAGGGCTGCTTTAGCCACTGTTTTTGTACAAGTTTCTGGGCTCATCTTGTGGTTTTGTGGCTGTGATGGTGGAGGGCTTCTATGTCCAAAACAATGAAACAATGGCTGCAGTAAAACCCCCACTGGGAAGACAATTAGGTGAATCTAGCTTAGGTCTGCTCCAGCAGAGGAACAGCTCCACTTGTATGAAGAAACTACCAAAACAGAAGCATGCTATGACATTTGGACATTTTTAACAACAGATTTAAGTATCATGGAATTCAGGTGTCTAACACCACTGCATAAGTTGAAGCAGAGCAAAGGTTAAAATTCAGTCAGGCTCAGTTCCTTCTTCTGTGCTCACAGTATTCCTCAGTCTTCATGCAAAGCAGGCTCAAGGCAGGCAAAAAAGCAATTTTTATTATTAAAAAAAAAAAAAGAGGTGGTTTTAAGTAGTTTCTCCCCAATGAAATTAAATTTCTCATCACCCCATAAATCACTCCATGCACTGACAATGAAACCACCAAAAGGTCACCCTGCTCATGCTGAACAGCTGCTCCAGAATCTCCACCAGTTTAAAGTTAACATCCCCAACATGAAACTGAATTTAATTCCTCCCCTTTTGCAAGAGGCTTTATAATTTTGTTGTGAGCCCTGAAGCATTCTGCAAGGACACCAGCAGAGAGGGGAAAAAGCAATACAATATTCACCAAAGCTTTCCCCTCCCAAGACGAGATGCTACACGACCTCCACCTCAGGCCTTGCAAATAATGATGCATGTTTGGCTTAACTCGTGCCAACAGCTGCAGTGACCCAAAAGGGTCTGAGAGCAGGATTCAGCGAGCACATGAGTGCTTGCAGACTCAGCACAGCACCAGGCCACCCCTGCCAGCTGCAGGTTTGGTACTTACCCCGTTTAAGCTGCCGAGATCCTTCACCCAGTGCTCATCCTTGTCCTTGTCATAGTTGATGACAGCGTGCTGCTTATCCACACTGCGGGACTGGCAATGGAAGCACAAAACGAGCATCAGGCACAGAGACACTGGTCATCAGAGCAACACTGAGGCATTAAACTGCCTTCATGGGGGTAGGGGGACAGAGGGGGAAAGCAGGGAGGATTAAATACTATTTACTGCTATAAATAATGGAAGGATAAGCAGTAAATGCTTCCACGGTTGGTTGCAGAGTTTGAAGACAATACGCTATTTTCATGGAGAAGGGAAAATAAAAAGTTTTTAAAAAATTGCTGAAGGCTGTCAAGACTATGCCACAATTTCAATAAATTATATCAATACACACTGAACAAAATCAGTCAAGCTGAAAGCCTGGGGGCCAGGATCTGAGCCAGCATGAGCTAGAAGATCTCCATTTTTCAACTGCTGAGGCCAATGGCCTCAACACTAGGGATGCTCCTACTTGGGATCATTTCTTCCTATTTTTCAAAGAGAAAAAAAATCATTTTCTTGAGTTACAAACCAAACTTGTTCCCAAAAATTTATACTGTTCCCAGGATTATGTCCTGGAATTGATTTAAATTTTAGGATGTGTTCCAAACTAGAGGTTAGTAAACCTGGAATGAGAAAGAAAGCAACTCCAAGAAAATTTAAACTGTAAACTGGGTTTGAGTACACTGAACTTAACAGTGATCTGGTGCCACTGGCTTTGTCACAATGCACAAGTAATGCACCTTATCTTCAAAACAGAGTGTGACACTTGAGGAGGCATCATGTCAGACTTCTGAAAGAAGTGCTAGGACAAGATCTATGAATAATTTTGAAATATGGTGTGTTAGAGCTATAAAGACACCAGACTGTCTGTTTTTAGACCTGCTGCCTCTCGTAACCTGAATCCTTGCTGCAGTTGACCTCAGGCAGACACTGGAAGCAGTCTCTCCATCAGCACGTACACACAGCACTGAGACCTCCCTGGTACCTCAGGCCAGGGGAGGGGAGAGCAGGGAGACCAGCCAGGCTCCAAGTCAGCTAATCCTCATCCTCCTGGGCACCAACCAACAAGTTCTTGCTGAAAGTCCTTTCCTTTTGCCAAGTATAGACACACTGGTTTCCACAGCACCATTCTCAGCAGGCCATTATCTGGCTTCTTGCAAGCATGCAGAGGCAAAGATTGTTTCAGGCAATTCCTTGGTGAAAACAAAAGAGGTTTTTTTCACACAAACTGCTACTATTTGCAGGAATTTCTTCTGGCCCCACCAATATCAAGCACATGGGAAGTACCACAACACCTGAGAAATGGCATCTCCTTCCCCTGCAGAGCACCCATCAGCCCAGGAGACACATCCTCCAGAATAACCTTGAAGTACCAATATGAAGCAAGCACTATCTGGCCAGAAGATTACCCTTCCACCTTGCAACATCCCTCACACTAATCATGACATGTCACCCCAAGCAGAGGCAGTGAGGACAGGGGCAAGTGACCCTATGCCTCCAGCTCCCTCACTAATACAGTTATCCACATGCTCCTGGACTTCCAAGGAAGCACTTCATGCTTTGCTGCCCAACTGATGCTGCTCAGACAGCAATCACCCCCCAAAGACACAAACAGACGTGGGACAGGCAGAGAAACCATGGCTGGGGACAGCCCACCTGTGCCTCCTGCTATGCTGAGCACTAAACAGGAGAAGCAACACAGAGCAAAGCCCTCCCAGGAGGGGCACACACAAACCCCTCACCCCCATGCCATCCCCACACTTGCTGTCTGAGCCCTGACCTCAAGGCAGGGCACTTCTTAAGCATTTGCAGTGAAGGCAGTGCTTCTCTCTCCTGTTATCCACACCAGATGCAGCTCCTCAGTCCATTTTCAGTGACCCAAGTGGCTGTGGCAGGTGTGTGCAGTGCAAGGTAAGGATGGTCCAGGTGAGCACAGCTGAGGGACACTGCCCAGGCCCTGCACCTCAGCACATGGCCCTGAGGACAGGAGTGTCTCCAGGCACAGCCTCAGGTACCACAGCAGCTGATGCTACACAAGCTGGGGTTGTTCCTGATCTGTCACATGGTCCCTCACACCCTTTGGAGGATGTGAGCCCAGAGCCTGTCCCCACAACAGTCTGGCTGTTTGAGCACTGTATGGACAGGGCTCCTGGAGGGATCACCACACCTCACCTACACAGCAGAGGGGGATGACCACCCCCTCTCCCTGTCCATGGGCATTTATGTGCTGTGCTTCATGGCACCGGAGTCAAAGACAACCATGCACAGGCAACCATGCAAACCCTGCACAGCACAGACATGGTCTGTCTTCCCTGTGATCCCTCTGCTACTCAAAACTGTGGATGCCACTGTTCCCAATGAGATACAAGGGAATGCTGATAAACTGCTGCAGCAGTGTTTGCTTTAGCTTTTTACAGCACATCATGGAGGCTCATTTAAAGATTAACAGATTCTAAAAGCAGAACAAACCATTTAGCTCCCTTCCGAGGGCAGAAAGGTTTCCAGACCAAAAAGTTAACCCAGACAAAAAATTGGGACAGATCTGATATCTGATTTTAAATGTATCACAGGTCACTTTAAAAGAAGTTTATTTCTGGGAACCAGCTGTCTCCAAAAAATTCAATTTGCCCTGCATCTGACCCTGATGCAACTGAGCACAGCCCTTGGTCTGCTGTGTTCTACAACAGCTGACTTCAGCCACTCAGGGGTCCCCAGTCAGATGGGGGTCATCTCAGGGGAGCAGACATGTATTCCTGCAACATGATATTCCCCTCCATAAATGCAGAAAGAGGTCACCAAAGGAACCAATTTATGCCTGTTTTCCAAGGAAGTTTCAGCTGTGTTCAAGAAAGCCTATGGCAAAAAGAGTCAAAACAACATGCAAAATCTGACCCACAGTCTTCCTCCAACCTCTCAGCATCTCTTTAAGAGCACATCAGGAACAAGGCAAACTGTTATGCATATTGCACTTCTGTGAAATTTCATGCTTTTGTGGAGAAGAGAGGAATTTTCTTAGTTTTGTTTACGTTAAGACAGCAAACATCACAGGAACTGGCAGCAGGAGTTCCTAGGGGCCTGTCTCCAAGGAAACTCAACTTAAAGTAACTAAAATCACACCTTATTTATTTTGATGCAGACTTGCCAAAGGTCACTCTTACTTGAGAACTGAGGTGTGGTTTATTTCAACATCAGTCACATTTAACATAAACTGCTCTTGTGTGCAGTGCCAGCAGCAACTCAGCAGCTGATGGTGCTTTTGTCTCTTGCAGAGAGGAGCAGGCTCCCTTAATCCCACTTCCCAAGAGGAGACTAACCAGTTTCCATGCTGGTAACAGCTGAGAGCCCAGGGACAGTCACTTCAGCCCAGCAGGCCAGTGGTTTCTAAGGAGTGACCTGCTGAATCACAGAAAGTGATTCAAGAAGCCTGAGTCAACACATTACAGAGCTGCCCATGGGTGCAGAGCTCCCAGCCACCTGCAACTTCACTGGAAAGATTTTAGGCATCTCTAAATTGAAAACCTGCAATTAAGTTGACTGAGTCACTAACATAAGAGGACTTCTAGCCTAAATGCACACGTGCATCAAATACTGAATCTTGCTTAATGATCAGCCATGACCTCCACAACCAAAGGCAAGACTGATCCATCATGAGTAGACATAGGGGTCCAAAAAAAAAACCAAACAAAACAACAGAATTTCCAATAAAGTGTTACTAAGAAACCTCAATTACCTATATCCAGATGTCAAAAGCAAAAAAATAATCTGTTTCACCAGAAAAGCACTTGTGATGGGGTGAGCAGCAGTCCTGAGCTATGGGTAAGATATCCAAACAACCAAAGCAGAGCTGGAGCACCTCAGGGGAGGTTGAGAAGGGGAAAAGAAAGAAGGGAGTTATCATCCTCTTAAGCAGTGGTGATCTTCAAGCAAGAAATAAGGCTACACTCCAAGAGGCTGGAAATGAAGGAAGCACATAGCATTCCCACCATATCCCAACACTGGACCTGTTATCAAATGAAAACAACTCTCAGGAAAACACGTGTGCTTTTCTGATTAAGAGTATTTACACTCCTCTGCAGGGAAAACATGGGCACTGATTTGTTACTACACTCAGCCCTCATCCAGGGCTGGAATTTCCAGACATTCAAATCACTTCCTAATATAAGGTTGTGTTGCTTTTCTGTCATACAATCTACCATGCATCATGTTTTAAATACCTAGTAGACAAAATGCACACACAGCATATAACTGAGGATGGAGGTTCTTTATATATAGCTCTTCCTTCTTCCATGAACATGTTAAGCAGATGGTACAAAACACAGGAATGGTACCTGGGGGTCTGCCAGTCCCACAGTGGTACCAACACCTTGGATCACCAGTTTCCAATCAGCCATGCAACCAGGCAGCTCACTTGTGATTCTCAAAACTGCACACATCATCAAATCAGCAAAATCAGCTTCAAAAGCTTGCAGGAATCTCCATAGAGGCACAAATCACACTGTGGCTACGTGTGCTGTGCACACCCTACAGCTTTGTGTTTGGGGAAGGGTCTGGTCCAGAGAACAGGGATCTCGGGATGAAAATATGAGCTGCAGAGATGCCAAACAAAACCCACAAGGCAAAAAGACCTGCTTAGGAAGGCAGGAGGAGAAATACAGCCAGACAGCCTGTGTTTCCCCACAGGGCCAGGGAGCAGACACAGCTCAGCTGTCTGTGCAGATACAGATGCTACTTTTTTCCCCAGGAGAATTACCATGGGTGAAAACCTACCGGTTGGGGCTGAGATTTGGACCTCAGCCCTGCCAGTGCCGCGAGGCATCGTGGCACTGGAGATAAAATAAACAAACATGAGCAGTTTCCCTGTTCCTCACTGCAGTCTGCTGTGCACTTCTGGCACAAAATAACTGCAGCGTTCTGGTGGCAGCATGCAATAAAACAGTTGCTCAAATACTTTCCATAGTGAACAGGTTACATTTCTGCCAGTACTGTGCTCTGCACAAGTGTCCCAGTAAGGAAATATAAACCTCTGCTGGTGTCCCACTTTAGAATGGAGACAG